AATATGTTTTTTTCTGCAGAGTTTTCTCATAGGTTTCATGCACTGAGTGTAAAGCCCTTTCAGGCAAGTTTGCAAACTAATAACAGTGTCCTGTCACCTCATGGCTCAGTCGGATGGCAGCGTCGGTGAAGGACTGCCTCTCCCTTTCAAAAGTCCGCCGCTGATGATTGAGCTCTGCCCAGCGCACCTGAAGACGTTCCCACTCTTCCAGAAAGTAGGAATCAGACAGTTCAGCATTGACAGGTGAAGCAAGGCTGTCCTGTAGACAGACAAAAGCAGTGTCTCCAAGTCTGACTAACAAAAGTTCATACAAGAAAAATGTGTGTGTAAGTGTAATGAACCTGCAGCAGCTGCTGTTGTAGTCTGACAAGCTGTTGACTCTCCTTCCGTTCAGTTTCTAGTCGAGCCAGGAGCTTGTCATGGTCGGTATCAACGCCATTGTGGCCTCCACAGTCAAGAAAGACCACATATTGTACTCCTCAATCATTGGTTTAGCAAAATATAAATGAAAGATGAAGACGTACACACAAATCAAAACAGAACTTTGAAGATTGTTCATCCCGGGTGTTTACCTTCAGGTGGGACGTCACTAAGTCTCTTCTGCACCTGCCTCCAACTCTGAACCACACCTCCTGTTACATGGTCACCAAGCGCTCTCTCAGCTTGATCCAGCCTTTTGTCATCAGTCGGGACTTCTTCCTGAACAGCCACCATGTCTGACAGGGTCTTTAAAAGAAGGTTAAACTGATTTGTAATACTCATCTTGGACTCAGCCTTGGAAACAGCCCTTTAGAAACGATCAACACAAGGTCATTTAAGTAGCCGTTCTGGAGATTTTGATGACTATACTGGACCTTCCTCAGCCGATTTGAACAATTTAAGGACGTTTGGTCCACGGTGGCTTAAAAGTTCAAGGAATTAACGTCTAGTTCAAGCTCCACAATGGCTACTAAATGGACCTTGTATTAGGCAAACTCTGCTTTAACTGCTTAACTCGACACTGCAGCAGCCTCTGCTGAGGAATACCATTTGATACAATGGACAGCTACTAACTAATGGTTTTGTTGAAATAACTTTTAAAATCATCCTCTCTTTGGCCCAATATGACCAGTTAGTCATTGACCAGAACGGGTTAAAAAGGCTTTCTTCTTCTTCCTCACATCCTCCATGTCGACTCTGAGTGCATGGAGTAAAGTGGTGAGGCTGTGGCGCAGCTTCATGGCCTCCCTGAGCTCTGCTTCTCTGCGCTCCAGCATCAGACGCAGTGTTGTCTCCTCTCGTCTACACCGCCGAGGGAGCAAAGGAGGATTAGCGAGAAGAGAGAGGTGGAGAATGCATGTGGAGACTACATTCAGAAAGTGATGATAACATCAACTTACTTGGCGGTAGACTGGAATGACTTAATTGGCTGTTCTCGTTTGCCTCGACCTCCAGGCGGAAAGTTCAACACCTCTATTGCTGTGTAGAACAATGCAAGATGGTAAACGTTGCGTGGTTGAAGTAAATATTTTATATATAAGCAAACAGCTGTGGGGGAAATATTTTTGTGAATTTAACTGTAACAGGACAGAGAGAGAGAGTCTCACAGGGTCCTTTCTCTCTGTGTCGGTCAGCCACTCGCTCCTTCAGTCTGTTGATGTGCTGCTCTCGAAGCCTCAGCTCCGCCTCCTGCTGGTTACACCGCAGCTGCAGACGAGTGCACTGCCGAGAGGGTAGAGATGGTTTTGAGAAAGGGGAATAGTGCAAATTCAGGGAAGAAGATATTCCACAATGTCTGTCACACATGCAACTTACTTTGGCCCGTTCACATCTCAGCATTTCCTGAAGCCTGGCCACATGCTCATCCATCTCCTTTAGATGCTCCTACATGATAGAGGTTTAGTTCCCCCTCCAAGAGTTAACCCTAACTCTTTAATCTGTTGCATTCATTGTTACCCAGTCTCCTTGCTCTCTGTGCTCCTCCCTGTCAGCCCACCAGGAGGTGCTGTGAGAGAGCTCCCTCAAAGGACTGGGATCCTTCAGCAGATAGGAGTCTGTAGTCAACAAGTTAGGATGGGGGAGGGGGGAAGTAAGGACAGACAGTGATAAGTGGTGGAGTGGATTGGATTGCTTTCTTTCCAGCATTCATGGTCTGAGGCTTTTGGTTCATGCTTCTATATTTCAGGCAAAAGGTGACAGTATTACCCGAGTACTCCGAGCATCTTCCAACTCTCTTCTGGCCAAACCTGGAAGCCATCTGGATGCCATGTTCACATATTAGCAACAAGGGGACATTTTACTCACATGCAAATATAAACAGCGTGCACCACAACATGATCAAGACAATGTGTACGCGCATAATTGGATGACATACATACCACTAAATTACTATAGTAACAATGGACCAGTTCCCGTGTCTCTAGTGCCTTACCTGAGCACAAAAGTGAGACTTCCTCAGACAGATGCTGCCGCTTTTAATTCCAGGTGATGGCACTTCTGCTAATTACCATCAACAAAGGACGAGATTGAAGCTTCAAAATTTAAAATGATTCAGTCCAAAAACTTCTTACCAAACTTTTAACTTGTGCACATGGTGTGAAAGTATTGACGAGGCTTTTTTTTTTTTTATAAATACAAGGAAATATCAATGATGGTGAGGCGCTAAAATGAATCAAAAGCCCAAATTTCACATCATGTGAAATTGGGTGTCACCGATCAAGTCAATTTGAGCACGGTATTCAGTTTTCAAGAGGATAAGTGGAGCAAACAGCATGTATTACCAGCAGTTGGTTTGTTTTTTTCCTGACAAATATCAAGTCAGTATAATAAATATTTTTTTTTACAAAGTAAATTTAGTCCAGCAGTTCATTGGCTTACAAAACACTCATCCCATCCACTTAACTACGAACACATTCGGATTACTGACCCACAATTAACTCAAACAAAGAGACCGCAACCTACGTAACATCTTCTTTGACCTGTTCAAGTGTTTTAAAACCAAACTAAAAGCTTATGATGTTAAGTCTCATAAACATTTCAAAAATATTAAAGAGAGAGATTGATATTCAAAAATCACATACAATAGATTAGTGTCCGGAAAAGTAGTTTAATATTTAAAAAGGTTGCCCAAAGTAGCAAAGTTAAGAAAGATAAAGGCTAACAGTAGTACAAGTTTTGGTTGATTGGAATATGATTCCAGTGTGGAAAACGATTAACGCAACAAGTCACTGCAGCGTGATTCATTCAATACAAACAATAGCTGGAAGCTGTGAAAAGGTATATTTAACATTTGCTGTTTGGCCATTTGTGTATCTAAAGTGATATACATTAAATTTGCTACCAGGATTCACTGTCCAACAGTGTAAGGCCTTGACGTGTTTTATTTATTTCTTAATTGAAGACAGGAACATTTAGGCTGACACAAGCAACCTTAACAGGCTGTTAAATATATACAGAAAAAACAAGACTGAATGAAAAGGACAATCACATGCCCTGCACTGATATGGTTAACGTCTGTACCATGTCACTGTACCTTTAAATAGTATAACACCTTTACCATTAACACAAATACATGAATTATTTAAGACACCAATCAATTTAGCTCAAAAGCTACCAGTAGGTCTGTTGGCCACATACACAGTTAATGTTTTCTAAAGACACATTACAATACAGAGACAGAGACAGAGACAGATAAAGATATAGATATAGATATATATATATATAGATATAGATATATATCTATATATATATATATATATCAAAATGGTCTGATTCTTGAGCAGCACCTGGTTTAAATTAATGTTTGACCTGCCAAACAAAATGCAAGATGAAGTTGCCCTCTCAGTAGCCAATCACGTGGGCTGAATTTCACTGACAGGAGAAAGACACCATTAGGTCAGGAAATTGTTAAAGTAGGTAAACCAAGAATGGCTTAATCATTAGTCAAGTTAGAGTCGATAACATTTTTTTGAACATGTAGAGTTTGGCCCTGCTTTAATGTAACAGATGGGAGTTATGGTACCATTCAATTTGGCAAACATGTGGCGCAGCTACCTCCCCCCCGAAACCCCATCCGTCCCATGGTGCTCCCAAGAGGAGGTGCTGGTCCATCTACAGCGACATCGAGTAGAAGTGAAGAAAGCCTTCCATGGGTAAAACCAGAAATCCTCCACCTTTCTTTCTGCTGTAGATAAACAGATATAGTTGGAGAACATAAAAAAAAAAAAAAGGGAAAATTCACCACCTTTTATTTGGATGTCCAGTCAGTGTTGATGGTAAATATATGCGTGTGTGTATGTAAATATGTATCAATTAAAGCAACACATTGCTCAGCAGAGATATAGATAGATAGATAGATAAGCTATATTATAGCTATACTTTCATATATTTAAGTTGTGGGATGTTGGTTGAAAAAAAACACGCATTCTGAAGACTTCACCGTGGTAAACTGTGATGCTTATTTTCTGTTATCTGCCAATTTATAGACAAAATGATTAATCAAGAAAATAATTTGCAGACTAATCTATCATGAAAATAATCCTTTTCAATTAAGTAATGTCATGTGAAATGTTAGAACTCAGTGCCTGCCTGAATTTAGTTGATTAAATTGAAATGTAAACTGACTGTGAAGGTATAATTAATTTATTTCCTATAGTGTAATCACGCGTAATTACTCCCAGCTGGAAAAGGCAGGCCTACCTCAGAACAGGGAGCAGGACTTCGGGGGTCTGAAGGGATTATCGCTGGAGGGCACCCCGACCAGCAGGGGGTCCTTGGGGGCATTTTGCAGACAGAAGTTCCTCAGCTCAGCAGCAGCCTGGGACACCTGCAGAGCCAGACATACGATGATGGTACTGCGCGTCAGAGGAAACATAAACAGTCTACCACAGTTGTAATGCTGCAGCTGGCCTGCCGTCATATTTACGCAGTCTCTCATTTACATACACGGACTAACTGGTTCCCTTTTATTTGCAAGCAACGGCGCAATACAAGTACGGGTGTGTCTACCGTGTAACATTGTGAGAGATACCGGTAACCTGTTTCCTTTAGATAACAAACACCGAGGAGCTTTAACTTTAATAAACGCGTCACTTCGCTCGATACTTTTGACACTTTGAAGTCGTGACGCTTTCCCCCAAAACAGACACATCTGACAGCCGTTGAAACACGGAAGACACTGTTCGCTTGTAGCTGGAAACCACCTCATGCGTCACTACTGGTCTTGTGCGTAAACTTTGGAGACCACTTTTTGTTGAACCTGTGATGTAAGAGTCCAGTCTGTGTCATTTCTGCAACAGTTTGTGTCTCCGCCATTCAACAGTAGGCTCAGTCTTCCGTGTTTGTCTTGGGGGTTTCGTACCTTGATCCTGCGGATACTGGCCTCTAACCGGAGCTGCTTCACGGCCCTTTGAGCGATAATTAAGTTGTTGCTGGCGTTGTTGTTGGACATGACGGCGGCTGTCGGCTGAGAAAGGCTGAGGGCTACTTAATCTAGACTGCCACCACCACCGAGCGGAAATTAGCCCCAACTGCTCCAAACCCTTAACCCGAGTGGGGAAACGTTGGTCATCAGATGCCCCGCCCCTTCTGTGCCAGCGAGCCATTCTATTGGGCGCTTGGCATGTCAATCAAATCAATTAAACGCCCTCTGCATACACTGGCCATTATTATGAGTTTCCTATAGAGCAGAGCCATGTACACTGTGACCTTCAGCTGGAGGGTGACCAACCACAACACAGTGGTTAATCACCACTTCATTTACCTTACTGCAGTTGCCAATATATGTCAAAAAGGGTTGCCAGATTTTAGAGTAAAAAACACCTTTTGAATGGGATAAGTATGTCAGATAGTCAAGGGACATCTGTGAACTCTGTGGCCTCTAGTCAGGCACGGTCTCATGGCTGTAATCCAGTTTGACAAAGTGACAACATTTCACTCTCATACACAAATGTCAACCTCATTATTCATCCTCTGGCCAGCGTGAATAGCATGTCCTAAATGTAACGGCAATTCATCATGGTGGTCGACAAATTTCAGTCTGGACCAAAGTCTTATCATGGTAATTCATTTTAATGTGTTAACTAGATTGCATCCAGCTACAGAGTTTTGTTTAAAAAAACAACAGAAATACACTGATTTTATACCACATACACACAAATCAGTTCCACAGTTTATATGGAAAAAAATGTATTTGGTCTAAAGAGTATTTCATGATTTTGAGTAAAGACAAGATTCTTAGTAACAACTTAGCCCAAATAACAGAGAAAATGCATCGTGAAAACAAATGCAAAACATCTTCATAAAAAAAGCATAGCATACATGAAGCATATAGCCCACGTTGACTATATTCACTTCAGGACTGTACTGGTACTACACAAAGAGAAGAAGACAAAAATATTGGTACTGTCAATTTCTTTATAACCCCTATAGTTTCTTTTTGTTTATTTAATCACACAACAATTACAAAGGTAATACAATTGAGGAATGATACAAATAAGATTCATTATACAATACAGTATCACCCGTTTTTATGATCTTGTGTCTTATGGATAAAAAAGATCACAATAAGGAATATGTTTGTATTATATGTTAACAGCTCACTCAGGTGACTTGTCCCCTGTAGATTAATAAGAGAGGGAGAAAAAACATCATTATTTCCACATAGTTCATCCTGTTGAGACATCCACCCTGAGTGTGTCGCTCATACTCACAAATGATTGGTCCAATGGTGAGGGTTCTCAGAGGATCAGAGTTGGAAACAGAGCGATAGTTCCTTCTTGTGCAAGGCTATACATGGTGGGAGAGGGTTGGGAAAAAATACCATCAAAACCCAGTGTTTAAGCAGCACCGATTATGGATCGATGCTATTGATGAAGTGAAACATGTGACTTACCGGAACACAAGAGGAGCTCCTCCGATCACACAGGCTGAGGCTGCAGTGAAGGTAAACATCTCTGTATTCATTCTGGAGCAGGAAGAACAGGGCAGTGAAGCGAGCCCGGAGGGACAAGCCGCTCTCCACCACTGACACCTGTCGGCGGTCAGTGGGACACCTGGGGGGGGGGTCATCAGGACCATTACACATAACCATACAAGAAACTTTTCTCCACTTTCTATTATACGACACAAACCACCCGCTGAGGCTCAATAGGGATACTTACTTGTTCTGAATGAGAGGATACTGTGTGGAACCGTCAGGGTTTGACGAGTGCGTGGCGTAGCAGTCCTCCAGAACTACTGCAAAGCTGGGATCTCTCTCCTCCACAGAGACGCCCACGTACAGCGGCGAGCCCACTGGCAGGGTGACCAGGCCCCCTGAATAAGGCTCTGTGTAGTTGGAGTTGCGGAACAGAAACATGGAGGCGCTGGCTTTGGCACCAGAGCTTGAAATGCCACCATCCAGCCTGTCAGGAAAAATATTATTTGTTTTTGTTACGGCAAGTCTTATGGGAAGTGTTTTTCTCCAGTCTTGTCTTCATCTTCTTATTGTTATTTTGCTTATATTTCATTCATATACAAATAATAGGCAGCAAAATAAAACTTTCACAATATATTACCTATTTAGTATCAGGTATATCATTGCTGGTGTACTTGTGCTGTTGTGGTGAACTGTGCCGTGTTCTTCAATCCCTAATCAGCAGACTAACTGTCACTGAGGATGGAGGGACCCACTCTACAGCAATGTATGTTCACACCAAGATGAACGGTTCAAAGCAACATATAAACAAATACAATTTTTGCCAGGTTTGTCCCTATTTTCTGTGATGTGATGTTAAAAGAATAATTAGAAAAATGTTATAATCACTTAACAATCATACACAGAAGAGCTTCATTATTTAACAACATTAAAAGGCTGCTTACGCCAGGAATGGTCTGATAGCCACATTCAGGCTGGTGTCTGTGTCCAGGGGATAGGCGCAGGAGAAGGGAAGACTCACAGGAAGGGCGAAGGACGCGTTGTTTATTGGGTAGATAAATAAACTATTGGAGTAGATGGCATGTGTGCCGTTGGTCTGCAACACAAAGGAGGATTTGATTTTGAATCAGTAGAATGGTTATGTCAGAGGGGGAGGACCCGATCAGGTTTACAGCAAAAAACAAACGGTAAGTCTTTACCCTCAATGTGTTTCCACAGGCACCGGCCGCGGCCTCCACTTCGAACCACACTACGCCATCGCTCACTCTGACCCAGGAGCAGTTGCGGGTGGCCATGTTCCCAGAGAAGGGGCTCAAACCAGAGGATGTGAAGGAAGCCAGTTCCAGCCCCACCTGGAGTTTATCACGACCACAAATGAGCTGAGAAGGCTGGGGTTGAGGGTGCTGAACTACAGGGAAAGATACCAGGTCACCAAATAAAAGTGTGAGAGAAATGAGATGAGATAGTTAACACTATATACCAGATGACACCAAGACGAGACTCTCCATAAACCTTCACCTCAGTATGTCATTTCTATTGCATTACAGTACGTCAAAACATTTCAAAATATAAAAGGACACTTACATTCACAGATGACACTGGCATCTTCAGAGTGAACACAGTTATGGACCCCAAAAGCTGGATGTCTGCAGTCTGTTATCGATGATTCATTTCCAAAACAACTGACATCGTCCAACCAGATGGGTCCGCTGCCCTGTCCAAAAGCTGCATTTGATAGTGCTGAACGAGCAGTGCCACAGCCCAGCTGTCTACACACCACGTTGGCGTCCATCAGGTCCCAGCCGTCGTCACACACTGTCCCCCACTGTCCGTCATGGTAAACCTTCACTCTGCCAGAGCAGCGGTTGTCAGAGTTGACCAGCCTCACTGGTGAACCAGCTAACAGAAAAACATGCAACATAATAATGTTGATGTGAGACATGAATGATGGACCTCATGAAGACGAGGATATCTTTGAAAAAACAACACGCAGTAGCTTTCTGTTTACAATGACAAAACGAGTTTAAGGCTAAAGAGCCTGCAGATTATAAAAAGAGTAGTGTAAAGCACATATTTTATATTTCTCCAGTGGTGGTCACTAACATTCTCTCAGCTAAATGTTACACCATAGACAGCATGTTACACAAAGAGACTTCATTGCATTTACCTTCACAGACGACACCAGCATCCTCACTGTGATGACAGTTGTGAGATCCAAACCCTCTGTGGCTGCACTCGCTGAGCTTTGATTCGTCGCCTTTGCATGTGACATCGTCCAACCAGATAGGCCCTGTGCCCTGTCCAAAGCGTGCATTTTGTGGTGCTGACAGGACCCTGCCACAGCCCAGCTGTGTGCACACCACCTGAGCATCAACCAGGTCCCAGGCGTCGTCACACACCGTCCCCCACTGTCCACGGTGGAAGATCTCTACTCTGCCAGAGCAGGAGCCGTTTCCATTGGCCAGGCGGACCTTCCCCTCAACTGTTGTGCTGTTGCCTGCTGTTGTTGTGCTCGTGATGTTAGTTGGAGCCTGAGTGGTGGTGAAGTACGCTGGTGTCGTATCAGGTGAAGTTGGTAAAACTGCAGGGCCTGTTCTGTTCACCTCTGTTGTAATAAAAAAAAAACAGATGACTTTTTGACCATTCAATTGAAGAAGAAGAGTCTAAAACACTTAAATTGATGGATTAACCCATAAGAACCCAAATCCATTTATCCTTAAAGGAACATGATAGGGGATATAAAATATTTTCTAAAGACTACCCCCTAGTGCCAAAGATCTGAAATGTTACTTATATGTCACATTGGGCTTTTACTATAGATGTTTTTTCCTCATTTGAAAATCAAGTAATTTGGCCTTTTTTTGCTTGGTAACAAAGATATACCTTTTTATTTGCATTTCCACAACACATATCAAAACTATAACTTCTATGATTAGATTTAACCCAAAAACCTTTTTCCAGATTTGTTTTAAAAGACTTGAATGATCTTTAGTGCATCCTGAACACTGTACCGTTCATCCATACTGCAAAAAAACACAATTATTATGAAATTACTTTGAAATAGGACCAAAATAGGATAGTTAAATGTTGTTTGTTTGTGTGTTTTATTTACTGATATGAACATTTTTCTTTCATAATTCTTTCAAAATTAATTTGACTCACATTTTCATTTCAGTTTCATTCAACAAAAGAAGACATTTTGTTAAAATAATTGAATCCGTTAAATCAATTGAGCAGCTCATTACTATTTTTCTTATTGTGACAAATACGTCATTGTTTCTTCTGAGGCAATTATAAGTTTAAAAGCCAGATGTGACATATCTGTCACAACAATATTTTTAGAACTTTTTATATATAAATTTGTTTGATAAACATGGTCAGAACAGTTTAGATGTGATGTAGGACATGTTATGAAAGCATGAGAATTGTTAAATGTGTTGAAACTTACCTTTAGCAGCAAAAACAAGCTTTTTGAAATTAGCTAGTTCTGTCAAATGTGCTGACCAGCCAGGCAGCCATTTTGAAAGTGGTGTCATTGGTACACAAATTAACTTACCGTCACATGACCTCACCAGGATGTTCAGTGTGCGTCACTTAGGGACTTCAAGAGTTAAAATCAAGGATACAACTTTGTAAGGAACTTTCCAGGATATTTAAAGTGTCTGTGACAACTGTGTCACCGTGGGTTCCTATGGGTTGTTGTTACAGTTTAAAGATGTTTAAAATGGAACAATACCTGCACAGTATGCAGCGCTGCATATAGATGGCTTCACAAGTTTGTAGACATAGTAGTCTCCATAGCAGAGCTTGACATGGATGACGTGTGAGCTAAAAGAGCAGCAGTTGTTGTTCCAGGCATTACACACAGTGCGTTTTACAATTTCATCTGATTGTGTGGGATGAGGCTCTGTTATCCACATGGTAGCATGTGTTCCACACTTGTTTCCTCCTACACACCTCTCAGGAATATGAGCACTGGTTTGCTCCAGAAGGAGGCGATACCAGCCTTGCCAGTCAATTAAATAGTCACAGTGTATGATCTGATTCGATGTGTTATTCGTTGAACGCCAGTCATCATCCAGTACGGTGTAGTACTCACAGGGGTCAGCACAGCGCAGAGTCCCATTACTACTGATGCAGTCCATGCCTAAAGGACAGACTGTGTGTCCACAGCTGAACTGGACAAATTGGGAGGAGGGGCCCGCTCTGGTCCTGGAGGAAGGCTCCAGGCATATGAAGGAGCCTGGGGTGTTTTGACAAACCTGAGGTGAGGTGCAGGGTGAGTCTGGGAGGGAGCACTCGTCAGTGTCCACACAGACCCTGTCCGGTGACCAGTGATAACCTCGGCTACAGCAAGACGAGTCGCTGCATAGTTTTGTATCGTAACAGGTGAGACCATCGCCTACAAAGCCATCTTTACAGACACAAGAGAGCGCCTGGTTGGTGAAAGAGTCGCCTCGTTCTCTTGACTCCAGGCAGCTGGCTCCGTCGTGACACAAATCACAGCTGGTGACAAGTGTCCCTGTGAGACGTACGAGAATAGTTTGATAAGTGCTGCTGATCATTTTTAGTCGTTTTTCCAAAAGAAAAGGTGAAATTAAAGCTATTACATGCAATTGCCACGAATGAACTCAACTTTTCTAATTCAGGATCATTTGTATTGAGGTATTCTACGAGTACAATTACACAGAATATAAATTCAAATCACTGAGTGACACCTGTGAAATTACATCAGAGGTACAAGTGTGTGATTGCCATCTTTTACAACAAATTGAGATAATTGCCTTTTAACAATATCGCCACAGTTTATTATATATTTGAATTAAATTCATATATTTTCAAGGGCATAATTCAAATCACCACTGAATGTGAGGTTTTAAGTTCTCTCTTAAAACTGCACCCGTTTTAATTAATCAATATCTGAAAATTATATAATAATATGATATTGATATAGGAAAGTGAGTGTGAAATTATGTACAAGAAGTTTTCATTTGATGTAAGGGTGCGGTCATAAAAAATGGCATCTAAATGATTATTATTTAGGTGAATGTAATAATGATATAGTAGCTTCAGTTAATCACTGGGATAGGAATATGCAACATTGAGAGCACCAAAAAAAAATGTCTTATCTTAAATATTTTACAATTTAAAAAAAAACATCCACAAAACAATCTAATTAAAATAACGTTGGTTGGTTATCTTTTTCAAAAGGGGAAGTAAGATTACACAGTTGATATTTATCATAAGGAAAATATTTCAGATGGTTTACCTGAAGTGCTTCCTGTACAAATCGGCAGAATACTGAGCAACAACAAACCCCAAGGCACCCCCATTATGGACCACATCCGCCACACAAACGTGCTGAAAAAGACAAGAAAGATATCTTAAAACCACATTTTCAAATGATGCTGCCGTGGATCAAGGTCACTACTCTGCAAGTCTTGTACTTACCTTAGAGAGAGATGGTGGGAATGCAGGAGCTGGTGAAAAAGTTAAAAGTGGAGATGTCCCAGTGAGTACGAGTGTGAGAATTTATAGTCTGTTAAAAGACCACATCAAGCAATCATTGGTGAAACACAATCAGGTCATTGAGAGCAGTGATTCATGTGACTTCAAAATAGTTACTTATTAATAAAAATAAGACAAAATAAAGATTAGTTTCAAACAGTACTGGCACACAAACAAAGTCCAGAGTCAATGCGTTTTATGGTGCCACAATCGATCTCATGTCAGCGTTGAAACATTACGGAGACCTCTCCGTCTTCAAAAGTGTGACACTCCAACGTTAATGTACTGACGTGCCACCTTTTGTCAACAGTGACTGAAATGACAGAGAGTGAATCAAGTTTATTCCTGACCTTGTGAAGAATATTTTGACTAAATAATCTTAACTCAAGTTTCTGCAGCATCTTTCGGTCTTATTTAGCCACCGGCATCCATTTCTGGAAGTGGACCGTGAATTTGGAGTATTTTATCAAATAAAAGTCCAAGGAAGCCGTACGGTCATAGAGTTACAAATATAGATCATGCATTAACTAAACTGGCACTGCACATCTCATCTACAGTAAGTAACTATTATTGTATCGCATATATTTCTGCATCATACATTTAACTGTCTTGCTTTGAAAAGGTTTTCTGTGAAATTCTGAGCATCTCTCTTACACTGCAGGGAACAAACCACTGCACGCTAGAGTGGATGACCTTTCTCACATTCTCAATTTTATGTATTTTGTTTTTATTATATTGGCGTCACCTCTTATCAATATTTACTGGCACCACTATGGCCCTTCCTGTAAATGTTATCTCCTATTTCAAAACTCTCTTACTCTTTCGTGTTGTATAAGGTAATAGGTGACAGAGTGCTTTGTTCTAACAGACAAGAGAACTAATAATAATTTACAACACTAAATGCTGGGAAGTAAAGTATTCTACAAAGAGATTCAAACGTTTCTTTGAAAAGTGGGGCATTGTTCGGATAGAAAGCCTTACTCAAATATACATCCTTCAGTCACACAGGCAGAGACGTCGATCAGAAAGCTCCAACACTTTAAGACGTCAAATAATCAAAAACAAATGTAAAGAACAAAACAGTTGAACTTGATGGATATTTGGAGCGTTGTCATAAATAGACATGTTTTTTCCTATCTTAACATTCCAAAGAAGACATGAACAGCTTTACTGACACAGTTCCTCAAAGTTACCTCATAGTAGTCCTGAAAATCCACAACTTTCCCCAGTGACGTAACATCCTGGTTATTAATCACTAAAAGTGGACAAACAGCTGATGGTTTACTTGGTCGGGGTGATGGATGAATAGAACACGTCATCCTCTTGAAACCAGCTTGTGGCTCGCTGACGGCCAGGACTTTACCATCGGCATACAATGGGTGTTGTAAAACTACTAAAATAAGTTACTTTTTGCAAATTTAGTGTTGAAATTTGTAGTACTTTTATTGTGGTACCGTTTATTTAATGTTGATACAATTCATGTTTTTTTTTTCCACACAGATACATACTTAACTTAAGTGAAAACTGATCTCTGCAAAGAACAAATACTGTTTAACATAAATCTGTTGGTTGCCATTCAGCTAAAAATACTGCAAGCAAAGAGTAGTTCAGGCCATGCATTGGTAGATGCCACCAGTGTTGTATCGGTCTCGTCAGATTTTGCATCAGACTTACTTGGTGTTAACGCGTGTATCAAAACCACCTTGTGGATTCATAGTTTGTGATGTGGAAATCACCGGAAACCTCTGCGAGCAAGAAAACCTTTCACTAAATGCTGCTCGTCTGTGGATGAATCACTCCTAATATTTGGCATTAGAAATCCTCCATGACAACACCAACGTGAAATGATGCTGCGACCAATCAGGCGACTTCACACGCTTGAATTCATATGAAAATGTAAACATTATATTCAGTAAAAATCCTCGTAGATGTGTTGATTTGGGTTAACACTGTAACTCAATTAGTCATTGTGAGTCAATTAAAACCATTTTCTTTTCCAACATAAAAATAAGAGAAACAAATCCCAATTTCCTTTTACATAGTTAAATAAATAATGACGGGTGGCACAAGTGTTGTTTTGATTTGGTCCCTTGAAGATCACATTTATCCCTAATATGTAACAGAGGGAGTGCTCTGTTAGCAAAAATACATACATTGCAGTAAATATTATTACATCCTCATTCACACACAAAGCATAATGTCCCTCAAAAGAATATAAAATGCTATAAAACCCAGTATTAGACTTCTGGTCCAATGTAGTGCTGTTGTCTTAGAGAAGATTCAAGTCAAGTTGAGCGGTACACCTAACAGCCAGTGAATCAGTTGTTGGAGGTAGTTCATCGCTTTTTAACTTGATACCAGCTCAATAATCTCAGATCACAAATGTCACTGATCACCGTTCAAGCTCTTCGACTCTATCTGCAGCGCCGCCTCCACGCTGTCCGTATACCTGAAGCCCTGCAGATCAGCTGCTAGGAGAACCTCCAGAACAGAGAGCTAAAGGTGGAGGACAGATACAGAGGGTGTGAGATAAAAACAGAGGGACCAACATATATTTTGTTGTGTTGTTATAACAACTAAATTCTGGCCCCGAACAAAAAAGGCATTACCTGCAATCTGGAAAAGACCAGTTGCACTTCTCGCAGGTTGAACTGCCTCAGCAGGTCCCTGAGCTCGCTGATCACTGTGTAATCTATGACGCTAACATGATGGCAATCCAGGACCACTGACCGCGGAGGAGACGCTGGGGGAGACATGTCAGAGGGGAGACAGACAGGTGGTTAAATGAGAGTCAAATCTGAAAGAGAGGAGGTGGCTAAACAAGACAGACATCACTACACACTACCGTAAGTGTCCTCTAAACACAAAGACAGACTATCAAACAAACCCTGCAGCGCCTGAGTGTGTATGATGTGACTGAGATACTCTGTGGCAGGAAAACTCAGTCCACTGCCCAACTCCATCACCAGCACACCGTGATCAGACACCTGCACACGACAGGAACATGACGGGAACACAGAAAGAGGAAGAGCAAGAGTTAATGCAAAAAGGTCTATTGAAGCTATTGTTAACGGAGAAACCTGTGTGGGAGAGTAGAGCACTGATACTACTGACACTCACCGTCCTGTACAGAATATTACCTTTATCGGTGGTCTTGCTGTGTTGTAGAGCAGCAGAGCTCCGGATACAGCTACACCTCCTACGATGCCGTACTGCACCTGCCAGAAGCTCATCAGGAACGTCACAACAAACGGCAGCAGGTCCAGCTCTGTGGGAGACACGCGAACATGAGACCACAATAAAACAAACAAATTACACGCGAGACAGAGAGGACACCTACTGTGTATCTTCCACATCTTGGCGACAACACGATAATCCACCATGGGAGCTACCGCGCAGATGATAACAGCAGCTAGACAGGCTTTGGGGATGTAGTAGAAGGCCGGCATGAGGAACGCCAGGGAAAGCAACACGATCACACCTAGAAACAATAGAAAACACAAAGAGAGAAGGGGAGAGATTTAGAGGGATAGAAGACAAATGCACAGCAGAAATGAAAACTAAACACACACACACTGAAATACAAGAGAGAGAGAGAATGGAAGGGCACAAATATATGAAAATAGGCTTTTTTTGTTGTTACAGACGAGGATTTTAAATGCATAAAGTTGCTCATGCTGGGCTGCCTCTGTTTAAGAATAATGTTGTCTCTGCTGTCATGTCTGCTAAAGACAGTTTTCCTTTCACCCTTCCACCTCTGACCTCCATAACAACCCCTCAACAAACGAGAACGAGAGAGAGAGAGAGAGAGAGAGAGAGAGAGAAAAGAAAGCAAGGAGACTGAGAAATGTGTATCTCCACAAGACGGCGGAAGAGATACAGTGAAAAACGAGTGTCAGGACTCACCGGTTACGATCCCTCCAGCCGGAGTGCAAACACCAGTCTGGGAGTTCACTGCTGTCCTGGGTGTGAGGAGAAAAACATGACACTGTAAATATTGGACATCTGAGCTCTCTCTCTGTCGCCGTCTCTCTCTCTCTCACACAAACACACACCTCCCGAAGCTGCCAGTGACGGGGTAGGCTGACACAAAGGAGCCCATGATGTTGGTCAAACCAATTGCCAGCAGCTCTTGGTTGGCATCAATTCTGTAGTCGTTCTGACTGGCTGAGGAGAAACCGGAAGTTAAAATCAGTCGGACGATGAAACACTCTTTAGCATTCTTTAGCTGCCTTGATTTTCTGTTGCTAATAGGTGGGTTTGGTTAAACTCATTGCGACTTCTTGAAGGAGCTAAAAAAAGTCTACAGCTACGCTAGCAGCTTTGAACTAAATGCTAACATGTTTACGATTAAAATGCTAACTATGCTGATGCTTAGCAGTTATGATACAGCTGGGGCTGACAGGATATCATTAGCTCTGTAGGTATCTTGTCATAAACAAAGTATTGGACTAATTAACATTTGGGCCTAATGATGGCACTAGAGGAAAATGTAAGGGATCACCAAAGTTATTACAAGTCATCCTGTGTGGGACATGGATTTCTGTACTAAATTTAATTGCAAACCATCCAATAGTTCTCGAGTCATTTCCCTCCAAACAAGAAATGTTAACCTCATTGTCGTGCTGGGGGAAAAGTCAGGCGATCAGTTGTTGAGATAGTTCAGTCTGGCGACAGACCGAAGTGGCCCTTCACTGCTAGTGTGGCTAAAAACACTTACCAAAAGCTTTAGCAATAGCAATGCTTTCCAACAGACCCATGAAGGGAATCACAGCGAGCGCTCCTCCAAAGCCCTGCACAAAACACACAGAGAGGAGGACTGGCTGGTCAGCTGCTCCACTTGTGACCTGCAAAGCTTTTGGGGAAGTGAAAGCAGCATCGTCTCTCTGCTCCTTACCTCAACTATCTCTCCAAAGGAGACGACGGTGCCGTTGGCTGTGGTGTCCGAGGTGGGTGGAGGTCTGAACGGCGGGAGCCCCCGGGAAGTCTCCCCGGTGACCGTAAACACGGGATAACCGTAAGCATTCCAGGAAAACGCTACGAAGGATGCGGCCACGACCACAAGAGCGTTACGCACTGACCACGACAGAGGAGACATGAACAAAACGATAAAGACATCTGTATCCTGGCATACCTCTCAGTCAAACCAAATAAAGTAATATTCAATAATTCATTTTTCTTAATCCTTTGTAAAACACCGTCATTGTTGTCCGTGCATTTGAAGAGGACAAGCACATGCACACTCACAGACACACGGTCACATGCACACTCACAGACACACGGTCACATGCACACTCACAGACACACGGTCACATGCACACAGGTACTGACTGGTAGCAACAGTCCACACTAGTTTCCTGGCGACTCTGGAGCAGGTGGGGGCGTCCTCAGAGCCCAGGCTCGTCTTCATGAACGACAACATGACCAGCAGAGCGACACAAAGCAGGCCCAGCACCGCATCACCGATCCTGGCCTCTGGGATCTTGTAGAAGGTGTAGTAAACCTCCAGGAAGAACTCGTGAGGAATGCCCTGGAGCCCCAGAATATTCTAGAAACAGAAACAACAACGGGACCACCATCAGCTGAAACCACTGACACCGAGAAGAGTTGAGTCAAATATAAACACAGTGGGTGAACAAGAGAAGTTTTTGCTTTTTGGAGTGAATATTTCTTCTTTATGAAATAAAACTGTAGAAGCAGCAGTAGAGGTTTGTTAGCTTCTGCTGAACGGCATAAACAGTGATCACACAAGTGACAATGACAGTAATACAGAAAATCAGCCGCCATAAGCTGCTGGTCTTAGCAGACCAAGTGAGGCTGCAGCAGTGAAACACATTTGCATATTATATTCAACATGTGTGTGTTAAGAGCAAGAAACTTCATTATTTTTTCAAATGTTAATTAGTGTTTGTGTAGACGTGTTTAACTCTCACCTTGACCTGGCCGAAGCCAATGGTTACCGCAGCAGCACAAGTGAAGCCTTTTATAACAGGGAAAGAGATGAAGTCCAGCAGGAAACCTGCAGATGAGCAACGCAACGAACGATGACACTGAACCTTAAACCAAAAACAAAATAAAATAAAACTAAAATGGTTGAGAGATCATCAGACTTCACAGACCGCGTGTGTGGTTAGGCAGAGGAAGTCATACATGTGGTGGTAGGAAGTTGCTCTCCTGCACAAACTAATTTCCTGTTTCCTCACAGTCTCTAACATGCATCTCTAGTTTCTGATACTGTAATGCTGATGCATCAGGTTTTGATACAGAGCTAACACTTAACTTACAGACTGGAAGACGTAACAATAAAATATCATTGCTACTGGAAAAAAAACACATTTATACTATTAAGTAAAGAATACTCACCTAATCTCAGTAATGCCATTCCCGCCTGGATGAGTCCACAGAGCAGCGTGAGCAGCACGGCTCGGTGTGGCTGCCCCCCCACCACGGAGAAACACAGCAGGGACATGATGGCCGTGGGACCCAGTGTCACATCCTTAGACGTCCCCAGGAGCGTGTAGATGAAGCCCCCCATGAAGGCAGAGTAGAGTCCGTACTGTGGAGAGGAATGCTGTTAAATTGATTTGAATGACTGATTTAACCACCTCTCCTCTCAAAAATGTGTTTTTCTTCTTAGTGCTTCACCAGAGTTTGACAATATAAACCTTCTTTTCCACATTAATCTGCTGGAAGGGGAAGGTTTCCCTTGTGGAAGGTAATGGGGCTCCAAAATAAGGAATAAAGAATACCGGAGCAAGAAGATTTTAACAACTTTGTGACTGAACATAGTCAGTCAAAGGAGAGCTAAAACTAAACGGAAGTTGAATCCAAAAGGATGAAGCATCACAAATAAACCCAGAGGACTCACCTGCACGGGGAGGCCGGCTACCTCAGCGTAAGCCAGCGCCTGCGGTACAGTCGTCAGCCCGACGGTGAGGCCTGCGAGCAGATCCATCTGAAGCCACTTCAGCTTGTACCTGGGCAGCCAGGAGAGGATCGGCAGCCAGGCCTTCAGCGTGCTGAAGGAGCAGCAGCAGCAGCCTCGGGCCGACAGTCGGCCCAGAAGAGGCCGATCCATTGCACAACTATTAGAGCGGAGGAAGGAGAACCTGGAGAGGATGACGACGGGAAAGATGATGAGACAGCAACAAAGGTTAAGTGACGTTTAACGTGTGCATGAGAAGGTGGTTACACAATAAAAGCCACTTACACAAAGGGATTAAGGTTCTGCCTCCTCTTTACCCAGAGGCACAGCGTTCAGGGAAACACGACGACGATGTGCTCTGTGCGCATGCATGTGTCAGTTTGTGTTTTTCTGGACAAACACACGGCACATCAAAGAATGTGGACGCCATCTCTGCAGATGCATGATGTGATCTGTGTGTAATGACACAAGAAAAAAAAAAAAAAAAAAGAGTCTTAAGTCAACGAACTTGCAAGCTGAGAACCGATATTCTATATGTCTTTCTGTGACCATTGCCCCTCACAAGCTTTGAGCTCTTTATGATCACATGACTGTCAGATGACCGGTAAGTGCTCCGTATACCTGACTCTGATCAGGGATTGTTTTACAACAGCCACAACTTTTTCTGGCTTCATCTTACAGTGTAATGTTTTATTTATCTCTCATTGTACCCTATAATGTATTTATGTTATATTCTACAACAATCAGATGTTGCATAGCTGTGTGACTGGAACAAACAGAAAGAAAGAAATTAAGATAGAATAGAAAACACCACACAGTAAAATAGAATAGAATAGAAAGGCACCACAATAAAATGTATGAGAAAAACACAATATTCAGCAATAAACACTTTAAATTAGAAGACTAGAGCAGGTAAACAACACTATGTGAGATAATACAACGGAATAGAAAAACAACCAAATAGAATAGATTACAGCTGAAAAACAACACAATAGAATAAAAAAGAAAACAACACAAAAGATTAGATTAGAGCAGAAGAAGAAGAACAACATAGGACAGAATAGAAAACAACCGAATAGAATAGAAACTCACTAAATCTGGTGTCTTCTTCTTCTTTACTCTCTGGCTCTGCTGTGATTTTCAGGTCCTTTTGTGTCAACGCGTTTCTTTCACCATTTCCTAAAATGTAAGTCAATGCACTGATGAACTCCGAGCCGGGTTCCTGTTTTCTGTGCACATGTGATCTGTGTCATGTGACCTCGGGTGGGCGGGGTCTAAGTTTTGATGCGGAAGGATGTGAAAACAAATCACTGACGAAGATGTAGCTGGCGCATAACGCTTGCTGTCACTATCGGGATTCATTTTGAACGACTTCATTTGTTTCACTTTTTGAATGACTTCTTTTTTTAGGCTCACAGTTGATGTTTCAAAGCCAAACGAGCAGAGAGGTTGAGAGTTAGTATCATCAATCATCATCATGCTGCTCGAGCTGTTTCTCCTCATCTCGGCTTCATGTTGTATCGGAGAGTCAAAGAGGAGAAATGTCCTGCTAATAATTGGTGAGTGGACTTCAGATGCCTTTTGAACTGGACTGATGCTGAAATATACAGTTATAACGGTCCTGTAATGAATCCTATTGCATTATACAGAGAGGAGGCTCTGTTGTTCAGCCTTCCCTCAAAATAACAGAAACCCCTCTCTGTGTAATGATGGACACTTTGTGGTCAAAGCATATCAACATGCTCCTATGCATTTCATTCAGCAAATCCCTGCAGCCAGGTTACAAAGTGTTGTCCACATCCTGTTGGCCATGTTGCCTCACAAATGTGTCTTTTCCGTCTTCCAGCCGATGACGCAGGTTTTGAGACGGAGGTCTACAACAACTCTGTGGTCCACACGCCGCACCTGCGCTCTCTGGCCCAGCGTAGCCTGGTGTTCAGCAACGCCTTCACCTCCGTCAGCAGCTGCTCCCCCAGCCGCTCCAGCATCCTCACCGGCCTGCCGCAGGTAAAAACACACACACACACACACACACACACACACACATGGAGGCCTCTCATTTGTGCACGAAGGCACCATCTTTTAGGTCGGTTTGATGTGTTTTTTAGCACCAGAACGGCATGTACGGGCTTCATCAGGGTGTTCACCACTTCAACTCGTTTGACGGAGTACAAAGTCTACCGCGGCTCCTCAGCCAAGCTGACGTACACACAGGTGAGTAACAGAGAGACCAGTTCATCTCAAGTCTACTCTCTCACATGCTCTCTTGCCTCTAATCACCATTTCATCCCCTCGTGCTCTCTCTCGCTCACACAGGTATAATTGGGAAGAAGCACGTCGGCCCTGGATCTGTTTACCCTTTTGATTTTGCGTACACGGAGGAGAACAGCTCTGTCCTCCAGGTGGGGAGGAACATCACCCGCATCAAACTCCTGGTCCGCAAGTTTTTCCAGACGCACAACGAAGACGCTTTTGAACGAAGGCGACAGAGAGAAGAGAATAAAGACAAAATAAAAGATGAAGAGAGGCCTTTTTTCCTGTACGTTGCCTTTCACGACACCCACCGATGTGGACACTCGCAGCCCCAGTATGGAGCTTTCTGTGAGAAGTTTGGGAATGGTGAAATGGGGATGGGCAGGATACCTGACTGGACACCCGAATATTACACACCAGAACAAGTAAAGGTCAGTGACGAACAGGTTTTTAAATGTAGAAAGAAATCCCACTCTCATCAGAAAACAAGGATCATTAGCTGTAAACACATGTATGTGTGTAAAACATGCATTTTTTAAAATATATACCCGTTCTATTCTCGTCTCGGGTACTTCAGGTTCCTGCCTTTGTGCCGGACACACCTGTGGCACGAGCTGACTTGGCAGCACAGTACACCACGGTCAGCAGGCTGGACCAAGGTATGTAACAACACCTACACATAATAAAGACACAAAAATAAGAGGATAGAGAGAAGCTACTCTTGTAAGACGCTGAGTTAGAACGGTGTGAGTTTCCTCTGCAGGTATCGGTTTGGTTCTTCAGGAGCTCAAAGACGCTGGTTATGAGAACGACACTCTGGTCATCTACAGCTCGGATAACGGCATCCCCTTCCCCAACGGCAGAACCAACCTGTATCGCTCCGGGACAGCAGAGCCCATGCTGGTGTCCTCTCCAGAGCACAGGGGGCGATGGGGAGACACCAGCCAGGCCTACGTAAGCCTGCTGGGTAAGAGATGGAGAAAGAGTGATTTTTTTTTTTTTTTTTTTGTTATTATTACAGGCTGTAAATGTAAATGTCTTCCAGAATTTTTTCCTTAATCATTTTTTGTGAGCTCTCAGATTTATCTTGGGCCCCTCGTGTGTTGCCAGGTTGGGAACCACTAGCTCACACGAGTGAATGAACAGGGAAGTCAATGTGTTCATCTGATGCGCTCAATCGGCCACAAGAGGGAGACTTAGCAATGATGCATCAGCAGCAGATCTCAGACAAAATAGGATAAACAGATAAGATGATAAATAATAATTAGTTTAAATGATTAATATGGCAACAATTCACGTATATAACTAGTAGGCGTATGTTAGACTTTAACATAAATACTTCTGTCCTATGAAACACCCTGTATCTAACAAGAACAGACCTGTTTCTAGTGTGTTGTTAAACAGTTTATTTAGCTTAAAGCGGGATAAAGGAACTCTTGATCCTTTTAATTCATCTGAAAAAATAAAAATCTCCAAATTTGGAGATGCAGTACGTTTTTTAAGTGGACAGTCACATGTTAATATAAAGATGTTAACAGTAGGTCATAATAGAAACACTCACTCTCGTTTCTCTTCTAACTCTCTCTCTTTTTTTTTTTTTGCCAGACATCACTCCCACTATTCTGGACTGGTTCTCTGTTCCCTACCCGTCCTACAGCCTCCCCGGCGGCCCCGCCACCCCGGTCCACCTCACCGGTCGCTCCTTGCTGCCCGCCCTGGACACCGAGCCCCGCAGCTGGCACACCGTGTACGCCAGCCAGTCCCTCCACGAGGTCTGTGAGCATCGCCACCGTCACAAACCGAGAGCACCAAGCGCAAGGCCTTCACCGCCGCACTGTCGTTTTTTATTTCAGGTAACCATGTACTACCCGACCCGCTCCATCCACCAGGGGGCATACCACCTACTCCACAACCTTCACTACCGCATGCCCTTCCCCATCGACCAGGACCTGTATGTGTCACCCACCTTCCAGGACCTGCTGAACCGCACAAGGCTGAGTGAGCCCACTCACTGGTTCAAAAGCCTGGAGCAGTATTACTACAGAGAGCGCTGGGAGCTGTTCGACTCCAGGTCTGTTACAGCTCAGGTTGTTCCGTCGTGTTTTGGGGTAGGGAACATGTTCACCATGATGATTAACAGATAAATGTCCGTCACGTTTGGTAAATGAGCTTCGAGGTCAAAGCCCGAAAGAAGAGCGCTCACAAAACCTGACATCGATTGGTGGATGCCATGAGTTCCTCTGATTTAAATGAGCTGCAGCGGCCACCGTTCATATTTTAGTCATTTAGTCAGAAGGAAATGTTCGGAAGTTGGCACCATAAAGGAGAGAAAGTGTCCTAAATCTAAATAAAATTTGAATATTCATAAGAGAAAACTTCACCGTTTTAGACATTTTGACCCTCATTGGAATTAAAACAATAAAGCTTTATTTTAGTTGAACTATTTATTTGGTAATAGTTTACCAATCATTTTCTAGAAGAAAGAAATATGTAATCTGATACTATGACCTCAGTATAAGGCATTAACAGCTTGTCCTCTCGGTTTATGAATTTGAACAAATGCTTCACCAACACAGGACAGACCCACTGGAAACGAGGAACCTGGTGTCAGACCCGTCCTACAGCGATGTGCTGGAGAGCCTGAGGCAGAGTCTGCAGAAGTGGCAGTGGGACACGGGGGACCCCTGGGTCTGTGGACCTGACTACGTCCTGGAGGACAAACTAGAGCCGCACTGCAGACCACTCTACAACGGACTCTAATGGGACTTTTACTCATCTGGATTGACATGATGTCCGTGTACATGATCTCATTCTTCTTATAAAACAAAAGACATTTCTAGTTTTATTTTTGTATGCCAGTGCTGCTTTAAATGTTAAATAAACACTATTACTAATTCCTAACATTGTTTTTGGTAAAGCATCATTCTTCATGTATCCAGATAATTTCATCATTCAAGTCCTTCTTGTGTCTCTATACATTTAAGGAACATTTCGCCATCCTCCAGACGCCCTCATTACCCTGTTTCACAGGAGGGCAACATGGTTACACAATATATAACTGTTTTTGTTATTTGATTGAACAAATGTAGATGCATCCCTCTTTGTCGTTAGTCCCCATCACTACTGTTCTGCTGATACGCAGGCCGTAGAGCTCATGACGCATGACTGGTGAGGTCGGCAAATGCATCAGTAAAAGGGTTTGTATTGATTCCTCAGAGGATTCCTCACTTTGAAGTAAGAATGATTCTCAATCCATCCGTGTAGAAAGCAGTTGGGACGGAATACAATTTGGATCAGTCGACTATTCACTCGTGTTTATTGATCTCCTTCTTTGTACTTCTAATCTGTCCATTCTCACTGTTGAGGTCTTCTAAAGCCACGCACAGTGATTCTACTTTGTTGTGCACCTTTTGATGCATGCAGTGGGTAAACACCGACCCCATAACAGCTTTTATGCACTTTGTGTGTGATTTTCCAAACCCAAAAATTATATCAACTGACTTTTCACGGCATGATGTCTGAAATCAACCAGATTGTAGAAAGGAAACAGTTAAGCTTCTGAAATGTATTGATGTCTTTAGACAATCGGGACATTTTAAATGTAATAATTAGTTTTTCAGATTAGTGAGACATACAAAGTCACTCATTCATTTAGTGACTGTGGGCATCTGACGTCATTATGATTTCCACAATGTCGCAACACATCTCCCCCTCACACTCTATACCACACCCCCCCCCCCCTTACAACAAACCATCCAAACTGATCAGTTTGGATTGGTCCTCTTTCTTCTACCGCATAAAGATGGATCACCATCCGCCCACCTCAATTCTGATTTGACGAACGTCCTGGGTCACGATAACGTCGCTCATTCAGCCTATATAAGCAGCGGGAAGTTTTTCAAACACCCAGCAAAACATAAAGTCGGCCTCTGACCAACAACAGCCGAGATAAGCGCCGTTTTCCTTTGCGTAAAAAGTGCCAAGACGGTTCCAGACATGGAATGGTCAGTCAGGTTTGCCGTCGTGTGCGTCGGAGTGTCTCTGCTCATCTCCTGCCATCCAGTCGAAGCCTGGTACAAGCAGTCGACCGGGCCCAGTTATTACTCGGTGGGTCGTGCCTCCGGTTTGCTGTCCGGTATCAGGAGGTCGCCTTACGTGCGGAGGTCCGAGTCCGAAGAGACGCTGAATGAAAGCGGGGAGACGGCAGGTAACAACCTGATTCCAGAGACCAACAGGCAGATCTCCATCCTAAAAAGCATGGTAAGTATAAGATACTACAATCTTTATTCCTGTAAGGGGGTGTTGTTGTTTTTTCCACTGATGATGAAATTGAGAAGAGACGAGTAAGAATTGCTTTCCTTTCAGCACCATGAGAGACACATTTATAAATATTGAAAGCACAGAAACCTTCGGCAGATATTAGACAGCACATGTGTTACCTTTGCTTTCATAAAGACCACGACACAAACTGTTGAGATGAAAATCTTAACTCAACCGTTGAACAACTCGTGCGTAAAAGGGCAAACCGGTCAGCGCTGCAGGTCAAAGCGCAGACATCTGCATCAGATAGTGAAGAAAGATGAATGACAAAACGGTCATTCAAATGTTCAGAATTTTAAATCATACGGACAAAACCTGAATAAAGGTAAAACATAGGAAGAATGAAAATATAGGATCTCTCTATAGGCAACTGTTAATAATTAAACAACATTTTATTATTACAGGAGGAGCCTACTATTATTTCTGCGCTGCGAAATAGTAGTATTATTAGTATTGGTATTATTAGGTCATATCCGGTTGGTTTGAGGACTTTTCAGTTCTCAACTTACGATTCTTTCACCCCTTGTTCTCACCTCCTGCAGGCCATCTGTGTGAAGGACATCTCTCCAAACCTAAAGAGCTGCGAGCTGTTGCGGGACGGGACGGGCACTTTCCAGTGCAAGGCGGACGTCTTCCTCACCTTGGACTCCCTGGACTGCCTGTCCGCGTGAGTCCCGGTCGGACCGGCGAAGACAGTCCTGGTCCTCCAGCGAGCTCCGGGAGCGCTTCTCTGGACACGAGAAATAAAGGAAAGAAAAGAAGGATGGATGAGTGAGTAGAGGTGATGGCTCAGAGGAAAACCTGATCACTGTCGACGATGGACCGCTGCAGACTCTGAATGTTCTGTTATTTAAAAAAGAAAAGAAAAACTCAATCATTGTTCAGTTTGACTTTAGTTGTGTAGACAGGAAAGAGATGTAGCTAAAACCATCTTCTTTCTAGATGACTTCCCATCTTTACTGTTTAACCACTGACATGTAACCTCTGTTACCAAAATGTATTAAATGTCCAGAAAGCAGATCAGATTTCCTGTACTTTTATTTATTTTATCTATTAAAATGAACAAACACTGGTAACCTGTTGTGTGGCTTAAATTTGTCTTTAAATATTCAACTAGTGGGGGATGGAAACGGGAAAATAAGTGATCCACCATACTGCCTTGATTTGCTATACCTTCATCAATTTACATGATTTTCTTCAAACCTGCAGTTTCAGTACAATACACAGTATACAGACCACAAATAAATCAATGTGAGAGAACGGCCTTTAAGACTTAAAGAGATACAGAGAAGAGTAAATATTCGTTAATTACATACACATAATAAGCATTTAAATTACACAACAGCAAAACCCCTTCATCATAAGGCACTTGGGGTGTTTTTCATTTTTCTTTAATCTTCAGTGTTTATATCAGAGAGCATCAGTCATTACATATCTTGTTTATTACTGGAGTCACAGAGGAGATGGTGTGATAGCACAGTCAGCTGTCAGGGGAGCCTTCACATCAGTCAGACCCCGGCAGAGTTAATGCCACACAATCACATATATATACGAAGCATCATCCCGGTCGACAAATCAGGGTTTGTGAGTGTGTGTGTGTGTTAGATAAAGGAATAATAATCATCGGCATGAAACACAAGTCGGAGGCTTCAGGGAGGTTTCTTTACATACACCCAATGTCTTATATTAAAAAAGCAGCGAGTGGAGGCACAGATTACAATGAGCCGAGTGTGAGAGGACGAGTAAACACAAACTGGGGGGTGCTTTTAAAGTGATCACCGCCTCATTAGGAGGGTGTGACGCACGGGATGTGAACAGACACAGTGATGGATGAGCGGAAAACACACGATGGTATGCATGAGTGAACCCTGCACAGAGGAAGTAAAGAACAAACAGTAAATCCTCACCCCCTCTCTGTCCCGCCCTCCCACATACATACACACACACACACACACACGGAATAAATGGCGTGCGTATATAACAAGTCCTCAAAATGTAACTTCACTATTCATAGTCTGATTTTGTAGTACAGTTTAAAATATAAATGCCCATTTCTCAACACAAGGTTTCAAAAAGTCATCGTTTTAGGGCTCAAACCCAAGAATCAAGCATCACAGAGGATGAAATGCAACAGTTTCAAAGAGCGTCAGAGCCCCCAGGCTGCACCTGCAGAGAGAAAACGACGTGTTTGGAGCTGATGATCTTCATGTCATTTAAAATGAGACATCATCGACTGTCCAGTGAAGTCGGACCTCCGCTGGCAGTTACAGGAGCGACACAGCCTCCAGATTCTCTTTGATTATCGTGTCCATAACCACCTGGAAGACAACCTGGATGTTGGAGGTGTCTGTGGCCGTGGTGAAGTGGTGGTAGATGAGTTTGCTGGGAGTAGCGTCGAGCGAGGCGAAGGTGGCGGCGATGAAGCGGGCCGACGAGTCCACGTCGCAGTCTGCACCTGAAAGGGGAGATGAGGAGGCGGATGAAACATCTGGCTCCTTTCCACAGAACACTGAACAGGTGTGGTGTCAGCCAGCCGTGCGTGTACACCGGGAAAGATTGTGAAGTCGCTCAGGTAACAAAACAATTGCAAAACAGAAATTATGAATTGCATGTTTGTGTTTCAGAAGAAAGAAAAAAACACCACAAATAAGATTCAAAATTCTTGTGAGGCTGATCTGTTTTACATTTGTTGTCACAATAACCCATGAACTACGACAGGGACAGGAGGACAGAGGGACAGAGGGACAGAGGGACAGGCATCACACCAACCATCAACCCAGAGTTCATGAAAAACTAGTTCCTAAGCAGTAAAGGAAGAAGTATTCAGATCCTTTACATAAGTAAAAGTACAGATGTATCATTTTCAGTAAAATGTACTTAAAGTATCAAAGTAAAACTACTTGTCACCCAGTGACTAATATATGATCATATATGACACCATTAGATCCTTTGGCCCTCCAAAGAGTCTCAGGATACATTTACTTTTTCTGTAGTCTTGTTTTTTTGTTAAATATTTTAAAGTTATTTAAAAGAACATACAGAGAAAAAAAATCCTCATAGACGCCTGAAACTTGACAAGAGGACACAACTACACACAGTACTGTGAGGGAGCCACTGTATTAGACTGGTCATCAGATCTGAGGTCATGCTGGCTCTGCTGGCTGACCCCAATCCCAAGAGTTTTAGCATTTATATTGACATTTGCATGAGAGCAGAGAGGACGCAGCCCCTGTAGATCCCACTGAGACGTGGGGAGCAAACTGCTGAGCAGAGTGGATACAAAAATCAAGAAGAAAATCAAGATCGATAATAATCAGTGTGTCTTTATGTTTAAAAGCCCCCAAACTGTGAATGTTGGTCTTTCCTTTTAATGTACATGGGCTCTTATGGCTGAAATAAAATCTATTATTGTTCATTGTATGATGCATATGATGATTTAATTAAGGGCTACACCTTTGAGTAAAATGTCCTTTTCCGATGGATGATTATGTACAACTTTACCTGTGTTTCAAAAAGGCCGAGTATAATCGTATATGTAACAAGTTCTGTTCATTACTGACAACTGTTTCACCCCTGCAGCTGTATTTTTGGTGTCTTATTCTACGTCCATGTGGACAGTTGTATCTGCAGGACATCATAACATGCACATCAGTCCTACCTTTAAACTGTGGCAGGTATAAACGCAGATGTCGCCCAGAGTGTAAAATCTTGTCTTGAAAAAGGTCCATCTTGTTCATGAATAAAATCTGCAATAAAAACACACAGAGAAAACAATCAGCTGAGAGAACGAGATGCTCATCACAAGTCTTTACAGATATTTACCTAAAATGTGACGATCGATAGCTGTGTTGAAACCAGCATGGGGCGAGGATGGCGGATCAATGAGCTCCATCTACTCATCAGTTTGCAATCAATCCCTCACAGCTGCTACTATATAAATCTCTGGCTCTAAACTCAACTTGTGCTCCTCTGTCGCCACATCTCACAGGAACTTTTGGTTTTGTAGTCAACCAATTAAAACTAAGGCCAAGTGTTGTCTTCTCCGTCCCCTTTGATCGCAAAAACACACATGAAACAATATAACGACGAGAAGGATGAGCAGATGTTCAATGAACAGGATACGGAGCAACACCTGTGTGTGTAATGATCACTGACCAGCCACAGTGAAGCGTTAACCCTCCCACGTTAAAAAGGTATTAAACGCTTCTGTTTAATGAGATAATTAGACATGTTAATGTGCAGGCCCACACACAACCCGGCACATAAACATGTCACACACACATTTAATTGTCCATTTGTCTCTAATGAAGCCTTAAATAATAAAAACTTGTAACACTTTGGTGTAACTTTCTTGTTCAGATCTCTGAGATTTTCCTCACGGTCTCAATATATCAAACTAAAACCTAGTGCCTTTGATTGGAGTTTTCTTTCTATAAAGGCCCGACAGCAATGTTAAAAAACAGTGATCACGGTGACAGGCTTCTGGAAAAGTTGCAGAAAACGCTGCATAATCAACAGCAAGTGACACTCGCATCAACATGCACGGACTTGTCTTTTAAGTGGGCTTTAAATGAGAGGGAAGTGGAATGAATTGAACAAGCTCGTTACACGCTTGTTTTAACGCGATCATTTACCGGAAAGGAGAACGGAAAAACACAGAGGGGGGAAAATGAAAATGTCGCCTCGCCAAAGCTCACCCTAATTACAACTCGCTGTTTAATTACGAGTGACGGAGGACTCAAGAGACAAAGGGATGGGGCTGGGCCCTCTGTGTGTGTGTGTGTGTGTGTGTGTGGAAACAGCATTTATCAAATGCATTAGTGTTGTTCTTGTCTCATGGTGTCATAGAGCTAATGGGGAGCCACAAAAAGAGTTCGCTTGCGTCACCTCCATGTTTTTTGTCAAACTTAATTGCGGTTCTCACCCTCTTCAGCTGGACCCTTGTTGTTGTCCTGTTATTTTTAAATATAGCTGTAGCTACTTGCCAGTCCGGAGGAGTGGTGGATAATTCAACGGAAGTTTCCACAAAACTTATTTTTTAAGTGAAACAAACAGATCGCAAAGTCTTTAAGATTGTTTTTCTGTACTGTCATTATATCACTTTATAACCACCTGGAGCTGTGGCTTACAAGATGAGTTGGGTTTGAGGGGCCAACACATCAACTGTATATAAAGATACAGTCAACGGGCCAACACAGTGAATTAGGGAGAAACAGGACTAAGACTTTGTGAGGCTGTACTTATGCACAGTGTTGCTTTGAGTATACTGCTAACATCAACATGCTCACAATGACAGCGCTAACGCGATGGTGTTTAGCAGGTTAGCCATGGTCATTATACTAGTTTAGTGCGTTAGCATGCTAACATTAAACACACATCACGGACGGTTGCCGTGTTATTATGAATCCCGCTGCTTTTGTTGGCAAGACCCGCCTTGTTCAAGCGCTGGGATTGGCCAGGCGTCCATGCTCGTCGGGGTACCGGTAACCTGATTCGTCCGGGTCCTATGCCCTGACCAGTGGGCCGTCCTGACCCTAACTACTCAAGGTCAATGCCTAGCCCTAACTAAATGTCTCTGGCTCATCTAGCTATGTAGGGTGGGTCTTGCCAAGAAGAGCAGTGGGATTGATGATTACGCCACTTTGACATGTGGACAAGAGGAGCCGGGGATCAAACCACCGACCACCGTCTGAGCTAGCTAGCAGGCTGTAGAATCTTAGTCCTTTTACGTCATCTTCATCCTGAGGTGAGCGACTGATGAATTCCTCACCATGGATGTGCTGCGGAAGAAAAAGTTGTTGCAGATGGAGGAGAAGAGCTTCATGCTCTCCTGAAGACGATTCTGCAGAGAGAAGACAATAACACCGTCAGGTAGCTGCAGAGGAGCAGCCATTTCGTCATATTTAAAACTTGGTCTGTGAGGAGACGACGTAATGACGATTGGGTGAGACTCAACAAATTCTCTCTCGTTGCTTTGTCTGGAGAGCATGAACATTTGTGAGGGAGGGATTGAGTGCAGCCTGTACCACGGAAGGGTCTTCCACCAGGGTCATGTCGTAACCGCTGAGCGCCACCACGAACAGCACCGCCCTGACGTCCTCGAAACAACCGATCCACTTCCTCCGCTCAGTTCTTTGGCCTCCAACGTCGTACATCCTGTACACAGAGGGGCGGAAAAAGTTGGATGAGGAATTGAGCTGAAGAGGGGGAAGTCAAGGTGCAGCTAAAGCTTTCTCTAATAAGAGAAATGAAAAGATCTAAAACAACATAAAGAGAAACAGGTTTTCTTTTCTTGAAACAAGCCGTTTCAAAAGTGATTTGAGCAGCTTTCACAGCACTCGACTTAACTGCCAAGATACATCAGAGGAATACATTCAGGTTAGGTCGTGTAAATCAAGCAAACATTCCAGCAACATTCAGCTGCGTACTGAAATTGTAACTTAATTACTTCGCCAGGGACCTTCATGTGTTATATACAGAATGTGTAAACTGTATATTGTGTGAGGCGAGGGGCTACAATTTGTGTCACACCATTTCCAGGATAAGCAACACTGTTAAACAGTCAGAAAAGTCTTGATCTCTGTTTCCTATTTTAAGTAAAAGATGTAAATTGTGCATATTGAGCGGGCGGCACAACAAATGGACCTCACACTTCATCGGTCTGATTGTCAGACCTGTGGTCCACCCACACAGCTGTTTGACCATATTTCACTGATTAGAGCTCCTCTCAGGACCGTGTCGGTGCGTCTGATCTCCGTCACTTCTCGTCCGTGTCCCATACACTCGTCGTTGCATAATAAACAAACACTACAGTTTATAGCAGTTTACTCTTTAGAGAACTGTGGATTGAGATTTTGGACACTTATCAACCATCTGTCCGCTGTAGAGTCGCACGATTGTAATTTTCACATTTACCAAATGCAACAATGCATTGTGGGACTGTTTATTATATAATAGCATTATATAGTGCAGACATTTCACACTGAGAATTTGGGCTCTAAATACAGCGCACTATATAGAAAACAGTGAACTTACACCTTTATTATTATCTTTAGTACACAGAGTTTGATGCCCAAAATCAACTTGAGCTAAGTCTAATCAGCACAATAACTGAAAACAACTGTGTGGGTGTGCAGCACCTTTAAATGTTTGCCTTCAACAGATTAACCCATTCTGGCCACTGACATATAGAGAACTATATATAAATTTAATAAAACAGAGCCATTGTTAATGTAGTTGACTACACCTGTGCGTTTCCTGCCGCGACAAGTCAAAATGTCGGCTTTGGAACCGGACTTATTGCCGCACACCCTGCCAATAGGCCCATGATAAAAGTGGGAGACGGGTATGCAATGACGAAATAATTATTAATTGGATAAAACAAAAAAAAAACAACGATTAAAGATGTTGAGAAAGGCAAGTAACAACGAAAGCTGTGTGACAATTGCAGAGGGATAAGAGAGATCCACACTGTGATTCTGGGCCCAGGTGCAATTGATTTAGCAGGGTGACACACTCCAACCAGGGACCCTCAAGAGAGTGAACACGCACGCACGCGCACACACACACACACACACACACAGCAATGACTCTCATACCACGGAGAAGTCATTTTGTCCATACGCTCTTAAATATGACAATTTCTGGCCTCCCTTTGATACTCAGATAACAAAACAGCAGTTTCTTTTCCGTCTTATTTCCGAGGCAAGAACATTCGATTATTGTTATCATTAATATTGTAAAAGACATAAGTAGGAGAACTTCAGGCTTATTTATCTATTTCTCGTTCACCAGACAGTGAAGGCAGCACTGTATTCAAGTTATTTACCAGCATGTGTGTGCAAGTATGCGATATGAAATCACATCGTGACTGACATGTCCTTTATCAGGATTCAATTTCCAGTAGAGAAGTGTAAGGCTGTGCTTTCAGTGTGTTCATGACCTTCCATACTGATCGTACAGTCGACTATAGCACTGAGGGGTAGCTCTAATCAATGACAGATTGTATTGGTTTTGGATAAGGTCAGATATTCCTAAAATATGTGATGTACACACACACACACATGCTCTCACACAAAGACAAGTGTGTCGCACATCTCTGAAGACCGGGCTCCCTCTTTTTTCAATTTTCACCAAGACAATAACAACATTTTTACCAGAGACAATCACAACACGGCAGCAAAATAAGCGTAAATGTCAATGTTCTCCAAAAGGACGAGAGAGAAAAACACAACAGGAATGAGAGCGGCAGAAACACACAGAGAGAGACGGACACACATTAGTTTGTCCCACTTCACCCATTTTCAAAACCAGATGTGCCATCTCCCACCTTCCATTTGAGCATCCATCGAGTTAATGCCACTCTTTATTTGAGAGGGGAAATGAACATGTGGAAACACAGACGCGCAGAGAGGGAAACAAACAGCGGAGGGCGTGCAAAGTAAAGACGAGGTAAGATTCCCGATGGAAACTTTCCGTGGAAAATGATGTGCGACACAGAACATGTCAGTGAAGCTGATGCTTCATTACACAAACCTACTCGCAAGCACATGTGCACAAGGTCACACACACGCAACACACACCACGATCCCCTCTCGGTGTTAGCTTTCATATCGTAGCTTTGCAGGAACAAAGACTCGTATGAACTCCAGGAAAGATGCGCTTCAAAGCTTTAGAAAAAGCTAGTGAGTGGACCTCGCATTAAGTTTTTTATTTTGTCTAATTTGTTGCCGAGATGTGTCTGGAGTAAAGAGATGTAGAAGATTTCAGGTCAACGAGTAACGATGAGTAATAGAACAAACTGGAAGCCCCAGTTGTCCTAACTTTAATATATCAGTTTATTCCAACATAAATCTGATTTTAGAGATCTTGATACAGTTCGTATGCATAGACTCGTACCAAATTTCTTTAAATAATATTACATTCACTCGGCCTTATACAGTGTATCTCACATCGTAAAGAATCACGTATTGTCGCGCCACCTTGGAAGATGGAAAACAATGTTGTGTAACCGTCGGTCGAGACTCTTTACCACGGGAGTCGCACACATCTACAGGGTCCTCATCTGATCTTAACCCTCCAGACACCTCCAGAGCAAAGCCTCCCAGCATGCCACGGGTGAGGGACTCTAAAAAAAGGTTAATTACCATGAAAGCAGAAGATTTCTACAACTGCACAGGTTTTAGTTTGTGATTTAGACTGAAAAGTGTTAAATTATTTTTACATTAAGCATTCATGATTTAAAATTACAATTACGAAATGAGTGTTCACATTTCAAATAGCATCGCTGTGGTTTGCAAACACATTTTGACTGAAAGATCAGGACTGGAGTCTGTCTATGGTGCACGTATTTGCTATTATTTATATAATTCTCTAGATGAAGACTGATTAAGCAAACTGTACAGACAGCAAACATGTTCCAAACCTTGACCCTGTCTGTATAAATAAATACTTTTCTTTATATGTCACACTTTGTCTTCAGCTAGTCCTCTCCTCCTTTACTCTCTCCACATCATGTTCACCCTCATCAGCAGTGTTTTAATGGTAATTATCAGAGCAGTTGATGTTAATGATGCAGGAAAAGACCCAGATCGTTATTACACTGAGGGGTTAAAGGTCAAACAGGACATCTGTATGCAAACTAGGCGGTGTCTGGGTGTAAAGTTGTGAGACGTTATGCTCTTACACACACACACACACACACACACACACATATGCAAGCCTACACACACAGAGACGCTAGGAAGACGATGGCTTGATGTCATCCCTTGCACGGTTGATTAAGTGTTTGAATAACAGGATAATGAGACCCGGTGTGTCGTTAATGTACCGGTTATTCAGGGTGTGAGATTTTTGATTGGTTCCTTTTTCAAATAATTCATCCAATCAAAACTGACAATCTTTTTAACATGAGCCTCAACTCCGGAGAACATGTGGTGTAAATTGCAGTTTTTCCAATAGAGGATACGTGGTGATCCGTCAGACCCCCTCATTCATATATTTTACAGCTTGTCTACTCTACCGTCCCACGCAGTGACCACATTCCTCGCAGTACATATGTTTTCCAGCTAATGTGCGACACAGCAAAGAAGATTATTTATTGTTTGAGAACCCCTTCAAAGCTCATTGGTTTCTCTGAAATGTAGGCTTTATTTTACAGTTGCCCCACAAGTTACAGAACAAACAGGAACGGATGAATCCATGTAAACATTCATCAACTACTGTTTGTTGTAATTGAAAGCTCTACTCTCCATCTTTGCTGAATTGTGTGCTTGCCTGTAGACAAATTTCACATTCAGTTGACCTGATGCACACTGACGAACGATTCAACAAAGATCCCAAAGCAGACTCAATCCTGGAATGTTAGGGCTGCATGCAGAGACCACTCGAAGCCAAAGGCCTGCACTTTTTTTACATTCATTCGTGGGTTGAAATTTGTGGATTCAAGTACAGTGAAATACTGAAGGAGTGAGCGCTGTTTAAAACCGTAAAGTTCAACATGAAGCAATTCTTAAATAATAAAAACGGGATTGCAGGGCGCAGATGCTGGCTCTGATGAGAAACCTTGAGTATCAACCAACAAGAGGGAGACAGTCATTGAACTGTAGGATGCAGTTTCACATTGTGCAGATCCTTACAATCAAGAAGAAACAGCCATCACGTGTTATTCATTTATAATCTCTCTACTGTTGAAGTTTGCAAATTACCTCAAATTTAAATCTTGTATCTGTAGCACACTATCCAGTAACCTTAGATATCCCTCATGTAAGAGAAGATAGAACTTTATTAATGCCAAAGGAAATCCTTGTGCCAGAGATTGATCAAAAATTACAACAAAAGATTAAGAAAAAACAACAGAATAAAAACAACGTGTTTATTATTATCTGCCGTCAAACTATAGTTGTGCATTCTCATTGGGGGATTTTAAAGCTTTATTATCCGATGTTTTTCTTAATTCTATTAACTGCTTTTAGTTCCTTGTTATAGTGTACTTGTGTTATTTCTATTTTGCCGTTTGTATTCTTGTGAATGTTTCCTGTTCTCTCTTGGAAAAGAGATCTTAACCTCAACGAGACTGCCTGACAAAATAAAAATGAAGAAAATAAAAACTCCGGTGTCTCTACTCATAGTGAAGGAAATCATTTGTTAACTCAGTTAGTAGAACTACAAACTGTCTACGTCGGAATGGAAAAACTCAAGCTCGATCTTTCTGACAAACACAAACCATCAACTCCTCCAAATCCCTTTAATATCCCCTTTGTTGCCAAGTTTGAAATAATTACATTGACTTATGCTAAGCTCTTCATCAACCTCAAGGGCTTGATCTCTCCAAGTCACAGGCACGAACCCACCCACACACACACACACACACACACACACACACACACCGTCCTGCAGCACCACCTGGGACTCTGCTCCCCTCTCTCAGGTCTGACGCCGTCACCTTGTGGTGACGTCACCATCACAATGTTTCACAGTGAAACAAAACACATTCACAAATTATTAAAAAGCAAAAACAACAAGCTTCTGAGTGACTCTACGGTGACGCAAACAGTAAGACTGCGAGGAGAAAGCTGCGCTGCAGAACAGATACGGTTATCTGTTGCCGGGAAACTTTTCCTGACGTGAAATACTGTCAAATGCAGTCAAAATTGGTGTATGTATGGCATTAAACGCAGGAACACTCTCAAGTCAGTGGCATCCAGAGACGTAAAAGAAGCATTTCGATTTCACACAAATACCCCTGACTGAAGTCATCTGCTGACAAACTGACTCGCTCTACAATGTTTATATGCTAAACAGAGATCTTATGAAAAGCTGAGGTAACGTGTTTTATCATTTTAATTCCCTATAAGATGTAATGTTGAGCATGGATGGCAGGTTGTTATTGTGGTAGAGAAGAGGTGCTCCTCAGGTAGACATTTTAAGAAAGAAGAGGAGAGTAATCGGATTTTCTTGAAGTGACACACACACAATAAAATGTGTGTGTGCTGAATGTATCCTTGTTAACCCTCCGTCCATGGACCATTAGTCTCCCCATAAAACCAAACTCCGGAAAATCAACCACAATCCAACACACTAAAAGCAGGCGTCTTGATTTTCATTTCTGCGGATCACAAATGTTTCGTGTCAATTTGTCCAATAATCTGTTTTATGATCAAACACACGGAGAACTGACAGGATTCCCATCAGCCCCAGAGTAGTTTGTGTTTAGTGCTAATTGGCAAATGTCTGCATGCATACGCGTTAAACACAGATGATGAGCAGGGTGAACATCATGCCTGCTTCATCATAGAGAGTACAGCACTTTAGCTCAAAGCTCCACTGTGTACAGTACAGCTCTCACAAATATCTGGATTATTTTCAAGGATACTTAAATTTGAGTTTCATAAAATATACTATATCAACCTTCAGCCACTTCTCTTAGATATTTCTTTGTGTACCCAATTTAAAAAAATCTACTTGTACAGTTAGTAGTTTCTTTAATTTCACAGGTTTCACAATTTCAATACTTTTAATTCCAAATACAAGACATATTTCCAAACATATATGTAAAAATCTGCCACCAACTAGTGACGTTTAGAATAGCTTAACATTATATTCTAACATTGACTAACCAGCAGATAATGAAAACGGTCAAGTACTAAAGCTGGCAGCGAGTGCTTGGGCAGATCCTGCTCGTGATTTATAGCGGATGCAACTTTGTTGATTTTATGCTGTCATTTTCTGCACATTCTGTACATTTTGTCAGGCTTTTACCTCTAAACAACAAAACTTCCTCAGCCCTTCTAACTCTCACAACTTCCATTGTTCACGCACAATTTACTCCAACTTCTTTCAGTGCTCGCATTACAACCAACACTTCAACTGTTTTTCAGTTTAACCACTTCGACTGACGCTGGAAGCTCAACTTATCCTCGGCTGACATTTCAGTTCCTTTCAGCGCTCGAACTTTGACTGAATCTTAAAATCCTTTCAGCATTCAGAAGTGATACTTCACCTTCACTTCATTTAGCTGTTCTCTCTTAACTTACAATTTATTTCAATTTCTGTATTTTGACTTCCCCTTCATCAGCAGCAAGCACATGAAACCATCTTCTTCAGAACACTTTGCCATTTCCAGTTTTATGCTGGATTTGTATAATGCATTCTTGTTAAAAAAAACAAAAACGTCCAAACAACATCATCAGCAGCTCCATGAGTGTATAGCATTAGAGGTTTTAGCGTGGGCTTTTTCTGTGATGCTGGTTTGTTATGCATCAGTCAGGCTGCAGAGAAATCAAGTTCATTAATATCCATCACCCTGTCGTAACCATCGGCAGCTTCAGGAAATGAGTTCAGCCATTGGAGGACGATAAAGACGTCGGTATTATGACACATCATTGATCAGAGATGAATATTGTCATCCGGCATCAGCCTCAGATACCTGCCGTCTGCTTCTTCACTGATAAGACGGAGCCCCTCGTGCTCTTGAATGTGTGTGTGGTCAGTAGATGTAAAGCCTAACGATAGCAGTCATATCCACGTATTGAATGAAGCCACCCATCTCCATCTCACATCTCGGGCCTATCACATGGCTGTAGACAGAGATAAGCGTGTCACAGCTGAAGAAGTGAAGTAAGTTGGTATGACAGGCGCTTTTGGAGAAGTCAAGTTCAGCTCGGACTGAGTCACTGGTTGTAAGCACTCTTATTCTGGAGTGTTAATAAAAAAGAGTGAAAGGCGTCTACCTGAAAATGAGACGGTTGACTTTGAACTGGGTCTCTATCACGCCTGTCGTCCTCAGTCGTACTCGCAGAACGTCTGTCTCTGTGGGCACGTAATCTGGAGAAGTGATGCGGGTCAGGTTCTCAAAGAAACTGCCAAACGAGGAAGAGGAGGAGGAGAGAGAATGGTGAAAGACAGAGGAAACGGGGGGGGGGGGGGGGGAGGGAGAGGTAGGAAAACTTAATAACCGGCAGACAAACTTGAGATCAAAAGAGAATCAGGTATCAGTTGCGGGTGTCTCGTATATTGTATGTGTGTGTGTGGCAATCAGCTGCCAGGTGGCGGGTAGAGCATGCAGTGATAAAGCTGCAGGCCCAGGGGGCGCAGCAGCTCATCACCATGAATATTCACACTGCAGTTTACCATAATAACACACCGAGGCTAAGCTTTCGAACTCAGATTAGCTATTAAGACAGCTATAGTGTAATCAACTGTACCATGTGTGTGCGCTCAGTGAGATGTGATCTTTTCTCACACACACACACACACACACACACACACACACACACACACACACACACACACACACACACACACACACACACACACACACTGACATCGCCACCTACCTAAACTGACGGTGACATTCTCAGCTAGTCATCCTGCATCAGTTTCTTGAACAGGGACAAACATCCTGCTGCTTGAAAAACACACTGCCTGCCGGACGCTGCGCAGTGAGAGCTTCTATTTTGTACTTCTGTCTTTGTGAGGACCCGTCTGAGTTTTACAGAAAGGGCTCATTTTTCATTTGACTACATTTTGACCAATCCTCAATTCTTCTGTTAAAGAAAAGAAGCTATAAAAACCCACTGTACACCATCTGCTCAGCATTAAACATCACAGAAACACAGTTAGATACGAGCTGGTGAACATAGTGGAGCATTTAGCAGTTACAGACAGGAGTTATCATTCCTCAGGAGTTGGTAAAGACCAAAAAAAAAAGAGCTAAAAAATAGTGAATATTGGACTCGCATTCATCAGGTGGACAGATACACAACTCCAAATGAAATATCATGTTGCTCCGTGACTGCTGGATGTGCCAATAAGCAACTGTTTGATATGAGACTCTATTGTCTATCTTGGACACATAGAGTACAGAATCTGTTGTAAACAAGCTGAGCCAAGTCACTTTATTTAGTAGAAAAATCAAAAGTGAGCACAAAAAACTGAGTACTTACAACTACACTTAGTACGGTGAGTAAAGTCATTTAACTTGATCCTCGAAAATCCTTGAAAATGTATGTTTTTTTCAGTCGTTTCAGTATTATTACCAATGAGAGTTATTCCCTTTCTAGATAAAATAAGATCCAAGTTGTACTAATTTGGAATATCCCCTTTAAAGCTAATTTAAGGATCTGGAAAATGTATTATGTCAATAAGGGTCCTCACAAGTATAGAAGTATGAACATGAGCGTGTGTGTGTGTGTGTGTGTGTGTGTGTGTGTGTGTGTGCCTCAGGAAAGTGGAGGGTGATGGTGATGTTCGGTGGTTCTCAGTGGGAACAAGGGAGGCTGTCGGTGTAGATAACGCCAGAGCCGAGGCCTCTCGCTGGGGTAGAGGATGAGATCGGACAACCTCCTGGTGGGTTCCAGCTCTGTCTTACACACGACGTCCTTTCTACACTCCTGTCTTATTTTCGTCTTCGTCCTCACTTCTTTACTTTCATTATTGTGCCTGCACACATTTGTCTTTTCCTTGAATATGCACATTTTTAAACATTCAGTCTTATTATTTATACCTCTACGTTTGAGCATTTGTTTGTGTTGCATTGCTTTGCATCCAAAACCAATAAAAAAACAAACTCATGCATGTATTTTAAAGATGTGAAATAGATGTATATAATACCCATGGAGGTACATGTAATTAATTACACATTACATGGGATTGTCTCACTCCCTCTTTCCTCTCCCCAGACTCTGATTCCCAGTGACAGCGAGCACACGGCCGAGCATCGGCTGCTAAGTCCAGCTAATTAGACCCCCGCACCTCCTCGACACAGCGGGAGTGTGTGCTGGCAAAGTACTCACTACAGTGCCGAGTCATTGAGCTCGTACTCGTATCCGCGGGCCGCCGCCGCCCTCACTCCCTGGTCGGCCAACAGACAGGACAGGGCGTGGCTAAGGAAAGGAAACAGCACCTGTTCTTCGTCAAAACAGCGCCCACACGACAGGACAGAATGGGCGTGGACCTGCAAGAAGAGACGGAGACAGATATATGGATGGATGGACGGCTGGTCAGGAAGGAGGGGAGGGCAGACGGAAAAGAGGATGTGAGTCTTAACGACAGAAAAGTTCAGCAAGTCTGTCTCGGCTCTTAAGACTCGGTAATCTTTACTGATGGACAAATTTATGGATATACACAAACACATACACACCCTGGTGACATTTAATAGAGGAAATAATTTGGTCATCATCTCCCGGCAAGATGTGCGTAGTGGGTGGACAGTGTATGATTTTTGATAACTTTGACAATAAAGTTCAAATCAAATTGAACCCCACAATCCAATCACCCACCCAGTGTAGCGCTCTGCTCTCATGCAAACAAACCGTTACTGTGTGTGTGTGTGTGTGTGTGTGTGTGTGTGGCGCTAGATGCAGCAGCTGTGGCTGCAGTGCTGAGATGCTGCTCTCTAGTGGAGATCTGGTGCAGTGACGCAGAGAAGAGGAGCAGGATGGAAAAGAGAAAGATAGAGAAGAGAGGGATTTGGCAAAAACAAGTTTGATAGAATTGAAAAACACAAAACGTAAAAAAGGAACAAACATGCAGAGAGACAGGTTGACACAGAGACGTGCAGACAGACTACCTTGTTCCTGGTGTTGGCCAGGTTGATCCGGAGGACGCCCATGCCATGGAGGACAAACTTCATGGAGGTCAGGAGGTTATCCAGCACTGCAGGCTGCCAAAGATCAACGGTCAACGGTTAAGTTTATGAACAGCCACGGCAACAGGAGGAAACTGAAAGTCATCACTAACAAGGACAACTTTTAAAAAGAGTACCTCATTTTGAATCATACAGGAATAACAGTCAACAGACAACCAGCTTAGCATAAAGACTGAGAATCACTGTCCAAAGGTAACAAAATCTGCCTCCCAGCATATCTAAAGTTCACTAATCAACACATTTTCATATAGTATTCATGGGGCATAGTGTGTGTATGTGTGTGTGTGTGTGCATTTCCATTTATCACACCCCATGGATCAGCAATCAAATCCTATTGAGAGCGTAGGAGAGGGAGAGTCACATGTAATTCACATAAATTAAACTCATAACTCTGTTTTAGTGCTTGGAAACCTTGAGTCTTTAGTGACTGAGCAGAATGACTCCTGCAGAGAGTCAGGATGTGTGTGTGTGTGTGTGCGTGCGTGTGTGTGCATGAGTTATACTCTCTGTCGCTCTCCTGCCAGCTCAAGATAAGCTTCACATTCCATCACGATTCTATCACGGTCTGGTCGCTCTTCTCCCTCTCTCTGTGTGTGTGTTTTAGTGTCCAGATCGAGATGTGTTGCTCTCCAAGTGAAATGTGCGAGGCGAGATAATTCGGTGAGGTGACGGGGCTTCATCTCACCAGGAGAGCTGGGCTGAGGGCTGCTGACACCGCGGCATCGGGGACATTTCGGGAGAACCTCGGCTGACAGCGCTGCATTGATTTGCGTCGGAAATAAGCTGCTTTGTGCATTTGTCTCCCTCTGCCTCATCATCACAGTCATCTGTTCAGATATGCAATTTCATACAACACTAGATTTGTTGTATCACAACACCACATTCTTGTAATCTTACAAACAATAAATATTTTTTGGTGCAGATTCTATGTTTTATGACCATAAGCATCACTAGAAACCAGGCAGTTGGTGATATAGGGGTGATGGCAAGCTTGAGGTTTGCTACAAAAACGTGTTTATGAAGTGGTTTCTGCTCTAGTTCAGGTTAGTGAACAATGGACAAAGACTAAGAGAGGCTTTCAAGTATGAAAAGTGCAGCTAAGGAGAAGTAAGATACGAACAGGACGAAGAGTCTACAGCCATGGTTGCAGCTCTAAAAAGCTGTACTTAGGTGCAACAGCGCATGCATTCTACCATGCTAACATGCTGATGTTAGCGAGGTGTAATGTCCACCAGGTTGACCTTCTTAGTTAGCATGCTAACATTTGCTCATTAGCAAGAGACATAAAGTACAGCCGAGGATGATGGGAATGAATTTACATTTGCAAATATCTGGTTATGAACCAAAGGGACAATAATAATGTTGACCTAATGATGGCTCTTGATGAAAAGTTAGCTGACCAGCTGACATTGACATCCCTAGAGCCGCGCTGCAAGTGTGACTAAAAAGTACGGTCGACACAAAATACAGGCAAAGTTAGTTCTTCCTAAAACGTGTTCCTTAGTGAAACTCTGTCACGCTCATCGGGACACAACACCCACACAGGTGTTCTATTCTATGGTCCAATAAGAACGATAACAAGTAAAGGTGACTGGCCCTAATAAGTGTAATAAAACTAACATGGGCGTAAAGGACGATGTCAATAACTGCCAGTTTCTGTGAGAGGAGGTCTAACCAGGAAGCACACGTAGAAGCACCTGTGTGGGTGAGTGTGGAGGCTTTAAAGATGAATGCAGTTACACACATATTCAATTGGGCCTCATGACACACTACATTACAAACGTACGAATTGAAGGGGGCATTCGAGCCTTGTACGAGACCTCTGCTAAATGTGTAGTTTCATCGTGGATTTATCTAGGCTACCTCTCCTGTGGATGTTGTTCTTCCATCTTCAAGATTCAGAGTTCTACCTCTGCTACCAGGGTCTCTCCTACCTTGACTGGTTCTCTATGCAAGCTTGATGAGACAAACACAAACACTTTTGATGTTGGGTGCCTCAAAAAGCCCTGAATCTTTAAGTATCCATCCTTGAGGCAGTTCACAGTAAATCTGGGCTGTCCGACACTTGCGCCTGCTTTAGACGGGCTTATGTACTGAAGTGAAGGTATCTTAAAGCTACCCTGTGGAGCTTTTGACAGCTCGCTGTGCTGAGAGTCTTTATGAGGGCGTACCCGTTTGTGTCACCTATGAGGATGCATATTCTGGAATCGACAATGTGCCAACAAACAGAGCAGTGCACCAACGAAGGCAGTGAAGAAGAAGGCAATACAGGATCGAAAATTTTTAAGAAATCAGCATTTCGAATGTTTTATAAGGATGGAAATACACTCAACATATGAGATCTCAAGGAGGCACACAATGCATCTTCACAACGACAAGATTTTCCCGTGAGTTGAATCAACACTTAATAATTGGAGCTTTGTTAGCATTACAAAAAGGTAGCATTCATTGGATCTATTCAATTGCTAAATCTGTCCACCCCCTGGATTTAAAGTGCAACGGATTAAATGACCGCCCGAATCCCTCGTCTCTCCCTTCAGTTGGTTTATTCTTCTTTCTTCCTTCCCTCCCACCACCTTTGTCCTCCTTATAAATTGTTTCCAAGTTCCTCCTTCTATCTGACTCAAGGCTTACTTTGGTTCTGTGTTGACAGTAGAGGTGGGAGGCAGAGAGGGAGGGGGGGGGGGGCATCAACATCAGACACTGTGTGTGTGTGTAGAACGAGTCTCTCTCTCTGTGACTAACCGTACGTGAAGTAAACTGACCAATCAGCTTGTACTGGCTGTTGCAACTAAACACACTTTCTGCCGGATGACTACGTTACCCCTAATACACAAACACTGGGCCATTCTCTCCACTGACCAATGCACGCCTACACACACACACAGGCACGCACGCACACGCACACACAAAGAGCCTGGGGCCACAGGTCGGTTGCTCTATGGTAATCTGAATCCACCATCACACTATACCTCACCTCTCTGGAAGAGTATAGTGTAAAGAGACACTGTGTTTTCACCCGTGTGTGTGTGTGTGTGTGTGTGTGTGTGTGTGTGTGTGTTGATTAGTTTACAAGGAAGTACAACAGACAGAAATCTCTCACACCTTTCCAACCTTTGTTTCCTGCTGGCTGTCAATACCAACACAGTTCAAAGCATTGTGGGAACTTTATGTTGGAGATACTACAACTCCCATTACAGCAGCGTAATCTCTAAATCCATCCAGAGACACTGAACGATTGTTCAAACTTGCTGTTTGGATCGGCTCCCTGAACCCAAACAAACTAACAGTCATTTGCAGTTGTCTTGTGTCAGAGCAATTTACTACAAAACATTAACATGTGCACACAGACACACACAGACACACACACACAAAGCCTCACTTTTGTTGACACAGAGTTGTGTGCATTGGAACAGAATGAAGGGAAGTTTCAGCCTATCCAGAGTAAAGGCAACACCACGGCCTCGGGCTGCAACTAAAGGAGGGATGAGACAAAGAGGAGCCAGCTTCCTACCTTTCTTCCACTCAAACAGGCTGCCTGTCATGGTCCTAGTGCAATACAAACCTGGCTGGCAGGGCCACAGAAAGACCAGAAAGGGAAATAAAGAGATGGGGGTTTTCTCACTGTGCCTTCAGGGGAAATATGGTCGAACAGATAGCGTTGAGCAGGGACTACCTATCCAGTTCAAGACAAGGTCCAGATGTTTACGACTGCATTGGTGGACACAAAGACGCTTGTTCAAGATAGCAGGTAGGGCGTCAGAGGTGGAAACAAATACACATGTGGAACAATATGCACACAGGCTTGATAAAGAATAAGTATGTGTGTGTGTGTGTGTGTATGTGTGTGTGGTTGGGATGGTCAGGAAAGGGCAGGGCAGGTTTGTGAGTTAGTGTCATTTTTCTAAAACAAGGGCGTCACCTGAGAACAAAAGCCAAACCCAACTAACAGCATGGAGAACAAAGGAGATGTGACTGCTGGTATTTAACCCGTGTTCATGCTTGAACATGTCAAATATCTTTGTGAACTGCTTACATTGTTAATAATTTGTGCTTTTTAGCAGCTTTCTGAACAATGAAAATGTGCAATAGCTCAAATGTCGGGCTGGGGTATCATTTAAAAATTGCCATAGTTGCCAGAGGGATTACATTTTTCTTGTTTAATTGAAATGTCTCGACAACCTTTGAATGGATTGTTATGGAAATTGGTGCTTAAACTCCGGTCCCTCTCAGGATGAATTGTAATGACTTTGGAGATGATCTTGTTTAACCGAGCGCCATCATCAAGTAAACACTTATATTTGTCCAATACTTAAATACCTTCCCATCAGCCTCAGCTGTACTTTGTGGTTAGTGCTAATTAGCAAATGTTAGCATGCTCACAAGTGAACTAAGATGGTGAATACAGTAAACCTCATACCTGCTTAACGTCAGCATCTTAGCATTGTTATTGTGAGCATGTTAGCACGCTAACATTAGCATTTGGCTTCTTTAGTACAGCATCACAGAGACTCTTGCTCTCGTTTGATACTAGTAGCAACATAACTGAGTTTCGGTACCAATAATAAAACTGTAATAACTTTGTAATAACATGTTTTTCTGGAGAACCTCTTTAATTAACTGTTTAAAATAGGACAGGTCTCAAATATTAAATGTCTGAAGACAAGCAACTGTACAAAAACTTCTCCTAAATACGTTTTGAAATAAATAAATAAATAAATACTGTTTAAAACTGTCAAAATGTGTATTTGAAGAGACAACATGATTGAATCATTGATAAGGAATTAGACTACACGTTCAATACAGATTTTTGGTACTTTTGGTTAGTTTTTGATACACATTTAATTCTGCACCAAAAAAGTGTCGAGGTTTGACATCCAGCTCCTCCTCAAACTGATAAAAGCATAAATAGAGCTCCTCCGGGGTTCGTTATCCTTCTTTATTCAACACAGCCCAATAAAAGAAAGCATGACGCTTGTGTTGACGGAAGGGAACTGCAGACAAGGTGCCGGTTATGAGACAGGAGAGGCAGCAGAAGGAGAGAGGACTGCAGGGAGGGAAGCTGGAGGCGTCTTTAATATCTCGGAATGCATTGAAACGTCCCAGCTGCCAGTACAAACAACTGGGACCTTCATATGTCATACCAGTGTGTGTGTGTGTGCATAATCCTGACCATGAGCAACTGCAAAAACAAATGTTTCGACAAAGTTTGACAGTGTTTTGGACATAAGATGATCAACAACTTAACGGCAGTGTGAATTGTATTTAGGAGAGTTCAAACTCCACCATCTTCATCTGTGGAGCTTGCCTTGTCAGCCTGTTCCGGTGACAGGGCTGTTATTAAAGAGCACGATGAAGACAGAGAAAGGCCTCCTCAGTCATCACATACTCATTATGTATATGCATGGCAGGAAGGTGGAGAGAAAGACGAAAAGATACAGGAATAGTGAAGGGGAAAAGAGGAGAGTAATGGACAGGGATGTGGAAAAAGATAAGCCTTCAATGAAAACAAGATGGTGTGTGTGTGTGTGTGTGTGTGTGTGTGTGTGTGTGTGTTGAACCGTTTCCATTCTCCCAACCCCAGTACAACGGAGGAATCTGGCTTCCAGTTGCTCACAAACACACACACACACTGAAGGAAGAGCAGATGCGAGCCAAACCACTGCATACCAACTTGGATCTGAGCCTGCGTATCGTGAGAAAATATCCCCCACGGGAACTAAGCATCGCCTCGTTTTACATCACATCTCCTCTTCATCTCCGTCACCGACTCCACATCATTAACTTTAATTCCACTCCTGTGATGCATTAATTAAACCGAGCTCTTGGCTTCCCCTTAAGTGCGATTGTTGTCCAGCTCTCTTCTTCTGGAAACACAACACTGTATGCTAATAGACTGCTCAAAGAAAAGCATCAGGCAGACTGAACCAGTCTCCTCAGGTGTACGTGTGTGTGTGTGCGTTCCCCACCTTGAAGCTGGTGAGCTCTTGCTTGGTGAATCCATGACTGTGAATGATCTTCATCTGTTTGACCAAAGTGCTTTTGCCGCTCTCTGCTGCACCTGGAGGAGGTTGTAAATAGGTGTTAAACTGGGTCTTCTTTGTTTTTGTTAATGCAGTAGAGATAAATCATATGAAACTTGCATCTGTGATCAAGTTTAATCATTGAATCTACAATGGTTCAATTAAACAGTGGATTTATTAGTCAGTCACAATCAATTTTTTATGGAAATTGTATGTTGTTCAATGGGAAATATCCAGCGAGGGATTCAGGTGCTACTCATATATCCACTGTGAGTTGAAGGATGTTCAGTCGTCAGTCTCACCTAGCAGGAGTATTTTAACCACATTCATCTCCCGCTTGGCGTACTCGTACAGGTCTCGGTCTATCTTGGTGCTGTGGATCCTCGCCTTCTTCTCCTCCTCCTCTGTAACTTCGGTACCGAGGCACAGTCCCATCCTGAGCACTCATCTCCTCCCACGACCCCCGGCCTGAGAGGAAAAAACAAAGGCAGGGAGTCCAGACTGGAGGTCAAGCCCAACTTGTTTCTATGAGCTGCAAGCCACGAGCTCTCCTGCTAAATCCGCACGCGGCAAGCAAGCGTTACTGGTAACTCTAGAGAAAGAAAAGTTCAGGCCATCTCCGACACATATCCGTCAGACTCCCTGGAGTTGGGGCTCAAACCGTACGGACGAATTTGATTTTACGCATCGCTCCAATAGTTTTCTTGTCTTTTCCTTCTCAGGGGCAGATTTTAACGGGTGGTTACTTTTCGGCGACTGTCCTCAGCCGTGAAAACAACCAAACTGTTGACACTGTGCGGTTCAAAATCTGCCCTACCGCCTTGGCAAAGAACCAAGACAATCCTAAAAGTGCCTCCTCCCACTGCAGCCTGCTGCACAGATGGAAAAGTTTTGGGACTTCCCTGGGAAGTGACGTCCCGGAGACAAAAATGCTGAATCCGCAATTTCACCTGTGTATGCTGAGAAAACTAACTACGCTTTATCCCTCGAAGTGGTGCAAAGTAACTGAGTACATTTAGTAAAGTAGTGTATTTCCACTTTAAATAACCAGTTACTTTGTCTACAAAACGTATTCTCTAGTTGGAATAAAGCCCCTGCCATCACACACAGGTGTTTTCATTTAGAATGGCTGATGAGACCTGCTCAAGTTACAGTTACGTTATGATGGATTTACAGTGTGTGATGTGAAAAACATCCACACACGGATAAGTGATAACGTTCTAACTTGCAAAAAAACAAATAGAGACACAGATGGCAAGCAAGTCAGTTAAGTCTGTGCGCGCGCACACACACACACACGCACAGTCTGGAGAAAAGGTTTCACCAGATGAAGTGAGTAAAAAAATGAGTTGTGAGCGATTCAACAAAAGAGTTTTTATTTCTTCTGGGAAACTATAGCAAATTAATAAATTATTTTATTAAAGTAAAAAAAAAAAAAAATCGAACCAAATAAAGAATTTTCTGTGATGATCGTCTGCCGATCGTGTATGTTTATCTTGGGACTCATTTCAGTTTTGGAGCACTTGGGCACTACTCAGTCATTTCTCTCATACGTTTTACAGATGAACGTCAAAACCCTCATTTGTTGGCCCAATAAAAATAAATTAATAATGCACAAAAACAAACACATCCAGCTTTTTCCATCTACTGTAGTGGTTGGCAAATGAGTTTCCTCTGGGCCCCTGGGAGGCCCCTATGTAAAATAAATGTTAATTGTCACTATTCCATTCACTAAAAAGCAGAGCAGTGTAAACATACATGAAAAGAAGAAAAGAACTTGGACCAAATAAATGTGGAGGGGGAGATCTTGATGTTTCAGTATCTTTAAGCCCCTCAGCTGAGTGGATGGATCCTTCATGCAGAAGCTGCTCTGGGGCCCTCGGGCTGCAGGATTAAAGGCTCTTTGTGTTTGTAATGAGGGGACAGTTTGCAGTTTTTGTTCAAATCTGAGAGCAGCGCGAACGAGACGGGACCGGTGGGATTTAGCAGCTTCTGAGCGGCCGTGGCCTCATTTCACAAACTCGGTGAACCGTGACTATGTGCTGATCCAACAAAGATCTCATCAGGCTGCACACACGACGCTGTAAAACAGACATCAGATGACACTTTGAAATGTATTTATTAAAAGGGAGGTTTACACTTTGCAATATAGTGATTGAAAGGTTGCAATAAATTCCCATCTACTATTTAGTAACTTTAGTAAGTAAATCTATTTATTCCATAGACACTTTATAAAGTCTCGTACCATTTATAATTCACCTCATATAACAAGAAAAACAATCAACGAGTGTTTGCAGAAGCAGTTTGACTGTCATACTGGGCCCCAGTTTATTAAGTTATTGGATTCTTTTGCAAAGGAGGAGAAAAGAGAACATACCAGTTGTTGTTTTTAGTGAAAACACACTTAGTAGTAAACTGAGGAGAGACTTTACCAACAGCTGTACAGACAGTTTAGACTTTTTGATACAATTAAAAGCCCTTAAATTAGTTATAGCTTTTGGAATGAGGCACGAAACTACTGTCATTTACAGCGCAAACACTCCCTCAACTCACTCTCTCACACACACACACACACACACACACACACACACACACACACACACGCACGGTGCAAAATCAAATCCACATTTAAAATTAAAAGACTACTCCACAGATCACTTAACATACTAATGATAATGTTTGTCCAGGATGGAGAAAAACAAAGTGAATTCTTAAAATCAAATTAAATCTGTTATTCACAGTGTATTGAAAAATAGACCACATTCAATGTTACTGCTGACACTTCCTGAAGACTACTATGGTTTAAAATCTAAAAACACAACTGACAATGTCATTAACATTTCAAGTTATGGCTTATTACAAAATGAACATACCACTTCGACACCTAAACAGATTTCATGGACAAAAACACTACATGACAGAAGACATCATTAAAAAGTTCCCTGTGGAGCACGAGAGGTTTAAGAATGATTTTGCAGGTTAAAACGTAGTACGAGTTTGTATTCTTTGTGTTCTTTTCACGGCAGATCTAATAGCTTAGGCTGGGGCCATCTGTATAGATGAAAGGCTGAGCGAAGCTAAGCCAGCAGTGCATACCAAATATTTAAAGCAGGGTTCTGCGTCCAGAGGACTAGTGGAGACAGACCGACCCCCCCCCCCCCCTCCCCCCTAGCCAGTTCCAACATGGCTATCCTTCTGGGTCAGTTCAGTCCACCCTCTTAGAGCTGAGTGTACCAGGGCGAGTAAATCAGACACAGAACCAGGTCTGAGGTGACTAGTGAGCAACCTGAGCTGCATCTTCACCCTGCTCCTGCTGCTCTCTCCTCTTCATCGCCTCGATCACTGCCATCTCCTTGGCCTCCTTCTTCTGATTCCTGGCTTCAAACTGCAGCCTGGGAAAGTGAAAGGTTGGGTGATTCAACTTGAGATAAAAACAAAAAAAAATTGTAAGAGTCCAAATGATCTATACAGCAAGAAAGCAAATGCAGATGAAGATGACAAGGAAGTGCCAAATCAAATTAAGAATGGGGAGTCGCTGACCTGTTTTTAATGATCCTCTTGACAATGTCATCAGTGGTGAGATTGTTCTCACTATCGATGTTCCTGAATATCCCTCTCTTCTTAGGCTCCTGAGGGCAGAACACACATCGTTTTCAAGCCAAAGTTCACCGCTAATGATGGGTTGTATCACGGACTTCCTATCACGTTTGAATGCACTTATTGTAAGTCAGACAAATAAAGAGCATCTGCCACACTAATGCAATGTGAAGGCCCCCCGTACTCACAGCGTAGGGGTCCGCCGTATCTTTGTCTGGGATCACCTCCGTCTTGCCATGACACACCAGGTCAACCTGTACAGTTACACAAACACACCTGTTAAACCACCCATCATGTGCAGAGAGAGGTAACAGAGGCTGTCCCTGGAGAGCCCCTATGGCGGCTCACACAGTCACACGTTACTCATCTAGACTAGACTAGAAGGGGCACTTTAGGGCACAGTGCGTCACCGATCAAAATGAGCAAATTAGAGCAGCACCTTTTCATTCATTTATCTCCGGCTTTTGTAACCGTGGATCACAACATTTGAAGAGAAACGAGTGACAGGATCCTTCCTGAGGACTATGATGATACGACTTGTTAACTACCTAAACGGTATCTCACAGATCTTAATGTGTTGCAGTTGACGTTTTATCTTCTGGTATTTCTCATGTCCACAAGGGGGCGCCACATGGTTCAATATGGGCGTTTTATCATTTACTATTTACATAAATTATCTTAGGGAGGTTCTGTTAAATGCAGCAACCACACAGTGATCTATAGCTCTGTCTCATACTGTCCAAGGCTTTTAGTCATCTTTGAACTGTATTTAATCTAATTCTATCTCATCATTGAGCTGAAACTAGTTTTAAATCCAAGTTAGTTTTAAAACTTAAGCAATTTAAGACTGCAGAAAGTTTACCCAGGATGGTAACTTCACTCTCAGTCTTCAAACTGAAGGGACCATTCTGCTTAAATAACAAAATGCAAGATCAGACGTAGAGTCATATAACGGCAACTCACCTTAAAATGATCCAGCAGGTCTTTGCCCACTGCATAGGGAGCACCAATCACCACCTCCGACACGTACTATAGAGAGACAGGCCAGTGGGAGATAGAAGACAGACCCAGGTGTTCATTTTTCTGATGATTAAAGTCTCTCACATTAGTTAGTTTAAATGTGAAAGTGAAACTGTCGAGCACCTTTTCGATACAACACAGCTCAAGGGTGAAGGTGTTTTTACAGTTCACCGCTTCAATTCTGGCAAATTGTGTACCTCGTCATTGGGCATTGAGTAAAACTGATGGCAAAGCAGAGCAATTTAGCGGTTTTAAGATTGTGTAACACGTTTCTTTTGTGTAATGTTCTCATAAATTGGTCCAACTTCAAAACAAACATACACAGCGCCGATGGGGCCGCAGGTTCTTTGTACTAGACTGAAAGCGGACCAGAAGGAATGGAGGGAAGAGAGCAAAGTTCAGCCTGCAGCACTGTGAGTTCAGCCTAGAAATACATCCCACTGTATTTAACATTTAGAGGTGTGTGTGTGTGTGTGTGTGTGTGTGTGTGTGTGTGTGTGTGTGTGAACTCACCCGACAGGCCAGGACACTCAGCGTCCTCTCATGGATGTTCATGATTGGATAATTCTTCCCCTTGTACCGATTCACTTCCTGAAGAGAGTTAAGCGATCTTTTACTACTTTACATTTCCGTCTTTTCGATATCTAGCCATCTGACTTCACACAGCGGGGAAGGTTTATTTTGAGAATGCTTGCTGAGATGTGTGTGTGTGTGTGTGTGTGTTTCTATTAATTGCACCTGATCAAAGTGCAGTCCCACGATGACGTAGGGCCTCTCCGCCTGCTTATAGACCATCTCTAAGAAGTCAACATGGCCGATGTCTGCGAGGAATTTGTGGTGAAGGCAACAACAACAACAACATGTACCACAGATAACACAATCATAATTCAATTCTGGCTATTTCTGCACAGTGAGGATACGGAAGAGGTCAAATGCCCCGGCCACATAGATGATGGTGTCTCCAGGCTGAGGCTCCTTTCCTGAGGCAAACTGGATAATCTTCTGGGATGTCTGGAGGAACTGCGACACTCCTGTCCATGGACTGTGGCCTTTAGGACCCTTGATTACAACAAAAGACTCGCGTTTGACTGGAGAAATGCATTAAATGCTGGGTGGCGTCTCACCTTGGTAAAAAGATGTTCCACAGGTATCGTTTATGATCAGGATGTATTTACATGACGAGGTTTGACTCAAATAAAAACCCATGCCACTCACCTTTCCAAAGTTGTCTGTATGCTGCTGGTAATCTGGGTTATCCTGCAGAAATTATTAGAGAGGAAAAGATGAACACCAAAACAAACATTGCTCATACACTAAATAAGGAGTGCACCAACATACAGTCACTGAAGGGGGATTTATAGTTGTGCATTAAAGGGTGACAGTGGATTTACGAAAGCCTACACACACAGCCACCGCAGTTGACATGTACCCCCTTTATAAATGTAACCACACGTCAGGACTAGCACTAGAAGGCCGCTATAGGCCGTCAGTATTAAGAATGAAATGTAAAAATGGAAACAGTATTACTGTGGGTAACATAATTAAGGAAAAACACGGCCTGATGGCACACGATTCATCAGTCTTGTGTTGCGGTGGTGCTATCAACGGATGAAATCCCAGACCGAACAGCAACAATAAACCTATGGCGTGAAGAACAAACTCACCATGTTGCTGTGATGGGCTTTGGTCATGAGAAGCATTCGTCCCACCAGGTCAGTGGTGGAGACACCCTGTGTGCGCTTACATTCCCGGTAGCGGCCTTCACGCTTCACCTCCTCATACGTGTCCTTGCCATCCACCGTCAGCGTGATGTCGTCTGGCGAAACAAAAGCGATGACATTAGTCCATCATCACATCTGGAGGTTTTGCTCATATCGTGTGTGCATCAGTGAGTCGGACTCGACCCTCTGTGTGTTAAGGATTCAAAGAGCATCCCTGAACTGGCTCACCTCCGTGCACGCAGAAGTCACAGTTGTACTTGTCCAGAGTCTCCAGGGTGGTGACGTAAGGCGCTCCTTCTACCATCTCGTCCACCCACTTGATGGCCCGTACCATCTTGTAGCGTTCTTCCTGAGTGAAGACCGGAGGACCCTTGTGCTTGGAAATCTCAGCTTGGCGAGAGGATGAGAGGTAATCTATTATTAATTATTCTTTTTTTTCTTTTACCCGATAGTGTTATTCTTGTTTGCTTTGTCTTGGCGTCTAATGTTTGTCTGATGTGCAAATTTTGATTTAAAAACAGTTATACTTGTAAACAGTTGTAGCTGATTGATAGGGTCTGTAACATTTACACCCGACTGCTGTTCAACCTCCTAAAAGTAACCACAAGCCTCGCACTGCCTGGGAACAAGTAATAATGGAAAATAATCCCACGATTCTAACCCAGATTAGCTCAGTCTGCAGGGACCAGGGAGCTCTGACTTTGTGGCCGTTTACCACAAAGTTGTGTTGATTTTGATTAGAAACAAACAAGAATTGGACTTGATTGTACAGCACCCGACAGTGGATGGAAAAACGCTTTCACAGAAATAGCCACATCAGAATGTGTGCAGCGGTCTTACCATCTGTATGCACTCCAACTATGAGGAAGTCTCCCATGGCTTTGGCCTGTCGCAGCTGGTTGGAGTGACCGTAGTGAACCATGTCATAGCTGTGGAGACACAAATAAGAGGCGACAACGTCATTAGCGTGGAAAACAAAATGAACTGCAAGTGCTCAAACAAAACATTCCAGAGGACAAAACAGATATAAACACTGCCAGCTATAGACGTTTTCACAGCTTCAACGTCTTTTAAATCTCTTTCAAATCCACCGTAGCTGGATAGTTTTGACTGGACAGCTCCTCTCGGTTTGTTGTTTAACATTATCGGATCTATTTTACAGTGACCTTGTGAAATAGAGCCCAGTGTGTGTAACCTTTGCTTTGAAAACGTGCTCTCTAAGTCAACACAGGCCTTTTAACATGGTGGGTGAAAATAATAAAAGGTTACTGGGAGAAAGGCAATGATTACTGTGCACAATGTGCTAATATTTATTTGTTTTCTGCCATTAAGTAACTTCCTCAGTTAATCTTTTGGCTTGCCTTTTTGAAAAAGGAAGCTGTGGGAGTTCTCCTCCTCAGTTGCAGCTACGCTCGTTCAGGTTTTGATGGAAATGTGCTTTTGGTTCAGCACCCTGCAGCTCCACATTCCTGCAGTTTCAAAACAGTCCGAGCTCAGGACTGTCCAGTACAACCACCGACTGAGCAGCCTTAACAAGAGCAGCTGGTGGCTACGAGCCCAGGGTACAAACAACTGTTTAAAATAATATATGAGAAAGGACGGGTTCATATTACACATTTATTTGTTTAATAACAGTTACCTATAATGACTTCCGTGTCTGTAGATCAATTCCAACTGACTGCACCTCATCGGTGACTGTACTTCCAGTGGGCAGACCTCTCCTCTATAATGACATTACCACAAGCTGCTGGTCTGAATTACCTGAACAATAATCCCTCACCTCACCTCAGCTGATCCGTTAGACAGTATGCTCCCAGGTGATAGTGTCTCTTCTCCAGAGTGATGTAAGCAGATCAGTGTTTGATCTAGGATCTAGTTCCTCTTGGCTTGGTTAACATCTGCAAGTGTTTTTTCTCAATACATATTTTGCAGATGCACCGACTATGTGCCAGATGGCTGGGTATTTATTTGGGTTTCTGACAGTTAACACTAAACTGCTGCAAAATGAATAGCCACATAATATATCATCTTTCCCCCCCATTAGCTCCTCTTACACCCCCTTCTAGTCACCCAATAACCAGGAGCCCTGCTCACTTCCCCAGCAAGCTACTCATGCCTCACACTGTACGACATGTTCCCTATGCTAGTTATTTATAACCACACATGAGATGGACCTGAGCTGTCAGAAACATGGAAACTTCCTTGTGCACCGTTTGAGTCCAGGAGAGAATCTATGCCGTTGCAACTTTGGAGTCTGTTGTCTTCTCAGCAGCAGCTAAATCGCGTGATGATCTTTGGCAGCAGAATCTAAAATAACAATAAAGAATGATGGTTGTCTGACTCATGTGTTGGTTCTGAGTGTCACAACCAACTCTCACATGGGTGTGTCAGAGACAGCCGGTAAATAAATGCCCATGAGTAATCCCCAGATTATTTACCTGTACCCATTTAAAGTAATTACCCAAACCATCAGGCATGACACCATTAACACTGCAAATACTTTATGCACACAGTGTAAGGGAGCCCAGTAGGAATACATCATCTGCAGACAGCAGACATTATTTGGATGTTTTAACCATTTTCACAAGCGATACTTTTCTCAGTCAGCTGTGTTTACAACAAGCACCTTGAACATGTAACGTGACAGACAACATACCGCTCCACCTGTTATCATCTGTGGGTCCTTTCTAACCTTTAAACAGCCATAGTGTCCGATCCGTGAGGGTGGAGTTTCACACGCACTGAAACACATTGTAAAATGCCATTGATGCCCGAGAGGACCTTGCCCCTAGCTTACTCCATGCCAACGTGCCATAAAACAATACGTGACGCAGCCGGTTCACGAGTTATCTGAATGAGAAACCAACAACGATTATGCCATTTAGAGAGAACGTAACGTTAACTTTTCTACGTATAAACACGTAATAACGTTACGTTATTTACTTTACGTTAACTTCACGGTTACGATGAAATAGTTTAAACTCCTGTCACCTGCAAAGTTAACCTGCGTAGCTAGCTAGCGTTAGCATGCTACCCCACCACTGGTCCCTACGTGTTGGATAACGGATCCGCCTATAGGACAACAAACTGTGGAAGAGAGTTTATTGAACCAGGACCGACAGCAGCACTTGCACAGAGACTCACCAGCCGTCACACCACAGCCGCACGACCCGCTTCCTTTTCTCCGGGCTGCGCACTGAGCCACTCGGCTTACTCCAGCCAGCGTCAGCCCGCTGCTCGATGGTGGTGTAGTGACCGTTTTTGATCATTTCGATAGGTTCAAATGTCTCAGTGGCGTTAGAGGACGTTTCAAAGTATTCGACTCCGTTTAACTCTCAGGATTCTTTGAAAGGACGTCGTTACTCCGCCTCAGGTTTTCCTGACCATACAGTGACACCGACCGGCCAACGCCTCCATTACTACGTCACATAGGACGCTCACGTTCAGATTGCGCAATCACTCCTGTCACGTGATCGGATACAACAAACCAATGTGCGGAAGTCATTCTGTGAATTGCAACTAAGTACATTTATTTTACTCAGGCGCTGTACTTATGTACACATTTTGAGGCACTTGTATTTTATTTGCAGTCGCAGGCACACAGCATGGAGCGGAACTGTCAGACTGGGACAATCTAATACTTTCAATATGGAGGGGGAGGGGTCGATTAGCCCCTCCCAATTTGGACTGATCCACATTTTTTGTTGAAATCTTATTGGCTCAGACATTTTCATCGGGAACGCATAGACTGTACATAAGAAAATTGTAAATATGAATAATAGAATGATGACAACCCATATAACTTATTGACTTATCCAGTATATGTATGTATATATACATATATATATATATTTATTTATTTATTTATACAATTTTTATACAACTTTTTTACTCTGTTTGTCCTGTCTGTCTCAACAGGACAGTAGTTTGGGGAGGCAGTAAGAAGAACCTGATCACATGAAGCTTGATCTACTGAAATGCTGCAGAAAGGCGAAGATGAGGTGGAAAATACGTCAGTCAAGGAAAAGGAGGAAAAGTCTGAAGTAAAAGTAGCAGACAGAGAGGAGCAAGGTTCATTGATGGAGGAAACAGATGGAAGCACAGAGTCAGAGATCCCCGTTGATCTTGACTATGCTGCTGATGGTGGCATCTCACAACCTCTACAGATTGTATCTGCTAAAATAAAACCCCAAACAGATGTTAAAGAGAGGGAACCCCTTCAGAAAGGACTGCCCACCATTGCAGATGACTACGAACAAGACACACAAAACACTGAGGCAGTGGACAGTGAGGAAGTGTCTGATCAGGACAAGGACAAAGATTCTCAGGTCAAATCCAAAGATGTTGATGAGAAAAGACCTGAAGCAAATGTGGACCCTCAAGAACCAAAGAGAAGTACAGGGTTTGAATCAGGTTCTGAACCGGCTGGAAAGGAGGAAGAGAAAAGTAAGGATGACAGCGGAAGTCTCACCAAGGGAAAAACAAGGAAGCAAAAGAAGAACAAGAGGGCGAGGAAGCACTCCCCACAGACTGAGGAAACACAGTCTGGACCAGAACAGAGCCAACAGGTTCCTCAGGCATCTGAGGGCAGCAGTATTGACAATACAGTCCAAAAGGAAAAGAGGAGAAGAGCAGGACAATGGGTAATGCATACACAATGTACATTCACTTTCTTTTCAGGGGTTATGATCAAACTTTTCAAGCGCACATATTGTGAAAAGGATACTTTTTAGGGAAGTAGGAGACATTTTAAACTTTTGAAATGTAGAATATTTGTATATTTATAGAGTCAGGATACTTCAGGGAGAGAGACGGAATGGACTGAATGTAAAGAAAGTATTAAAATAAAAATAAAAATAAGGTAAATTTAATTTAAAAAACACATCAGACTTGAAATTATTATTCGAAATAGAATATTTTCTCAGTAGATTTACATAAAACCTTTGGATAGACACTTGATTTATTTTTCATCATAATCTATACTTACGTCCTCCACACTTAAAGTAGTTAACAATCATTTTATGAAAGCCCACATCAGTTAGATCACTCTACTCTGTGATCGACTGTTTCGGACATTTGTCACTTTTCTGCCATCGATTGCTCGGCCTGGATTAAACGAGAAAGCGGACGTTCTGAGAACAGGACGGAGCTAACAAAGCCAGCTAGGACGAGCAGCCAAACTGTCTGCTTTACCCGTCGGGTTTTCTCTGCAGACAGCCACACCGTTATATAAACTACAGGTTAACGTTCAAGCAGGAGGGCAGGTTGCTGTCATGTTGACCGGGCCGGTTGAATTAGGAGGCTCTTCCTTCCTCCAGGCTGACGATGTCGGTGGGACGCGCTAGTTGCGCCTGAGCACTCCTCTGCTGCTGCTGCTGCTGCTGCTCAAGTTGGCTGCTGTTGGACGCTCTGCTCGGGGTATGGTGTCTTTTTTCTCTTACCTGGCCGGTCATATTGGCTGGGCTGAAGTAACAATATGATCTCTAACAGTGTCCTTCTGTCAGCGAGCCGAGTGAACCTTCCTGTTTGACAGCATCTCACAGGCCACAGCACTGAGCGCTGATTTAAGGTGCTCCGTACTATCAGCTGTGTTGACAACAAAACAAAGCAAGAGTGCATGTGCATACTATAGTAGGTACCTTAAGGTATGGTCACTCTGTAGAGATCATGCACTCTTCTAGTCCTTTGCTAATTCGGTGATGCTGTCAGAAGAACTCACAGGATTGTCTCTCTAATTGATTTTTAAGTATTTAACCATGTACTCTCCTGATTGACACAGTACTGTGAGCTTTCCTATAAACATTGCTTTTGTAAAAAAATAGTTAACTATTGCTGTAATTCTTCATTAAATATGTGTTTGGCCATAAGCACAATTATAATGAATTTACTCAAAAAAAAATGCACGACAATAGTGTATTAGTATCAAACTAACGAGTCCCTTAACAACAAGCTGAACATATGACTTTACTGTCTTTCTGGCTGACGGTCTTAAGCGCCTCTGTTGGGTGTGTTCAGAGGTGTGCTGTGGGAACGCACCAAAGCACAACGTCAGCAGACGTTTCCACTTCATTTAAAGTGTTGTGCACATAGAGACACGTGCTGCTTTCGCTTACGTGAGCCGTCAGCTCTTTGTCGCTCCGCTGACGCATGAAAGCCGTGGAAAGATTGTTGCAATAGCTTTGACAGGATCCAGAGTATATCCCTTAAGGGGCCTGTGACATCAGCAAGTCGGGAATGTTTTTGTCGTTTCGCTGTCCGTTCACCCTCTGAATCCTGCCTGCTTTCTGTTCCTCGCTCTGTACAGGGATGGCGATGCACGGCGCGTCCCAGGACCCCTCACATGGTACGGGGGAAGTGGGGGAGCTGGCGCACACATTATCTAAAGAGACCCTCGGGTCTCCAGATGCCTCTGAGTTGGGGAGCCCGCGGTGTACGCCAAACTTTGACCTCTTCAACATGGTTGTGTCCTATAAGAGAATGGCTCTGTTTCTAGAACCAGCTGCAGATGCAGTGGAGCTGACCCGCTTCCTGCTTGGGTGTGTATGTGTGTTTGTCTGTGGTCTGCTTGAGCATCGTATGATGGATATTGTAGTATTTAATGGCATCTTTTTTTATCCCTCAGATGGAAGATGCCGCTGTGCTCTCTGCTCGTCTGTATGTTCCTCAACGTCTTCCTCTGCACTGTTAATGAAGGTAAGATGAGGCATTGATGTTGATCTTTTGTTTGATGTTTTATTAGACACGTGAATAATTTATTAACTTACTGTTGTGTCTGCCTCTCTGGTATCAGTGGGTTGGATCACAGTGGGCGTGGTGGCGGTGGCGGCACCTGCTGCCCTGGGTTACCTGCAGGACAGGTGTGGAGGAAGAGCCTCAGATTCTGAGCTCCACAGGAGGCGCTTTACCGCCATGCACCGCAGGGACCTGCAGACGGTGCATCTCACCAAACAGGAAGCCATGCTGGAAGTCAAAGACCTGTAAGACAGACACTGCAGGGGACGGGGTTATGTGCTGCAAGGCTCACTAATGATTACTTTCATTTCCGAGTCTATAAAATGTCAGAAAAAAAGAAGATCTAGTTGGTATATCAAATCATAACATTTGAAAACCTGAAATTTGATAATGTTTTTGTTTTATTTTAAAGTATATAGACTCGCTGATAATGTCAATTTCAGTAAGTTGCTCTTTTTGGAACAGGTTTACAGACTGTGGCTCGTACCCTGGTGACAAAAGTCTACGTGACATTTGTAAACGGTGTTTGTTCATGTACGGGTTGATGGGTATCTTTCTTCTCATGCTGTTTGTTGTCTTCACCAGGTTGAAGCACCTGGATGACATGCTGTCCTCTGCCTGCCTGTCAGCAGAAACCTTTTACAAGGTCCTGTACTGGGACAATCACATCGAGTCATCAAGGTCTGCATCTACACACAGACAGACACTCTGTAGTATGTGATTTGGAATAATAGAGGAATATATCTGTTCATGTATACACCTTCATTTAAATCCCGTCTTATGCAAGCCTAGTCCAGTGTTACTGTAACCCTGTTAATTGTCAGAATGTGCTGGGGATCAGTCACTTCTATGGTGTGATGTGTGTGAGTGTGACCTGACGTTTGTGATATCTCCTTCTAGGTTCTATGGAGGGATGCTAATATTGGCGTGCCTGCTCTACATCGCTCCTCTGGGCTGGGTGCTCGCAGGGCTCAACAGCGCCATCTTCCTGTGGAACAGAGACTTCTGCAGAGGTTAGTTCACCCCGTCTGGAGGGAGCGAGGAGCTAAACACCAACTCTCATATAAGAGAGTGAAGCTAAAGTTTCTCTTGTGGTTCCAGTTTTGCTGGACCTTAGGAATCTGTTCCACATGAGCCAGGCCTCAGGAGGAAAGTGTGACAAACAGGAACACGGCCACTCGTTGGACAGGACCCCCACACCCACTAGTCTGGAGGTGAGAGGAGATAGTGTATGGAGGGTTTGAATGCTGAAGGATTTAGAGGTTGTGATTTACATTAAAACCGACCGTGGCTGTAAGCCTCTTATCCACTTCATCGCATGCTCTCAATGTGTTTCTCCTGTAAGAGTAATGCAAATCCATCAGTGACAGCACGACCACTGTAACCACGAGAGGCTGATCCTGGGAACATCAGCCCAGAATTTACATATTAATTTATGCGTCTGTGTTCAATAACAGGACCTGTCTCCTGGCAGCGTGGAGGAAGCTGAGGAGGCAGAGCCCGATGATGAATTTAAGGATGCCATTGAGGTAAATCCTGCTCTAACTTAATTGTACACTTTTCCACCACATGTTCTTATCACAGTTTGTTTTTTTTCCCCCTAAATCTGTAAACCCCTGCTTTGTCGTATCAGTTCTGATGGGGAGATTTAGGGCTTCCCCCTCTTAGTGGTTTTGGTCTCAGTGCTCAAGAAACTCATGAGCACTTATGTAGTCAACTCAAGATTTAAAGTGGTTCATTTTGTGTGATTCTGTGGAGAAAGTCATTGTTTCAGATCTGTTGATTAATTCAACTAATCAATTAGTCGACACAGGTAGAGTTCAGTCAAGGTCTAGAGAGACCTCAAGGATAATTAAAGCAAACAGGATGCACTTGAAGTGCAAAGAGTTTAAATACCAATGTAATGGAGAGTTTTCAGTTTTAGATTTTTGTTGCAGAAGTTAATATTTTTGCTTTGCCATTGTGGGTTCTTGTGTGTAGACTGATGTCCAAAAAAAAAAGAAAAGTAAATTAAATGCATTTCAATTTCAATATATGACAGATAAAGTACGCAACGAGCGGGGTTCTATATGTCCTGAAGCCGCTGGATGATGAACGTGGCCTGTAAATTTAAGGGGAAAACTCTGCATAACATATTTGAATCACAGTTGTTGGAGCTTCCCATGATCGTGTGATAAAATCCTCCCGTCATTATGTTTGTCCTGTTTTTCTCTGCTGTCCTCTGAACTCAGGAACATTTGGTGTCCCTGCAGGTGAGTGTCCCCCCTCCCTCTGCTTAGAAGAGGCCCCTGCACTGGCACCCAGTAAACTCACTCTCAAGCACTACGCTCATGAACAAGGACTTCACGTGTAGTAACCTTGTGGCGTAGTTCTTACTTTGCTTTGTGAAGCATGGTTTGGGGTTTGCTCCTGTGTCATCACACTGAATATTATCAGTGTTTCGTGGGTAACATTTGTCTCATGTGGTGTTCTGCTTCCTCATAAGGAAACCCCTTTGGTCTTAGTGGTAAGTGGATTTTATAATGCCTCCCATACATGCATTCATCCATCTGTCTGTGTTGTTCCCTTGGCATGAGTTATGTGATAGTGATAGTAGCTCCAGAATTACAGGCCCATTATTGTTCTCTCCAGTAATCCCATCGTACAGAGTGCTCATTTATTTCTAGTCTGCATGATCGACATTGTTCATGAGACATTTTGCATTAGTGAAATCAGCTTTTCCTTCCTCGTGCGTTTCAGAAAGATGGACTCATTAACGTGTTGCAGAATGTGTGTGTGTGTTTTGATTCATAGCATGTTATGTACAAGCATTTTGCATAGTAGTATATTCTTTATTTTATTACAACATAACATAACAGCATATGTATTTTAGCGTTTCTGATTAGCAGATTTAGCTTTTTTTCAGTTGCAGTTTTCAAACTGTCTGTCAGCTGTTCAACACACAGGAAGCAGAAAGAAGTCTTCCTGTTCCCTAAAAGCCCTGCTTTGTTTCTCTTACTCTCTGGCCCTCCAGCTTATAAAGTCATAGCTTTTCAATGGAGGAGGATGTGTACAAACCTGATATTTGTTTCCAGAAAGTGGGGAAGAGACCTTGTTCAGTCTTATTTTGGAAACGCGTACATGTCCACCTTTGTCCATCTCCCTAGTGGCCTTAGTACTTGTCATCGCCCTGCTTGATTTATTTGCCAAACATCTATCAGTCAAACTGGCTGAAATTCACACTGAATCACAATTCATTTTCTCCACTTTATGCCTACCGCTGAGTTTGGCTCGGTTTCTTGGCCAGGTTTTCATTCTCCAAAAGACAAACTCCAGATTGCACAGTGTGTGACTGCGTTTTTCTTTGTTCCTCCCCCCTCCCCCCCCTCCCTCAGGAGGATGATGACGGGCCTCTTGGAGCTCCCGAGTATGACACCATCTCTGAAAATGGTCTCTTGAGCCGCAACGAACCGATACGCAGCAAAGTGTCTAAACTGACGGAGAAGCTGCGTAAACGCTGCCCCACCACCAGCACAGGTCGGTCTGCTCTGACTCATCCACTGGTTCATGTAGCTCGGTGATAAAAGAAGAAACGGTCTGAGGCTAGTCTCAAATCGCAGCTCTGAAAAGATGCATTTCATTTCATAATACTATTCATCTCTTTGTGTTTCTCTCCAAAGGCAACTGTTCTAGCTGCAACGCAGTCTTCTCCGTGCTGAAGAAAAGGGTGAGACTGAGAAATTTTAGGATATAGTTAGGGCATCGCATCATCGTCATATTTAATTTTGTCTTCCTGTTCTATTGTCACGAGCTTCGATGCGATGTCTCTTTGTATCACAGAGGAGCTGCAGCAACTGCGGCAACAGCTTCTGTTCCCGTTGCTGTTCCTTCAAGGTGCTGAGATCTTGCATGGGGGCAACAGGTGAGAGAACGGACTCATTTTCACATTCAGTGTTTGGACCGACGAAGTTGCGTTATCTTGTCTCTGTTGCTCTTACTCCGTTTGTTGCCTTAGGATCTTATTCTCTCCTTGTTCTCTCTTCTTCAGCTCCAGAGGCCCAGAGAGAGACCGTGTTTGTTTGTGCTGCCTGTAATTCCTCTCTCAACAAGTTATAGTGAGATGACGGTCAGGTGCCCCCCCCCCCGAGCCCTCCTCCAAGTTACTGAAACCCTAAAACCTGCCTTGGTTTTCAAGTTAAGGCTCTTATATCTGTCCCTCTTGCCTTTAGCAGTGGCATTCCTCACTAAACTACCCGTGTTGCATATGGGACTTCTACTGTAATATGTTAAATATTTCCTGTTTCAACTCTCAATGAAGAACTGGACCTACAAAGCACAGTGGATCCACAATCAAAGGACCCGATCCCTTTGCTGAGCAGAGGGAGGTGCACAATGTGCAGGGTGGAGGCCAGGTTCGGGGCTGGTGGTGTCGGGTTTATAGGCTGCCGATGGTTCTGCTTTTACATGCTTTTTCCTCGCGGCATAGTCGAATATTGATTTCTTCAGCCCTGTGCAGCAGTTTAACTGTACTGTAACGCTAGGAGGACTAAGACCGGCATGTTGAATGCGATGGTGTGAGCAGAGGCTGGCCGTTTGAATCTGGTTTGTTCAGATGAACAAAATAACGGATGTACGACCACATGAAGCTCCACATTTGGCTTTGATTGACACCGTGGCCAGCTGTGGTTGTTTGCCGTCCACCAATGCACTTTAACCTGTAGCTGGTCAACAGTGTCATGTGATAAGTTCTGGGTTTGTCCAAGTCATTGGGGACAATGTTTTGTTTTTTAATGATCAAATTGGTGCGTCATTGTGGTCGTCCTTTTTCCTGTTGTCAGAGTTTTGGAGTAAAGCAACAGCCTATAAGTCAAAAAACTGCCAGAGGTCCCTGGAGCCTGTGCGTTCCCTCTAACTGGATCAAAGTCGACCCAACTGGATTAAAGTTGATTTAAATGGACTGAACAACCAGCCGAAATCTTCATCGGAGCCTCACTCTCTTGCAAGCAGGACTTAAAAGAATTGATGTGGAGGCGTCGTATCCCAAAACGTGGATCGCGGTGGTTGTTTTAAACATGGTTCAGACACGTATGATTGTAATAGTTTGCTTTGCTTTTAATCCCATATAAACTGTTACTATGAACTGTTCTTCTATATCTAATATATTTAATTTAAAACGGTGGAAGTTATTATTTGACCTAAAGATAAAGTCTGTACATATTGCCCTTATTTTATGAATGAAATATGCCACTATTGAAATAAACTCATGGTCGATTGATTTCATGAAATTAGAAGTGGTACGTGTGATCTTTGTGGTGAGATGTCTGTCAGGTTCTGCTGTCTTTGCTTCAGAAGCATGGAAACAAAGTTAGGCCACATTAAAAACACTTTAATGAAAGCAACTGAATACCAAGACTTAACTACTTAAAGAGTAATGTTGAAATTCATTGCCCAGTTTGTTTCAGGGTTTGCTTCTTTCAAATAAACTGATAAGGGATTGTTTAAATTTTTGAAATCCAAATTGAGAATCTACAGGGAATCATCACACAAATCTGCAGTTCTCCTCAGACAGACTTGTCTTGACTTACCTTGCAGCTCATTGTTTGGGTTTTATGGACTTCTGCTGGTTTTGGTTCTCTGCTCTCATCAGCTGCTTTTATCCAAACAATCTCTGCAAACATCTTCTTGCATCTGTTTGCTAACACATTTGTTCATATTATTTCAGTGTAATCAGAATCAGAGACAGTTTATTGCCAAGTTTGCAAAGACAAGTAATTTGACTGGTGCATAATAAACAGCACATTGGTAGAAGTAAATAGTATAATTAATTCCATGTCTTAGCTTCAGGCTCGTGGTTGTGCATGCTGTCGCGGCTTAAATGGACGCTTGAATAGAACAGAGCCTCTTTAACGTTATTAATAACACCAGAACCGGTGTGAGACGGTGGAAGAGATGAGCTGATGACCTGAGCGCTGGGCTCGTGTTAGCCCCGCCCCTCGTCCCCCCCACCCCGCCCCCTCCACTCCTCCAATCTGTCCCACTAAAGCGATTTCAGCGCATGCAGGGACGAGTAACGCAACATGGCGACAGAGGTAAGACTGGCATATTATCTCTTTTTATTTCCCTGCCGACGGTTCCTGTACAAGCATTCACAATTGTACTGCCATTTAAATACAACGGGTGCCGTTATAAGGTGGTGAACGAGGGCATTGTCGGCTGCAACTGTGCCACACTGAGCGGCTCACTTCAGCCACCACTGACGGCTGCGTGTGTCCTACATTATCGTGCCAGTTCCGTTAATCTTCTCTCCTGTAAAAACGTGTTTTGGCGTTTTAAAAATGAAAATTATAAAGAGGAAATTTGGAATTCAGCTTTGCTTCATGGAAACTGAGACGAGTCAGAAACAACGGATCATCTCTCCGCGATGTTAAGATGTTTTGATGTTTTTGTCTGTTGAGACGCCCCGTTAATCCGGTGATTTTACACACACACACACACACACACACGGAAGCATAGCGTTCAGCACCATGGACAGAAGCCACGCCGCCCTGACCTTCCTCACTGCTTTTCCAGCATCTGTGCTTTCAGAAATAACATTTTTAAAAAGAATGTTGCTAAACATTTTTTTTTTTAAATCAAACATACACCTTGACGCAATCAACGTTCCCATGCATAAACACTTTATTTAACAAGAGACCTTTTATCAGTCTGCCTCATCGTGTTCCAGCTGATCGATCTGTTGTGAGCTGTAATGAAATGTTGTCCCGTCTTCTGCTAGCTTTGCCCCCTGTAAGATCAGAGAGGAAGAGATGTGTGTGTGTGTGTGTGTGTGTGTGTGTGTGTGTGTGTGGAAAGATAGTATGTCCAATGCTGGGCTCTGCTCCAACAGACAACAAGGCAGAAATGAGTGCAGACACTGAGCCACGGAGTGATTGATCACATCTCGTCTGCTTCTCCTCTATCATCCTACATTTCCAAACCGGCTACTGTTTGTACACATTGCGAGTGAAACCGGTGTGTGGAGAGAGATGGAGCTCTCTCTGGGGACTCATTAGAGACATACCGTATCAAACCTCACTATCTGTGTGTGTGTGTGTTTGGTCCTCCTCAGTTCCACAATCTGCAGGAGTTGAGGCAGAGTGCATCTCTGGCTAATAAAGTCTTCATCCAGAGAGACTACAGCGAAGGAACCACCTGCAGGTTTCAGACCAAGTTCCCCTCCGAGCTGGAGAGCAGGGTGAGGAGACAGCAGCCGGGGACTTTGGCTTAAAAACAAGTTTTTATGTTGTCATGTGATCCTAGCCTGCTAATCTACTATTACGTTTATTTATGTATTAATGCCACCAATTGTGTTGTGTGAACTGAGATGTTTGCTAATTAAATTCAGAACAATGTCTATATAAGTTGTATTTATTGCCTCATTAACTGAACTGCTAATGAGGGCCTAGTGGTAAAGACACATCTCATATAACTGAAAGGTTCCCAGTTGGAGTTGGGCCTTTGTTGTCATGTCACATCCCTCACTTTCTCTCCCCATGTTGGCTGACCTCTATCAATCCTAACCCTGCTACTCATGACTCTGCCTGTGTCTCCAGATTGAGCGGACACTGTTTGAGGACACTGTGAAGACGCTGAACAACTACTACGCAGAGGCAGAGAAGATAGGGGGCCAGTCCTACCTGGAGGGGTGTCTGGCCTGCACCACAGCGTACCTCATCTTCCTCTGCATGGAGACGCGTTATGAGAAGGTCAGACCGGCGATCTCACACTTGACGCATTTTTAATAGTCTAGGTTGATGACTAACATGTCGGGGATTCCACCACATTCCTCATTTGACTTCTGTCTGTGCGTTAGGTGTTGAAGAAGATTGCCAAGTACATTCAGGAGCAGAATGAGAAGTTCTATGCTCCCAGAGGGCTGCTCGTCACAGATCCCATAGAAAGGGGAATGCGTGTCGTATCCTTACTCGCATGTTTTTGGGTGCATGGAGACAAAAGTATTATAATTGATTTTGTTTATGTTTGATTAACCACACTCCACAGCAAATGTTTGGCCCTTAACTCTCCCACCAGATAGAGATATCAATCTATGAAGACCGGGGCTCCAGTGGCTCCAGCTCGGGGAGCAGCTCCGTGTCCGGCAGCACCGCTCGATGACTCGGTACTTCCTAACAACCATGTCCCCCTGATTACTCACAACCCTGGAGAACTTAGGACAATAATGCTACTCTTGTTCCAACACTTGGCCCACGCATCCCAAAGCTACGCTCACACAAAGGGTTCACTAGTTCTTGTCCAAGAAAGGCACGTTGCGCCGGCGTGCCATCACATGCTAAAGGTGTTCAAGCTTTTAAAACACACGCCGTGGTAGTTTGTTGCACAGCCATGTGCATGGCGACACAGTCGTGTTACTGTACAATGCAATGTCTCAGTATTGCCGGTAATACTTTGTGTGATCGTACCGTTACCTTTCCTTCCTGTCCTTGTTGAAGCTACAGCAGCTATGTGTAATCAGGTGGGTGAGAAAAGCATGGAAGGATGTGAGAAAAGGAGGGAGGGAGGAAGTGTTGAAGACCACAAGCCTCACCAAGCCTCATACCTCAGCCACCACAGCCGCACCACACCGGACCAAACTGGACTGAACCTTCAGCAAATGTGAGGAGGACATAGAAGCATTTGAAGGCAACGTTTCACCAAACCCATACAAACTGTACAAGGAACCTCCTTCACCTCTGATGTAAGTCGTGCAGTCTGGTAGCAGATGAATGTCATTCAGCCCGACTGTGTATTTTATGTAGCAGATCTTCCATATTTCTCACATGAAGCCTCTTTTTTCTTTGTTAGACACACAAACATATCTAAATACTAACCTCTTGGTTTCAATGAGTGAGACCAACGATCCCTAAATTTTAGATTATGCAAAGACATACTGTGGATTGAATGTAGTAGTAAGTAGACAAAGGATGGGTCAAACAGTCTTCCTGAATCTTACCTGTCGTGATTTAAAGTACACCCAGCCTTCCTTGATTTCTGAGTAAGCTTCCAAAGAACAACGACTGCCAAAAACTGGCTCTCAATTGTGAATGTGTGTTTTGTTTTGGTGACATTTTGTTCAAGAGTGAAACTTTCGTACTGCTTGTTGTTTGATACACGTGGCAATGAGGTATACACGACTGGCGTCAAATAAATAAATAGTGTTTCATCACAGCTGCACAGCTCATATTTCTGTTATTGAACTATAAATCTACAAAACAAATCAATCATGGCGGCTTTAATGTTGTGATGTGATGGTACCTTCTCACAGTTCATTTGAAGTTTGACATCCCGTTCTGTCCCCTTGGCTGGGCAGGGTCTGCTATATAAACTAGATTAACTATGCAAACATATTTACGAGACAATAGATACAAGGATATTTATTTTATGCTCAATGGGCCTTTTCTCTCATAAGATATTGTTACATAATAAAATGAATCATGGCTGAATTCCATTTAGCTGCTTCAGTTTCAGGGTCCAGGTATTTTTCACGATTTCAAAATGTCTGCTGTTGGAAAAGGTCTATGGTGCATATTAATGATAATCATTTTAACATATTGCATGCACTTCAAACATTTGACAATAAATGTCAGATAAAAGAAAACATTTTAATTTGATGTAACAAGCTTTGGACAGGAAAATTCCCTCATGTTTTCACGCAGGCTTGCCTGGATATACGACACTGCAGCATGAAACCGACCCCCGTATTTAGTCTTCACTTACAACATGGAGGGACTACTGCATGCACCCAGCTCAGCAGAGCAAACAGGACATGTCCATTGTGCAGCATGTCCAGATAAGAGGATGGGCATTCTGAACAAACAGACTTTATGTTACTGCATGTAACATGTTTGTCTTACTGTATTGTCGTTACCCTCAAGACTACATCCCCTGAGATCTGCCAGTGCAGAGAGCACCACGGCACACTGTAGTAAAACAGTCATAAAACGGGAGGCTTCAAATGTGGAGACAGAGGGGGAGCGGACGCCATGGTAAAGTGAATGGAGGGACAGAACAGGGGAGAAGAAGAAACAAATGGTGGAGGAAGACAAGGAAAGACAGATTAAGACAACACAGTATGAATGGTGGGAACGGTCAGATGACAGGCTTGTGGAAGGAAGATGTGAGTAAGACTGTCAGAATATCTTTCCTTTGTACAGAAAGATAGACCAGAGCCAGAGCTCATCTTCAGATGGCTTCAGGACAGCAATAGTTGGTGTTTGCTGCTGCTGTCAGTGTGCAGGTTGTGTACATGAGACTAATAGAGAACATCTCAAAGCACTGCTAAAGATATGACTGCTGTACCTATTAAATGATAATCAGACCATATGGATTTGCAGCCGTTTATTAAGAGTTTGCCGTGACACATAAAAAACAACTGTAAGTTAGCAGTAGCAGTAAGCGGTTAAGAGAAAAATAGAGATAACTATTATTAAAAATATATATATTAAAACTACTCAGAGTAAAGGAAACAACAAGGCCCCTAAAGTACAGACAAAAAGGAAAGTATTTTAAAACCAGGTTTTCTGTAACATTGTATTTCCCAGTCGTGGAACATTTTGATTGCATATCAAGTGATTTTCCTCACAGACCTGTAGAAACATTAAAGGAAATGAAATAGAAAACAAATATTTGATTTGAAATGATTTTGTTCTTTTTTTTTTAAGCACATCATTTAAAGAACTGAGTCAATAGTTTATTATTTCTTACCTGCACAGCGTCCATTCTTGACAGTAAACCCTTCACCACACTGAACAAAAAGATGAAAGACATTTATTGGTATTCAAAACAAATGTGTTGATTTATTTAGAATTTGCAGACAGAGAAAAATACTAAAAAGGATGATGAGTGTGTCAGCAATCAGTAACACCACTAACACAACGATAAAAAGAAAGAGAGAGACTCATGTCGTCTTCTGTTGTTGCTTTGTTGCTTCAAACCAAACTGAACTTGACAGTGAGAGAAAAAGACTGCGTCGACTTTAAAACATTTTTAGGCCGCTATCACAGACTGCCCGGAACATTACCCAGTGTTCATAATTCATGCCGTGGATCCGTTCTGCGTACCTGCGTGTCATTAGCAAGCAGAGACGACTCCCCTTCTTTGGGATAGGCCACTTCCACCACTGAGTTAATTTCATCAGGCTGGAGGGTTCGAGTGATGGAGTTGCCGTCTGGCCAGGAGACGTGCAGCACCGTCACCTGATCGGTTCCTGAAGTCACAAGAAAGTAAATAAACCTTTCAAAAAGTGACATCATTTCCTGTTAGGACAACATATGGTGTTACATGTTGAAGGAGGAGATTGAGATTTTTGGAGTATTGGTCTTATTTGACAGTATAGATACAGGGACTGGAAATTGGGGAGAGAGCAAGATATGACATGCAACAGAGGTCCAAATGCTGGAATCAAATCTGGGACGACACTGTTATGTGGCACGCTCTGTAACCACGCAGTTACAAAGGTGCTCTGATTCTCATCATCTTCAGGTTGCTGGGCAACTAGCACAGAAGTGCTCTGGTGATGTAGGGCACATTTGTTAAACTTTGGACAGTCTAAAGTCTGTTTATATCGGCTTCCAGTTTTCACAAAGCTAAGACTATTGTAAGCAAGAAAGCGAATAAAAAAGTGAATGCGTGTATTACACAAAATGTTGAACGATTCCTTTAAATCACCCTGTACTTCTAAAAACAACGTGTCAAAATGAAAACAATTTCTAAGTTCAGTTCAACTTCTTGCTGGAGGATTGCGGTATCCCCGGTCTGGGTTTAATGTGATAAAAAAAGAACTGATACATACACGTTGAGCATCCCATTTTCTTCCAGTGTGTGTATGGATTATAAAAGGAAAAAGGAAGTTACCTAAACCAAAGTGGGCGACCGGCTCCATCTCACACAGGTACCCCGAACCTCCGTCGATGATGCGAGTGTGAGCTCCACTCTGACTGGTGAAGGCTGTCACCTTGGCTCCGCGGGCAAAGGATCCAAACTGGGTACGAGGGATGACCCGCAGCCAGTTGTTAGACGAGCCCTGATGAGGTGATACGGTTTAGTTTGTGGATCTTACAAACAAAAACACACAGACACTCACACTTCACACACACACACACACACCTGTGTAACCTTGAAGATAGAGATTGGCTGCTGGGCACTCTCTCCATGTGCCAGCAGCAGGTCCAGCTGTCCGTCCCCATCTAAATCTGTCACGGTGCCACCTGTCCAAAACAAACAGCTTTCACTGCACTGGCCCACAAAACAACTTGACTGTGGTGTTTTATCTGACAGCCGCGTCTCTGTAAATCTCACTCAAACAGAGAGGTAGCAGAGGTGTTACGTATTCACTTAAGGTTATAACATTTTCAGAATAAAACTGAGGAAAATGTGTTGTCCAGTGTCCTCTGTGCTGACCCGTTCCTCGCCCCTGCGGCTCTGCAGCATCTCCCACGTGAAGCTCCTGTATCAAAGGGTCTGCATCTGCTCTTCTTGACACCCTGCCAACAAACACACAAGAATCTAAATATAGCTGATAATGTCAAAAGTAATCCAGGATCGCTGCCGGTTATTTTTTAATAGTTTGATTCCTCTTATTGGACTTTGTATTGACATAATACTATAAATGTTACCTGAACAGCCTGTTAGGGGCGTCGCCTCTATATGCAATATTGTTGAAAAACACCTCCAGCTCCTTGTCATTGTCAAAGTCAGCAGCGATGACTGTGCGAATAGGTGAGGGGGTTTCCAATCCTCCATGGGCTATGTTCTGCACAAAGGAAACACTGCCATGTCCTGCTCTATCAAACTGACTTAATCGTTTACCACCACTGTCCTGCTCTACTCTCTCTTACCCAGAATTTAGCGTCGCTGCCCTGCAGGAAGAGTCTGTGTGGGCCGTTCCAGTTGCCATAGACGATGTCTGTCTTTCCATCGCCATTGAAGTCAGCTAGTGCTACTCCTCTGCCGTGCTGATACAGGTCCTCCACACCTTTAGAAGTTGACACAACGTTGTAAGCTTTAGTTGTGCTACTGCTGGTAAAAAACATTATACTGTAGTTGGATATGAATCATTTTTAAAGCCCCTATGTGTAGGGGCAGACAGCAGACAGCAATGCATTTTGGTACATCTTCAGAACAAAACCTCAACATTTCAAGTACTTACTTACTTATATGATCTGTGAGGCTGTACACCGGCACAGCTGTGTTTTGCTAACATGCTCACAATGACATCAGTTTAGTGATAAACAAAACAATTTTCAAGGCAATCCATCAAATTGTTATCAAGCCGATACTCCCATTAAACAGTCCATAACATAAACTGTACTCAATGACTACATTTAATTAAAAGTATATCTACTCCTGACTATACCTGCTTCTTCCCGTCCTGTTTCATACTCACCCGACTGTCTGGCCACGTCAACAAACGTCCCGTCTCCATTATTCTTGAACAGGAAGTTGGGTCCGTTCTCGTTGTCACAGAACACGTCCGACCTCGACTCGCTCAGGATCGGTCCGACGATCACACCGCGCCCACCTGCAACAGAGAGCGACACCGTGAATGCTTCAGCTGATTCAGCACACTTCTAAACATCACAGACTTTGACCTCTCCAACCTGACTCCTGACCTGTGAACTTGTTGACCCCGGCCTCGGCAGCCACGTCAGACAAAGCGACGATGCCCTTGGTGAGATCACTGGCAGCCTCGTCCATTTCAAGGAGAGCGTGGGGGCCGACGCTGCCGCTGGCATAGTTGGCCACGTAAATTGAGTAACGGCCTGTTCCCTGCCAAAGCAACAACAGCCAAGAGAGTGAGAGGAAGGTTTTCTTGGAGGGAATCATTGAGAAAACGACAGAAATAGAGATCCGATTGTGGGACTTCATAAATAGGTTTACAAAGTGGGTTCACTGACCTTTCTGTCAACACATGCAACTGAACGTCCTGCCATGCGATTGGCGACACCACGACGCACATTGAGCTCGTCCCCCAGAAGATCTTCAAAGCGGCCATTCCGAAACTTGAACAGCTTGTCTGAATAGGTTGCCTTTCCTATATTAAAAGAAAAAGTCAGTTATCATGAGGAAAAATCATTCAGCAACCTGGAATTAATGCCGGGGCAGAAAATGTTATGGAGACATCATAAGAATGCCCTTTTTTTTTTTTTTTTTTTTTACCAGAGTAGGCATTGTTTGTGTTGAGGAAGTAGATCTCCTCACGTCCATCTCCATCCACATCACAGGCAGTAACTCCAATAGCATTTCCTGCTTGATCCCTTAAGGCGTAGTATGGAGAGCTGCTGTCATCAATAGCAATGTTCACCAGCCTGTTTTGAGTGTGATTGTACTTCAGCACTAGGTTGGGCCCATTGTACCTGAGGGGGAACATCACACATTTGTTTTGCACATATTGGTTCCCTTGCTGCGTGCTGGTGCCCCACCGTGTGCAGCTGATGCCCTTTTTATATGTTTCGCCCCTGCCCCTAACACAGCCTGAGTCTGCCACCGCTGTAAGTAATGTTCAGAGTAATGAACATGTCAAACAGCAAACCAATTTCCCACTCACCCTGCCACAACCACTTCCAGGTCGCCGTCACCATCCACATCTGTTACAGCCATTCCATAGTTCAGTTGTGTGGGATTGTGCAGGCTGTCGGGAGCAAGCATCGTCTGCGTTACAACCTGAAACATGGGCTCAGAGCTCTGGGCGTGGGACGTATGCCAGAGTCCGACCAGGAAGAGCAACAGACCTGAACCCCACATCGCTGCAACCTGGTGGAACACAGAGCACAGCTGGGTAATGCATTTAAATGAATGGTGCAGATTATGCACAAGCCATTTGTAATAAAGCAGGACATACATAATGATGATGAGCACCAGGGGCGTCGTTAGGCCTATTTGAGGGGGGCTGAAGCCCCCCTCAAATAATTTGGCATTATTGGCTTTAAAAAAAAAAAAAAAGATATTTTTATTTTGGTGATGTCATTAAATTAAACTATTGTTTCTCACATGGACAAGTTATTTACTCTAACATGCTACATATGTGCGTGCGTTCTGGTTTGTATGTTTTCTCCCCCTTCAAATTACAATCCAACAGCCTATCATCATACTTAACGATATAAAGTTGACACTGTCAGGTCCATTCTCCATCCATTGTGTGCAGTCCCTTTAAGAATTAGGATTTGGGAGTGACGCGGATATTCTTTATTTGAGAAAAGTTCATATTTGTGTTGTCAAATTTCACTATGACCCTCAAATTCTGTCTCTTGTGTTATCATATACTGAATGCAAGCAAAACTACAGAGCAAAATCACACTCTTTCTGATTGAACCAGTCTATGAACTGTCTGAAACAATGGATATCCGCGGCCCCAAATGGGCCCCAAAAAAAATTGCCACTCCCCTTGGGGCTAAGCCCCCCCTTTCTTTGAATCCTAGAAACGCCCCTGATGAGCACATATAAAGTATAGAGATACTATGCATGAGTTACATGAACTCCACCAATGTTATGCACCAGTTTTACACAAAACAGCAAAGTGTAAAAAAAAGCCACAATTATTATTTGAAAGTGATTAATTTCTCGATGCTTGCATCCATAAAATCAACATTTTGGATCTACAGCAGTATCTGCACACATATATAATATCAACGCTATTAGATGTTAGTTACTGTTATTAGTGACATGCCTGTACCACTGATGATCTTGGTTAACTGTTGTTAAAAATAAATCATCATGCACGATATAAACCTGCAGCGGTAATTATTCATGATCCGTGCTTGTTTCTGAAGACATTTGGTTAAAATTCGTCTCACCTGCTTCCTTCAGTGTATAGAGATCGAAATGATCTGACTTTGCTGCAGCAACGTGAGTCACCTGATACTAATATTCTCCACCTTACAGAAATTATCTTTGAGTTTACAAAACAGCTTGTGTAACGGTGTGATATAAGATTTGACCAATCAGGGTGCCTGTTAGAATGTTAACCAATGGCTGAGCTGTACTTCTCTGCACGTGTAACTGAGATGCGGAAGTCTCTGCAATTACTGCGACGGCACAGAAATAATACATTCAAGCAACAACACATTAAAGTGTTCTGAATCCTGACCTATGAAGACAATGACTGTTCTGATAAAAAAACTAATTTGAGGGTGAACAAATGTGCTCATCGTCCGGAGGGCTTCAGCTGTAGCGCCCAAAGAGAACACTATTTCCCAGAATCCTTTGTGTTCTACGCGTGCGTCAGAAGTGCGACGGAAATCTGTAACAAAACAAGCCGAAGCACAGGTAAGCCGAAAGAGGAACATTTATTAGGTATAATTCTGTTTAGGAATGTTTACAATGAAAATACATGAACACAGTTAAAGATTGCTGCATTTTTGATATCAGCTCGTATGTTTGTGTCCTCAATAAACAACGATTCCAACCTCAGCGAGAGGAGGTGTAGCTAGCTACATTGGTAAGCTAACCGACGTTAGCTAACAGCAACGTCTCCGTTTGAATGCGTTTAGTCTCTGTAGACTTTTCTCCCGGAGGAATGACCCGGTTGATGTAGCTCGTAACAACAAAGATTATTCATATTTTCCTTAAATGTATTCAAGACTCGTTTGGAAGGCGGTTAACGGTTAATAAAGATTATATTACGTATTTCATTGCATTGCATCGCCTCTTCTCATGTCTCCTTTCTTCTATGAACCAGGTGATTTTTTTTGTTAAGCGTAATTCAATAATGGAGTCGGAACAGGCAAAAGAAGACTGTGCTCCAAACCAGCCAGAACCCACTCCTCCTTCTGAGGCAAAGAAGCCAGGTCAGGCTCCGTACGTCCCCAAGCAACGACTCCAGGGCTCCAAAGAAAAAGCTCCGGCTCAGGGAGAAGCAAAACCAAGACCCAGGCCTCGCTACACAGACAAGGCAAAGAAGAATGCCAAGAACAAGAAGGACAAGGCTGGAGCAGCGGACATGGGAGCGCCTGTTGAAGGAGAGCTACAGAATGGTGACCCTGAAGTGAAGGAAGAGCGTTTACAGGATGCAGATGTACAGGAGAATGGGCAGCCTGAATCAACCAATGAAGAGGCCGATGCCACCTCATGGCTGGAAGCACCGGCCTCTGAGGAAGGGGAGGAGGAGAGCTGGGACACCTTGTTCAATGATGATGGAGATTCTCTTGAACCGCACCTTGAAAAGGTGAGAGCTTGGTCTGGAAATTCACACACCACACACGATCATTTGTCTGTTTTTTTTGTACACCTAGTTAAAACGTAAGCAGTCTAATACGTGTTCAAAGAATATTTTGTCTCCTTATCATTTCCCTCTTCTCCCACCTGCTCTCACTTCTTCCCTGTCCAGCTGACTTTGAAGGAAGGTAGAAAGAAGAAGTCAGCCCAGCAGCCCAGGTTTGATTACTTCAACATGGAAGGAGATGAAGAGGACGACGTCGACATCGCGGAGGATGAACTTGCTCACATTGTAGAGATCTACGACTTCCCTGCTGAATTTAAGATCGAGGACCTTCTCAAGTTATTTCAGTGCTACCAGTATGTATAATTCAGAGAGCAGCTGCAAGCCCGGCTAGTTCATGCAGCATTTTAAGATCAACATGGGAATCCTGACCAAAAGCAGTTTAATGAATCTCAGAGACTGTGGCATCCCTGGTTTATGTATATTTAAAAATTCCTACAGAGCCCAGTAATTAAATTATCAACGCATGATTAGAGTCACGAGTGAATAGAAAAAGCTGCCGAGCTTGCTATCACTGTAGAGTGAAAAACAGAGATTAAAAGAATTGGACTTTCAGAAATTATCAGAGAAAACAGACTCACACAATGTACAACATTGTGATGTTTTATTCATCCTTTATTTGTCCTTAACACACAAAAAAAGATGTGTTCTATTTGAAATGCAATAGAAATATTAGTTTCTTGATAAAATGTACGGTAAAATGATTTCAGTATGTTTTAGGCCGTAAATATCCTATCGTTGTCCAACTGACAACTTGATATCGTATCATGATTTTAACCCCTAGTATCACTTTTAACTTCCTTTGGTTTTTGTAATAGTTTCTGCGCTGCTGTTGTGTCGCTGTGTTTTTCAGACAGAGAGGATTTGACATCAAGTGGCTTGATGACTCTCACGCCCTGGGCCTCTTCTCAAGCCCCATCGCAGGTTAGTGAGGCCCATAAAGGCTTTATGCGTCACATAAAGAGATCAAATGCCAAACAAAACATTAGGCTCTGCATGTGAATATCATTATTGTGTCATTTTTTTACTGCCACAACAGGAGGACATTTGTTCAATTAAAGGATCCGTGGATGAGTAGATCCTGAAAACCCCGACGTTATTCCTTTAATTAGCTGCTAACTGCTGAGCTTTTCTGTGATATCGTGAATTTGAAAAGTTGGAGTATTTTTTGACGTGCTTTTTCAGTAGCCTGTGTAATTTCTCTGTTTTCCATTTTCAGCTCGTGAAGCTTTAAGATCCAAGCATCCTCTCATGAAGCTGCGACCTCTCTCCAAATCCTCCTCCGACACGAAGGACAAAGCTCGTAGCTGCTCAGGTACAGGTTTGTCCTCTGTATCTCACATGTCCGGAGACTTAACATGTTTATGTAATCGTTTTTTCTTCCGATCCTCAGACGACCTCCTGCCTGCTAAAGAGAGACCTCAGACCAGCGCAATGCTGGCTCGCAAGCTTGTGATGGGCGCCCTCGGTGTAAAGAGCAACCAGACGAAGGAGCAGGGCGAGGCAGAGAGGAAGAAGCTCCAGGAGGCGAAGGGTGCGTTAATACCAGAGATGTTATGTTCAGCTTATGACTGAGGTTGATGGTCTGTGGTCAGCAACACATCTTCTTTGGAAGGCCTGTTCTCTCTCTACTAGTAGCATAGCTGTTAGACCGTTGACTGAACTACTGCAGAGCCTCACCTTCAGCGGGATGCCGCTAATGTGACAAATGGTGCAGGTTGTCTGTAAGAAAGAACATCGGTTCCTGAACAAATAAATATTAAAAACATGCCGCAGTCTGTCCTAATCTTTGCATCACAAGGTTTCCACCACAAGTGGGAGCTGTTTTTATACTTTACTGAAAAAGAAAAATGGAAATTGATGCCAAGAGAAGTTCCGTCCACTTCTGTGCGAATCTCAACATGTCTATAATCAGTAAAGCAGCCATTTCCCTTCACAGATGGAACATAAGTATATAGGCACAGAAGACCACAAATGGCCGTCCTCTGAAGAGCCAGTCAGGAAGTCGGGGCCTTGAGTATAGAACACTAAAAAAAGCTCCTTTTGTCCTAAGCGTGGGCACACTGCTGCGCTCTCTCTGTAAGATCACGGCACACACTGGGAATGTCAGTCAGAGGCACATCTTGAGCTGAACATTATGTCCTTGGACTGGAAGCCACACACGGTCGTATTCAGAGATTCCGTTACAGCCGGCTCTTCACCACCCTGCATGCGGAGAAGACGGCGATGCATCTTTAGAGCAACAAATACCTTAAGTTGTGTGTAGTTAACAGCTTTTGCTGATTGATGTGTTGAACTCTGTGATTTATCTTTCAGAACAAAAGCGCCTGGCAGCCAAACAAAAGGAAGATGCCTGGGAGGGCAAGTGATTGGACAGAAACTACCGTTTTATTTTTTCTTTTTTTTTTCTTTTTTTAGATTTCCTGATTCAGCAGAGGCTTACGTCTTCTCTGTTTCTTCTCTTGCTCCGTTTTGGTCAACTGGCCACTCCTCCTCCTCCTCCTCCATACCACCACATTTCCCAGAAATGGATTCCCACCATTTTTGTTCCTTCTTTTGGCCACAGTCCTTCCCCAACTGTTACTGAAGGTCTCATCATTCACTGTCCGTTTGCCTGCAGTGTTACATCAGATGAAAGGGTCCAGCTATTGTTCTTTTTATGTTCACGCAGGGACTGTTGCATCTGTGCCATGGCCGAGGCTAAAACAACCGCCTCGCCTGGGTTTTCTTTCACATTTCTTAACATTGTAACCACAGTCTGTAGTGAAACACACAGATAACCATTTGTCTACTCTTATTGAATAGATCTTAGAAATCATGTTTGTCTTTATATCAATTTTTTTTTTTTTAAACTGTTTTTAAAGATGACCCAAGTAAATCTTGTAAACGTGAGGGAAGCAAAGTTTCACGTCGCTATTCCTGAACCATACAGTGCATCACTATACTCTATATGAAGACATTACTGAGATTGTTTGAGGACATCTTAGCTCGTATTATTAAACATTTTCTGAGAAGTCAAAAAGCTACTGCTATTGGTCTTTTCCAGTTTCCTGAAGACGTACATATTGTGTGCTCATCTGTACCCATTTTCAATGGGAGGAGTCTCGTTGTCCAAGCAGAACTGACGATATTTCGCTTGTCATTCATTCTGAAGAACAAATGTTGACACATTTTGTCTTCACGTTGCTAGCCGGTTAAAAATAAAAAAGCCATTTTGGGGTTTGTTTTTGGAAGGAAAAAAAAGTGAGAAAACTTTATTATCACTGTCATTATATACAGACAGGTACATACATGACATCCTAAACACTGAGGAGCAGCACGTGTCCATGTGTGACGTGTCTGTCCAGTAATCACGGTAAAGAAATGAACAAGTAAACACATTTACCAGAAAGTAAGACATTGTGAATAACATTTTATTTGGTGATAGTATCTTTGAAAACTACATCCTGAACAACTAGTACGGTGTCTTAAAGCGCACAGTGACAGATCCAGAGTCAGTGAACTTGAATGAAACTATTGAGCAGACATTGTATTTTAGCTGCATTGATTTTATTTTAAGCTGAAGTATATCCACGAAATAATTCGTTGAATAAGGGAAGTTCAACGACAGTTTTGGTGAAATGTTTCCGCTTCAGTTGAAGTATTACGTGATCTAGTAGTTGAGAAAATTCTGCAAAAATGGGGTTTATCACAACTTTTTCAATCTGCTTTAGATTAAAGGATTTGTTGTCACCCTCAACATGCTGTTTTTCTTTGTCACTTGAAAGTTTAAATGCTGCACTTTAACTAGAGAGAGACAGCGTTTCATAATCCAGCCTTCTGAGACACACACCCAGGCTCCAGACCACAGACCACGTGACACTGAGTCTCCGGCACCTCCTCAGCCAACAATCAAGTCTTATTCTCCTGCTTGGAGAAAGAGCTGCTCAGTTGTTTTACTGCAACTAAGTTCAACTTCTACATCTTCTTCAAAATATCATTTGCTGTTAACGTTTAGCCCGACTGGATGTTCTAACATAGTTATACAAAAGAGTGCCGGCTTAATACATGTTTGAAAAGGTGTCTTTGTTGTTTGCAGACGTCATTTGATTAGAATATTAGTGTGAAACTCAACCAGTACTATACATTTACACACCAGTGCAGTCTGTTACTGCTGTAAGGAACCCAGTTTGTGTAACAGTTGAGAACATTAGCTGAGGACGACTGAAACACGGAGCCGCGTGGCTCATCGTGGGCTCATTAAAGTGCTGCAGCATTACAAGTTCAATTCTGTGTTTAGAACTTTTTGACTCAGTAGTTGACAACTAGCATAACAACATAGCATTGGCGCTATTCAAATATAATCTCTGCAAGTATTAATCTCTTTCCAAAGTTCACTTGTTTCCAAAGATATTGATTTTTATTGAATTGGAAGTTATTAAAAAAACTGATAGCATTGTATGTGGTAGTTTTTATTTATGCATGCTGTTATGTAGTCATTTATGTCAACGTAATGCGATATAAAGGTTAAAAAAAGATGAAATTGTTTAAAATTTGGTTGTGATTTTTTATTTATTTACTACTTTAGTTTCATGACATTTAATTTTAAATGGCCATAAAGTTTTACTCATACTCTTATTTGTTTAACTTCCTGATGTCAGATCACCAAAATGTATCTTATAGTCCAAATAATAGACAAAATGTGCTGTATGTTGATTTGTCATCACTTAAACTGACACGTTTTGCAGATTATGCTTTTGTTTTCTAATTTAAAATTCATGTTGTGATTTATTTAACCAGCTGGTCTCGCTGCACACATGATGACTTCCAGTGTGGAATAAAACCAAACGCGGACACTATTTTCACAGTGATCTTGCCAGAGCAGACGTGGACCTCCCTGTGCTCTGTTGCTCTTGCAGCTGAACTACATCTACAGATTGTAGCAGCTCTTCACTATCATCGTGTGAGATCTGAGTCCTGCCTGTAATCTCATGCTTTACTGTGGCTGATGTACCGCAGAGCAGCCTGCTGGGTGCCCCTCACACAATCATTAGATTAACTACACAAACACAAACCACGACTGAGCAAGTGCTGGTTCCAAGTGCCAGCTCTGCCCTAGACTTGCTGCTTGCCATGGAGGAAATTAAATGTGAGGCATGGTCCAAATGAAGAAATCATCTCATGTCCCGCCACAAGAAAGGACTCCGGTGGTGTACGACTGTGAGTCAGCAGATACACCTTACATCACCCTCCTCCCTTTGTTAAATTCAAAACTTTGTTAATAACGACACTCAAACTGATCAATATAGTAAGAGTATTATTATTATTATTATTATTATTATGAGAATGCATAGTTAAAGCTAGATCATGTCAGACTTGAGAGAGTCTTCCTCTTGCAAATACGTTTAATTCATAAGGAATAAAAATAACTGCTCCTCAATCCACCCTGAAGGTTTTTTTCCTTTTTAATTTGAACTTTAACCGATGGAGCCTCAGCCTTCTTTGTCTGGTATGACCAGTATCTTATGGTAGCTAATGCTAGCTCTAGCTAACTTTGGGTAGATGTTGATGAACATTAGGTTCATACTTTGGTTTGCTTAGAGACTCGTCTCCACTCGTCTGCTGCCGTTACACTATCACAGCATGTTGGCTAAATGCGAGGCAGTAGTTTAGCTTTTAAACAGATAAATATGAAACATAACAATGCTGGATATGATGTGATGTGTTCAGGGACCTGTTTGTAACATTAGGATGGAGTTTGAAAAATCCACAGATACTGTAAGTATAAGAACACAGAATTATCTGAGCTTTGTATTACTCATTTGATTTTAATTTGCCCTTTTACATATATATAGAAAGTGATAATATTCGACTCCAACTCATAAAAGGGAAAAAACAAAACCAAAGGAAGTGACATATTTAAAGTATAGCCTAATGTGACAATGGGCAGCTGTGAGTTTCCACAGTGTTTGTGTTCGTCAGTGGGAATGAGGTTGGAAACAACCATAAACTACGGGTGAGCTCAGGCTCCCTGGGAAAAGATGTGAAACGCAGCTTTTTACTGTAGATCTGCTGAAGGAAGCAAATGAGTCTACATGCTGTTGTGATCAGACTATCACATGTGCATAAGGCACTATATAACTCTGTCATTTATCTTTCCTATAGACTCATTTAAATAAGGGGATCTATTTTAGCGAGTAAGCGTATTCCCCAAATCTTCTGCAAACACTGTGACATTAACCATTATCTTAGTTCTGCATTAGAAAACTCTGCAGTCAAATCACCATGCCTGAAATAACCATAGAGTTTGTCAATCTGACATTTATTCTTTTACTACCATTACCAAGTACTGTTAGAGGCGTAATGCCGTGGTATGACCACATCGCATGTTACCGATGTTATACAGGTGGAAAAGAAACAAGCGAAAATATTTGTCATATATGAAATCAACAATACAAAACACAGCCACAAAGGGACAAGTTTCAACTCAAAAGTACATTAAAATGTTTGCATAAATTAGAGACCTAAAGAACAATATTCCAGAGAAGTAATATAAAACTGTACATGACAATACATTTGCAATACATTACAATATTTATTCCAATAACGCAAAATAGCACCATGAAATAAAAATATTCTCATTCAAAAAAAAAAAAGCACACAGTTGTAACAGTAAAAACTGCTTTAGTAATGTGAACAGTGAAAGCACAGTAAAGCATGTACAGGGTCTGTTTCCTGGGTTGATATCATGTGGACGATAGCCTGATTGTGTACTGTAAAAGTAAAGGATGCGTTCATGTCATTACTTTATTAACTGTGGTTATGTTTTGATCAAGGGAATTCAATTTGTTAAAAATTCAAGACGCATTTTTTAAATAACTACTCTACGTTTAATCACGGTGACATGATGCTTGTGATGGCCAACTGGTCTTTTTCTACTTTTTGGTCTTTTCCTCTTCCTACATTTCTCCTTTAATCTCTTTGACTTTCTAACAGGAACAGTCAGTGCTGATGACAACCACTCACAGGATCCTAATTAGTCAATTTTGCATGATGAAGTCTCTCCCATACCATCCCGGTTTCCCACCCGCCTCCCTCTGACCCTCATCTGTCTATTTACTGGCGTGTCATTGTCATTCAACCTCCTTCCCCCGACACGTTGAGGTGAGGCGAGGAGTTGTACGGTTGTTCTGTTCTTAAATCTGTGTGTTCCTTAATTCACAGGAAGTTGTTGGAGATCTGACGTTGGTGGTCAAACAGGTCCTCCGCCTCGGCGCTGTAAGCATCACCTGATGAAAACAGACAAAGAAGAGAAGTGGAATACATAGCAACAAGTAAGGGAGAGAATCAGATGGAAAAAAATGCACGTGCACTGAAAAAGTCTTCACACTGTACCTGCATGGCATCCAAACATGTAAACTCGTTCTCCATCGTACTTGCACCGACAGCGCATCACGTTGTTCTGGAAATCAGACTCAGCCATGTCTAAGGACGGGTTGACCTCCACCTGTAGATGAAAACAGACCAGAGATAAAGATGCTGCAAGATTCAAGTCAGTCATCCTCCTCACAGTTGAGTGCATGTACCTTTCTGACAACATGCAAATCCTGCTAATTATAATAAGTATATTGGAAATGTATCCCGACTCTAGTCACATTCTTTTGCTATACATGGAAAAGTGCTATTGAAATGAGAGGTGCTGTCCACCCCTTTTCCATTGTAACGCTTGCAGCTCTTCGTCCAGGCAGTTGAGCCAATTGAACCACTCGCACAAGCAGTTATAGCATCCTAGATGGGGCCCATACATTGTATTACCCTGTACGCAGACGATGTTTTGTTATATTTGTTGAAAGTCTCCTTTAAATATAAAGGCAAATCTTTTACCTTCCCTTAATAAAGTTAGCTTATCTTAGCATTAAGACGGGAAGCGGGGGAAGCGCCTGGATCTGGCCAAAGATTCAAAAGCCTTCCTGTAGACACCTCTAAAGCTCATGACGTACAAACACCTAAGTGTAAACAAAAAGTTGTGGTTTTGTTATGTGTAGGACAAGTTCTTGGCCAGGAGCCTTGAGTCTTTGCCGGTTGCTTAACAAAGTACCTTTCTGTCTAAGTCTAGACCAGGAGCACTTTTAGTAAAGGAGCAAGTGAGAAAGCAACACTTTACGTCAGACTTTTAGGAAACAACTGGGCTTCCACGAGGCCGACTGAGAAGCCGCACAATTATTGTCCTCTCCTTTCTATATGGCTCGCGATGTATAAATTATGGGTTCAAGTGATGCATGACATCACTTTCCACTGTTATCTCCACGCAGGGAAACGGGCCAGAGATGCAGATCACAGTTTTGGGTTTTAGATTGAAGTAGCAGTCTATCATTAGGCTGTAGCCATGGTTGGTTGCCATGGCTTGTTGTTTTCCACCCTGTCTGCCTGCCGGCCATATATAAGAAAAGCACACAAATGAATTTTCCTGATGCACACATCAAACAGATAACCTGACCACATATTCAACAAAGCAACCCAGTTTCATTTTTTACAGACAGTATACGAATTTAACGGTTCTAATTATATTTACAAGCAAAGATTTAAGATGTAAAATATTCATAATTATGATACTTTTTAAAGTACATTTGCAGCCAAATTCGGGGTCAAGAACTTCATACATTTTCAATATTGCATGTAGAGAGCACGCAATGATTTCAGCACATATTTTATAGCCCCGATGTAAAACAGCATATTTACTGGGTGGCAGTTGATGCCCTTTTAAAAGCTCTAGTAATAATGTGAAACAAAGGGCCCGCAGCCAGTTTTACAGAACGATGAAAGGTCGTCACTGTCATGTAAAAGACTGCGAGGTTGTGCAGTTGATTTTTAAATGACGGAGCAATCAGGAGCAATCAAGCTGAGGTGACTCATCGGTTTAAATGTATGGTCCTAAAAATGGCTGCCACCCTGCGATACTTGGTAAAGTCTCAGAGAAACACCCAGCTGCATGAGAGACGAGCGAGCATCTGCGCCCTCCCTACATCTCTCGCTTCTTACGCACATTTATGAGCAGCTCAACTACTGTTGAACCACAATCGGGACCACAAAGTGCTGCTGGGTCACGCCGTCGTGGCAATGGTGAATCTCTGCTTCGTGATATGGTTTTTATCTCTCAAGACGTGGCTCGTCACCTAGTCTACATGCAGTCTACACACACACACACACGCATGCAGGTCACACGTAAACATCTTGATTTTTTTTTGTAAACACTCCGAAAATAATTGTAAACTGTAAACATCATCACTTTGCTGCCCCTAAGCTGCCATGAAAAAAATAGAACAAATGACAGAGAAGGAGGAAAGATGAGTAGGTCACCACAACAGATTGGACGACAAACATACAACTAGCTCTGAATAAATGTAAAGTGCTGACAGAGCTGTTCCACCGCCAATAAGCCTGCACTTTCTAAAAGGGTGGACTAATAGCAGGTCTACTTTCTATATAAATCCAGACTAAATTCACTTTCCTTAAATACGCACACACCCTGAAAACTACATACGTACTGTACACCTGAATGGTTCACCAGCCGCGAGCCATTTAGCTCAAATTATAGTGTTTTATCACAGCTTTTATCTCCTTCAGATGTTGAAACACAAACTCTGTTCTGCTTTTTCTTCTCGCTCTCATGCCTGATCCAAGAGCTAAGCTACTGAAATTATGCGATTTCACCATGAAGATTGAAAGGTGGATTATTTGTTTCTCAACATTTTTATTGGATAAAATAAATGTCCCAATTAACTGCTGAGCGGAAGTTTAGAAGATGTTTTTTTTTAGTTGTAATAAACTAGCTTCCTAACCTGGAAGATGTATTCACCGGGTCGTATGTCTGTGATGTCGATCCACTGGCAGTCAATATCGTGGCGGTAGGTGTCCCAGCAGCCGACTGAGATACCCTGCTGTCCCATGTTATAGCAGGCGTACCGTTTATGGACACCTAGTGGAAAGAAACAGTTGGAAACACGAGGAGAGGTAAAAAGACAAGACTACGATGTGTAAATCGCATTGCTGTCAGTTGCTGTGGATTAGAATTTTGACCACCAGCCTGAAATTATAACTATAATAATAATTATATTGTCACGATTCTGCTCTCGTTTCTAGATTTTCCCTCAATAAGCAGATTTAGGCAACATTAATCTGTCATCATGTCTCACCTTCAGGGCAGTAGGTGTCCTCCAGACAGAAGCTGGCCTTGTGGCCCTCGGCCACCTTGGTCCCGTTGAGAGTCAGCAGGTCGTAGTGGGTGAACACCTCGATGCTGTGGTAGTGCCTGAGAATGGGATCGGGGTGACAGGACTAATATGTGAGGCAAGTAAAGAGTTTGCTGCTGTTTTTAATTACATCATCCTGTGAAAAACCAAAAACCTTGAGGTGAAGTTGACGTATAGCAGCCATAAATCCTGTTTCGTTGTTGCGAAGGCGTCAAACAGACACAGGCAACAATTGTAAAAACCCAAGTGGGCAGGGAGATACCAGTTTCTCTCATTACAGAACCATTCCCAGAATAGACTGTACCAAAAGTCAAACCATGTGTTTTCCGGTTGGGGAGGTTGTGATTGGCTTGCGGCTGGGAGAGACACCGAGCTGTGCCTCTCGTTTTGGGACACGGAACCACAACCGCTGAGATAAGAAGCCGGGCTGCTCTGAGTGCAGTCATGGCTCTGACTGTAACAACTGGGTGACCAGCGAGGAGGATGTTTATTGTAAACCTCATTTTGGAGGATAAAAGATTGTGTTTATTGTGTTAAATAGCAGACTTTTATATGTGTTATTTATAGTCTAGGTCACATTAAAATATCACTTCACTGTGTTGACATTTCACTCGCCAAATCTGACATTTATCTTTTGCTAGTCTTTGTTAGTCTTACCTGTGACACTGGTGCCATGTCCAGCTTTCTCTGGTGGCTCGGGGGCGGAAGTCGGCACAGCCCATGTTCATGATTCGGGAGGAGAAGCGCAGCAGGCGGCGGTGTCCGTAGGGCCAGTTCATCCTCGCGGCAGAGGAGGAAAGGCAGTTCTCCTCATTAGCGCAGGTCAGCAGGTGGAGGGGTCGGTCCTCCAGGTACGCCGTCTCCTGGACGAGCTGAGCATCCAGGACGAGGTCAGGAGCAGCTGCAGGGGCCAAGGGTCAGAGTTTAATCAAAAGAGAACTCCACCAATTTTATATTACCCAAAAGGCAACTCAGTCAAAGATACAAGTGTGTTTTGCTAGTAGTAGCTAATGTAGCCTCAAGCAGAGATGAGCAGCGGGCTACAGAGGTCTGTAGGTTTACTTCTCTCTAACTCCACACTCCCAGATTTGTTAGTTTCAAACTTGTAGTCTTCAGCCGCAGCCCACGCTGACTCAAGTGGTATAAATTGAGGCAATTTATCAAATTTCTGCAGCCACAAAAGTCTTCTTGTCACACAGCAGTGGTACTGATGTGTAAAATATGTGGAGTTCCCTTTAAACAAACATACATGTATCTGTGTGGTTGCTGGTTTTGGACTCACTTTCTACACACGTGACTCCTGCAGCCCTGCCGTCTCCTCCTCTGGGACAGTAGACGTTGGTGTTTCTGCGACACCGCTGGATGGACATCTCAGTGCCGACGCAGTGAGTTCCACTCAGAACCACCTGACCAGCATCTGAAGAACCAGGCCAGTACCAGGTCTCCTGCACAGAGACACGAGAACAGAAGGTGTCAAACACTTCTCACATGTGAAAAATGTCCGAGCTGAAGGCAATCTCTGCTATAAACAAAGAAACCCCATTTCTTTATTGGAACTATCAGTACACATTATCACACTTTCCACTCTTTTAAAACGACCCGTTAAATGTTCCCAGCCCCCCTCAGAACACACTCACGCTGCCCTTTCCATGCACAGCTCTATTTTCGGTCTGTTTGCTCTGTGAATTTCTCCCGATTTCTCTTCACCTCACTTTCCCTCTTTTATTTTCGTTGCACTGGAAGTGGACGTTTGAGAAGCCTGTAATTACCTCGGGCCTCGGTAATAACACAGCACAGGCACACAAACAGCAGGGCGAAGAGTGTGAGGGAAATATAGGGACGCGCAGAACAAAAGCGTGAGGCGAGAGAGGAGAGTTTCAAGCAAAAAACTTTTTTTTCTGCTCTGTCGTTTACCTGATGAGCTGTTGAAGCGAAGCCCAAGCCGAGCTGTCGACAGACCACCATGGCCTCGTTGATGCCCCAGTTCTCACTGCAGATGGAGCCCCATCGCTTCCCCCCTCCGACCTCAATCAGCACCTCCACGCGGCCCTCTGATGGCTCTCTGCCTCCTGCCAGACGCACCTGAAGGTTATGGAAGAAGAGAGCGTGTCAGTCCGTGAACACTGACATATGTGTGTATAGGTGTTTATGCGTTTCTCACCGTGGCCTTCACGCCAGTGTTGGGCACGTTGCAGCGGACCGCTACATCCTGGGTGTGCTTGAAGGTGTATAGTGGCACCGGTTTGTAGGTACACTCTGTAATCGACTTCTCTCTGCCGGTACACTGCACACTGTTCATGTGGATGGGGCCGCTACCTACAGGAGGAGGGTGTAGAGTTGATTTATTTGTGTCTTACCAACAATAGGCCACATGAAAACACACACACACACAGACACACACACACACACATACACACACGTTACAGAAAAAAACCTGATGTCCACAGAGTGGGGTTAAAAGCCCAGACATGATCGGGACCTCTGGCGTGGCTCTGAAACTAAGCTTAGCCACAGAGCTCTCTGTCTAAATGACTGTACTGTGCGGCACACTGCACACCAGCCACGCTTTATGAACCAAAATAGAAACCAAAAATGGAAGAAAATCTTTGAACACTTCTCTGTTGGCGTAGGTGTGTGAGGCCAAGGCTGAAGCCCTATAATTTGGCCTTAAATAGCTAATGATGTCATCAAGCCTTGCTTCAATTTGCTCTCCTTTAACTGCGCTACCCATGAGCCTTCACGTCGCAACGCACAGATTCATCTCCAATATGTTATACGTGCACACAATTATGGCTCCAGTCTGACATTTAATCGTGTGTATTTTTCAGACATAACTGCAGCATAGCACTTACGTTATTAGAGCCCTGAAAGGAACGCTCAAATGAACTTCCATGAATTACTTCATTAAGTACAGCGGAGAGAAGGAAATGCACCCACTATTATAGGACATGGTGTGTGTGCTTGTTTGGGCAGAAAGATAATGGAAGGAAATGAATGTGACAATAACTGAGTGTGTGAAAGTGGGGTCTATTTCTGAGGAAAGTGTTTGACTCTATTATTGCTGGAGAATTTAATGGCTATATTCTCATGCCCACAACAAAAGCAGTGCCAAAGTAATCACGGTCTTTTTGAATGTTTGGCCCTGCTCAGTGCTGATTGCCTGACATCCTGGTTTCAAAGCGGCGCTAACGTTTCACATACAAAGGGTTTATTTTGACAACAACACACGCCATTGTTTTGGTCGCTGGAACCTCCTAGCATAGTTTACTCTGGTATAAGTGGTCATGGGTAGAGTTCCTCAACAATCAGCTTCTGCGATAGAAGTAGAAGTCGAGCTGTAAACATTTTCCCCGGGTTTATTTGTTTGATCGGAGCCCGTGGTTCTTGGAGTGCTGCGTTTAGCAACAGACATTCAGGCTGAGACGTGTTTAGTCTAAAGGATCACTGAACTCGACCGATCATGCTCAGACTTCATGGTGAGCTGATTCAAAGTCGGTACCATTCAAGATAAAAGGGGTTATCAGGTCTGCAGCTGGGTCTCTTACTGGTTTTATGAATGAAGAATAATCTGCTCGTATAGGACAAGATGATAATTTTAGATTATAGTTTTTTTTTAACACACAAACGTCTCCCACCATGACCTCACTAGGCTCGGTGAGTAAATGCATCACTGGAAAGCACCAGAAAGGATTCAAAGTGCACTTTATGTACACTGTGTGTGTGTCCTGTCTTACCCTGTCCCAGCTGAGCCTTGGTGAGAGCCTCTTTGGCCGTCCCAAAGCCCAGCTCTCTGCAGACCACGCTGGCTGCAGTGACGTCCCAGAGGTGGTCGCACACAGTGCCCCACTTCCCCTCCTTCAGCACCTCAACGCGGCCCTCCCCGACCCGGGGCCCCGCCTTCAGACGCACGATGGGCTGCAAGGAAAAAGGAAGAGTTTAGGTACAAAATGGAAGTTTGTAAATTAAAAGTTTGAAGCCCTGACTGGATCTGGAGTCTTATAGCTACATTTTTTAGATTTAACAGTTAGACGGGCTTAAAAACAACATTTCAGCTAAAACGAAACAGCTAGCTTGGGTCAGTCTAAATTTAAAAATGCACCTAATATATGAATAAACAATACATGTTTGTTGTTGTTTTTACACATTGTTTTTTGTACGGATTAAACAAACAAGCTGTTTCCCCCCTGTTAATATAACCAGATGACGGTTGCTTCATATAAGCCGGGTATCAATCTCTGAAAGTATTTCTTGAGTTGAAGAAACCAAGTTAACATGTTTATATTACATATTTAGCGAACAGATGGGACAGTGGTATTGATCTTGGTTAAAAAAAAGAAAGAAATAATTGAATGCCATGAAATATCAAACTCTTCATTTCATTTAAAAGAAATGTATTCTAATCTATATTTGCTTCAACTTCCACCTCCACACTGACCGGCACGGCAGGCGGTGCAGGTGCTCTGCCATATCGTGTGAACTGGGATCCAGGGACGCAGCGGACCACAGTGTGCATGCCGCCGCGGCACGGGACATCATTCCTGGGGAGGGACAGCTGGGCCTGGCACTGGGCCAGAGAGACCTCCACGCCCTGACACTGCACCTTCTCCACCCAGTAGGCCTTCTTACTGACCTGCATCCTCAGCCTGGGGGGGGGGGGTGAGAAAGCAGAGAGTGACATGAGAGGTATATTTGTCATTTGTCACATCAATGATCTGTCAAGCTATAAAGTTATATCCTTTAAAAAGCAGATGTTTTACCTTGCAGACGGATCAGCTATCTTAGAGTCCCACAGTTTCCTGAAAGAAAGAGAACATCTGTTACAACTGTGCATCTTTAGGCGCAGTAGACTAAACAACCAGCTGTCCTATACAGTCCCACAGTCTGCTCCTGTACCCAGTCTCATCTTTCCTCCTTAGTCATCCTTCTTCTTTCTTCCTTTACATGCCAACTCGTACATTCTGTCTATCAAACTTTGAATAAACAAACTGAGAGCTGTGACGGAGACAACATGCTGGGAAGGGCGTGTGTGTCTTTGGATAAACATAGCGCTCGTTTAAGTGACAGGGAGGGAGAAAGAGAGAGAGGGAGATTTACAATAACGGATCACATAACTCCCTTCTTTCGTTTCTTTCGTCTCAAACCACCACCTTGTTGTCATGACTTTTTTAGATCTTCCATCTCAACAGTCATGGGTATTTCTGTCTCAGTGTTTGTCTATATGTCTACAGTCGATGTCTGGTTTGGGGCAAACTAAAAATACAAGAAAGCCACTATACATTAATCCCTTTCAAGAAGCCTTATTGAGGTCTGCCAACCCCAACAGGGGTTTCTAAACTGTGCCTAGTTTCATGGATATTAGCCGACCTTAAACTAGAGTCAAGTTCTAAAGGGAAACAGTGTGTATACACAAAATGAGGCCCCCTACGCCTGCACACACACATGCACTATGCTAGGACCGAAAAAAGAGAAGAAACAAAACTAGAATTCAATAAAAAGAATGATTCACAAACCAGGCAGAGTCTGGGAAGTGTCCCTCTGTGACACACACACACACACACACACACACACACACACACACACACACACACAAATTAGAGCTGACCACTTGCATCAACCGGAGTGACCACAGACAGGTGCAGCGTGACTGACGCCCTTCATGAATGTGCCTGAATTAAATGACTCACAACACCAAGAATAGACAGGAGCCGAGTTTACTGTACAACCAGATTCATGATGCAATTAAATATTAGGCAAACTAAAAGGGGATATGTTTCCTCTCCAGGAGAACCCCCAGTGTCCCAGTCATCCATGTTCATTATGCACAGTACCAATATTAGATGAGAAATGTGTTTGAGGAAACCCACAATAGAAAACTAGAGCCAAGCAAACTACTGTACGGAACACAATATGTGGCTCTTTAGCGGCCTAATGTTCCACTAGGTTCACCAGCTTGGTGCTCAAATTGTAATGAGTATCTCTCTTTATTTCTCTGTTCTTTACTGGGTTCCTTCTTTCTTTTATTCTTTCTCTCCTGACGTTGCTTCTTTTCCTATCTCTCTCTCATTCTTTTTTTTTCATTTTTCTTCAATGCCTTCCTTTCTTCCTTCTTTATATTGCCCTCCCCTTTTCTTTGTCTGGTCTGAAAGCAGATGAGAAACCACCACTGCAAGGAAACAAGACACATACAATAATATTTCTAAATAACACAATGGATCTAGAAGCACATCATTCTCCTGATGTTGATGAGAAGCGGTAGAACTGATGGTTTCTTTGTGCTATTTAAAGAGGTATACGTATGTGTGAGTTGTGTATGATGGTGTCTATTTGTGTGAGTCTATCTGCTTGTGTGTGTGTGTGTGTGTCTGCTTGTTTCATAACTTGGCAGTAAATCAAAATGAGAGAGACAAACTGTAAGGGGGTATGCGTTCATGGTTCGGAGGAGGAGAGAGTGCTACCCATATAATTGCCTGCTCTGCTTGGCAGTGTCTGCTGTGCGGTCGAGCAGTAGCATGTTGGTTCACACACACCAGACATGGAAATATGCACGTACGTATCAACTTTCCCTGCCTTGCCTCTGTAAAAACAAAGCTCTTTAAAACCCCAGCGTTGTTACTTAACGTCATGACTGCATGCTGGGAAACGAGGAGCGAGTGATGTAAGTCTCTGTGAACTGGGCAACTTTTACGAGCATCGCCGAACTTCACAGGATGAGGGAAAGCATGTCCTTTTGGTTTTCACTCAGAGACATCTCAGTTGTCAGCTCAGATCTTTGTCAGGTGGAAAACACAAGATGGAGCTGAGTTGAGGCTCTTCCCACTCTTATGAGGAGATTTAAAAGAAGGGAAGTGAACGCAGCATCAAGCCGACACAGGCACAACAATCAGGTTTGACCGCAGCACTGCTGAACTCTTTGAACCGAGAAGACTTTCTTATACTTCTCAGGATCTTCAGCTCGATGCCAGGTTTTGTATTCAACTCTGACCACACAATGCCATAAGCCGCACTGGAGAGAGGATCTGACTGTCAGGAAAGCAGAGATAACCAGTTATTAGACTGCATGAACGCAAAGCTGCCTGACTGGAACAATCGACTCCCTCAGGAGACAGCAGGTTGCCACACTGGCTCCACAGCAGCCTCGAGACAGTCCCATTAACCTCCATGGAACAAAGAGTCAAAGGGGTCATAATGATGTACTTTCCATGAAATGTGGGTTTCAGCATAATTGCCACAAAGGCATAAAAAAAAAAAGACGTAACTGAGGAGGGGAGAAGGAGCAGGGGGTTAAAGTGAATTAGAAGATCTGAAGTTTCTGTCTGCCTCAAAGAGAGTGTGGATGTGATGAAACAAGGGAGCTGGAAAATGGCTTTGGCGTTTGCCTTTTGTAAGCACAGCAAAGTGGGGGAGTATTTAAGCAGCTGTAAAAATGTGCTGTGCAACTTAACAGGCAGAGACAAAGGCAGTCACACCAAAAAAACAACAACCACATGGGCAGAGAGGGGAAGTGCTGACACAGCAAAGGGTGCGCAGCCGGTTCAGTCAACAGAATATTCTTCTGGATCTCTCAGAGCATAATTACAGCTGTTCCAGTGGACACAAACCACAAAGAATAGGCAGGAACCACAGCCAGCACAGTCACCGCTAAGATCTGACTATCATGCATGGATCGATATAAAAAAAAGAGTCCACGGCCATGACAGCAGCGCTGTGAGGCTGTACTTAAGCAAAGCTTTATGGTTTAGGGTTAGGGTTAGCTCATTGGTCAGGGCATAGGACCTGAACTAATCAGGTTACTGGTACATCTGCGAGCATGTAAAGCTGGTCGATCCCAGCGCTTGAATGCTATGCAGGGTGGGTCTTGCCAAGAAAAGCGGTGAGATTCATAATATGTCACAATTTCTACCTCAGGAAACATTTTCAAAAGGACAGTGCCAACATAACTCGGCTTCAAAATACATGGACATGTGGCACCAGACGCCAATGATCCACTTTGCTGCTTGTTGAAAAAGAAAAAAAAACATTCTCTCCATCTCAGATGTTTACTGTCGGACAAAAATGGCTGCTCCATTCGTCTCCCACGTAGCTGGGTGGAGGTTGACAAAAAACAAACAACGTTCTCTGGCTTTCTTTACACAAGCTGCTGGTCGGGTTCTTGGCTCAGAAATTCAATGTTTCTCCAGACATCTCTGAGGTGTTTTTCGGTGTTGTTGTCCACATTAACATCAGCTTTAGAACGTTAGCATGGTGCAAAACCAGCTAAGCACCATCTTGGACTTGGAAGCTGTAATTGCCCAAACTGAAGCGCCAAATGGAACTCAGAAATGTAGCTTTTCTCACATCGCTGCATCTAATGTGCACGGCTCTGAAGAAGCCCTTAAGAGATAAGAAACTCTAAGAGAGAGTTAGTCATTGCTGGGCTGTGGCCGTGGTGGTGAACAGGGCAGCTGAGGAGATGCAGCCTGTTTCCTGCCACTATGCAGAGCAGCGCAGGACACAAGGGGTAATTATTGGCGACATGGAGAGACAGATGGTGCAGGGCAGGCCAGCGGTCAGTACACTCACCCTGTTAGCCAAGCCATAAAAAGACCTCTGTGGGCAGACAGACGGACACACAGAGGGTTGTCTTTGCATGTGCACAAGTGTGTGTGTGTGTGTGTGTGTGTGTGTATTTGCGTATTTATTTGTGTGCACACATGGATTTTGGACATAGTTTATGTAAGGTCTCGTAAGATGCTGTGCGACGAGGGTGGAGACAGGGATGTATTAGCATGTGTGTAGGTGAGGTATTGGGGTTTTCTATGGTATGTGTGTGTAGGTGCTAAAGCGGGTATTTATGGCTAAAGTTAGACAGATGTGCTGGACCTATAGAGACAAATTCAGCATAACAACCTGACATTGAGCAAATGAGTTATATTTTGTATACATACAACAAAGAGAAAGCTGAAGTCCTGTTTCTTTTCATCATAGCCTCCGGACAAGCTTTCGTGTGATGGGTTTTCTGTCTGCTAAACTAAAAATACATCTAAAAATACAATACCGAGTAAAATATGTGTACATTGATGGGATTCAACAGCTACAGCTCCCATGCATGTCTGTCTGCTGTTTGTTGCTGGGTAGTTAATGTGCAGTCGATTCTTTTTGAGCGAATGACATTGATAGAAACACAGAGATCAAACCTCCTCAGTAATGTATATACTTCAGTTGAATATAAGTGAGTCCTCAGACCTTCAGACATGCCACTCTGCTTTACATAGTGCTGCTGCACACAGTTTTCAGTGGGGGTTTCTTAATTATATGAGATTAGAAACCATGTAAGGGAGGATTCTTGTAAAGACACGCCATGATGATGATGATGATGATGATGATCTCGTAGTCTGGATTTGACATTAATAACATACTCTCTAAGGCTATTTTAAATGTCAGCGTAGAGGCCCACTCAGCCAATGGGGCAGACAGACCTGGTGGACGGCCGGGCTCGGCTAATGCCACAGTGGACACGCCGTGCCAAGTGTGGTTGTGCTAACGACAGCAGTTGCGGTTAACCTCTACTACAGGGGGGATGGAACAGCAATCCAGGCATGGGGCCGCCTAATTCATGAAGGGATGTGTAGTCCGCCGCACTTTTCCATCCCTTTAATAACCACACACACACGCACACACACACACACACACACACACACACACACACACACACACACAC